TAAATGGGTAACGTTGAAAAGATAATAATGGATGAAATTTTTAGTCCGGGCAGCATATTTAGTTCTGCAACATATTTAGTTTTGCAACACGTAAAAAAAAGCAAATACGAAAAATCTACGTGTGGTTGGTGAAAATGAATTCTAAAGTTAAGACTCACTGGACTTTAAAACGTTAGTTACCGTAACAAGCCATGAACCTTCCGTGTGGTGATATAAGTTGCCACAAAAAGTTTGGGACTGATACACGTGGATTTAGCGGTTCTGTCAATATTCTAGAAAGAAACTTTCGATCACAATTTGACCCATTAAACATAATTTAATAGGCTTTTTTCTTAAATAATTTATTGCCGACAAATACGTTTGGAATAAAAGTGTATAGCAAACAAATCTCTAAGTTTAAAGATTGTTTGATTTTAGACCAAATGAATTGAGTTTTTGCCACAAACTCTGATTTTCTAATTCCTATAACTTTGCTACCCGTTTTCCTAGACCTTTGATATTTCAAACTATTAATTCTGTTAGATCAAATAGTCTAAGTTTGAAATATCAAAGGTTTACACCATCAGGTTGCAAAGATATAGGGGTTAGAAAATTCGAGTTTGTGGCAAAAACTTAATTATTTGCGCGTATGATTTCAAATATAAGAAATTCTGGTTAGTCCGGGGTGGATATTGGATAGGCTCCGCGCGCGCCGTATTGACGTATATTGGATGCAAACAAATAGACAGATAGACAAATAAGGTAAATAAATAGAAATACTACTCAAAGATTTACGGTCAAAATACAGCTCGTTCTACAGTTTATAGCAATTTACAATACTTACGAAAATGATATTAATAAACAACGAATTGTTTGTATAATGTTCGCGAATCTAGAATCTAAAATCTAATAATAAACCAACAAAAACGAAAACAAAACAATAGATTAAAATGAAAAATCTAAGATATTTTTAATCAAAATCAGATAAAGTTAGTTGCTCTTTGTTAAAAGAAAATAATTTCCAATTAATGCAAAATTAAGATTAATTAAGGTCTATAAAAACAAATCCTGGAAATTAGCTAAAAATTGATGATTTACAAGAATTTATTTCGGCTGCTCGGATCAATTGTCATACATCAAAGTTAATCGAACCATAGATAAAAGAATGACGCAAACAAAATAACATTTTAAACCTCTTTTTTGCGAAGCAAATGCGCAAAATTCTTTATTCCTTTAGAAAAAGCTGGTTTTTCATTGAATCCCGCTAATTTCTCATAATTGTTATCTTGTGAATCCCGCTAATCTTATAAGTTTTTTAGCGAATCCAGCTATCTCATAAGTTATCTAGTGAATCCAGCTAATCTCATAAGTTATCTTGTGAATCCCGCTAGGTTTTCAATAGTTTCTTTTCTCGATAAACATTACAGTCAAAATGTTATCCCATTCTTGGCATTATTAATAAACTTGTCCAGCCCTCATTTTTCTCTTAAAAACACTTTTAATAAATTTTTTAATACTTTTTTATTTGATATTTTAGAATCTGTTCTCTCTCGATTAAATTTTATGAATTTAAAATTTATTGTATTTAATGAATTTGAGCCGCGTCTTATATCCTACAAAACCGGTTTCAATTGAGTGCCGGCTTAAATCTTAAACGTAGAAAGCAATTTTAAGTGGAACCAACCATACTTGAACCGCGTCTCAAATTCAAGCCGCGACTCAAATTCTTAAAATTCTGCCTCAGGACTTATTAACAAGTACACAATTTACAGATTAAGTTTCCAACTTCAGGCACTGATTACTCGCTCTAAGTTCGAGCAAAAAAGTAAAAGACATTAGATAATTAATTTAATTTAGATAAGAGATTTGAAAAGTGGGAAACGAGAGTTTTATAGTTTATTAGTTTTAAAGATCCTTAGTTTTAGAAAAGGTTTAGAAAAATGAGTCCCCTGATTGGTTGGGTACAACAAAATGCCTAGATTTCCCTCAGTTCTATAGGCTGAGTCCCCCCCCCCCCCCCAGAAAACTAAAACCTTGGTTCCCCCTGGAGAAATTAAGCTCTCAACGGTTGCTAATTATATAAAAATATCTAATGAGAAAATCTTTAATCAATTTTAACCGATATAGAGTTTGGGTTTCCCCACGTACAATCAAGAATGATGATTGTGAACAGATTTTTAAACAAAAGTTATAAAAAGCGACGCAAACAGTTGTCGGTTGCTGAAGGTTGTTCTTTGTAAAAGAGGATTGTAAAGATGAAAGTGCTGCGTAGAAGAGGTGTTTACCAATCAATTAATCAAGGGAGGGAGGTAAACATGAAGCAAAGAAGTAGACGTGATTGATTGATACTCTGTATTTGTTTAATATTTAGCTAAACATGCTAGAAACAGATTTTATATTACAGGATCAAAAAATACATGTAAAAATTAACCCAACAGTGTAACATTGCTTGTTCAAGGAACCCTCAAACTTATTTAGATTTAATTGTACAGCCAATTTGAAAATCTTAATAATAAAGCTCTTCTTCGCTCATATGATATATATTTTTGTTTGCAAATATATTTATATGTCAGCTATAGCTCAAGCTGGTCAAACGGTTGGACCGAATGGGCAGATCTTTTTTGAGTGAACGCCGGGTACTTCAGCTGGTTGTAAATAAGACAGTTATGACCAGTATAAATGATTTAGAGCTTTAAAAAGACTCTAAACATGATTCACAATTGCACACTTAAAAACTTTAAAGTGTCAATTAGATATATTTAATTTTATTTCTGTAACCCAATTGTTTTCAATTGTGGTAATCAGAATTGATCACTATTGATCACTATTGATCGGATTAATGTGTTAAGGGTACCGTTGTGAATCGAGCATGGAATTCCTTTTCTTTTCTCTTTTAATAAAGGAACACTTAAAACTACAATGACAATCAATTTTAATGTCGTCGTGATAAGGTCCTTGCAATATTAATGCTTTTATACTAACATATAATTTTTTATCGTTTACTTTAAACAAAAACTTCTGTAAATTTCTGAATGAGAAAAAAAACATAATGTTCTCTTAAAGGGAACGTTCGCTAAAAATTAAAGGGGGTGTAGGCTTACGACGAAAAATAAGCGCTTTTAAGCGATACTAATCTTACTTCTATCTGTTGAGTCTATTTGGAGAAATTTGTTAAAAACTACTCATGCGGAAGAACGTAGCGTCCATACAAATTCAAAAAGTTGCAACATTCAACTCGGATCGTAAAAAAACAAACAATTTGATACCAAACAAATATTTCACATATTACAACCAATAATCATCGATAACTTTTCGACGCATTCATATACAGTTAATATTTCTTAATTCTTATTTTTTATTTTTTATGTTCTGATAGTTACTTCTGAAAACATTTATTCCTGTTTCGTAGATTTTTGATAATGAAGACGACATTTTCATATTTTCCAGGAATGTTCGAAAATCCAGCGCCAGCGAAATATCATTTTTAAAAAACGAAATAAAAAATGTTCTGAAATATTAACTTTTTACGAGTGCGTCGAAAAATATTCGATGACTTTTGTTTTTGATATCTGAATGATTTGTTTGGAATTAAATTGATTATTTTACGATCCGAGTTGAATTTTGCAGCTTTCCGAATTTGTATGGACGCAACGTTCTTAGGTATTAGTCGTTTTTAACAATTTTCTCCTTATAGACGCAACAGATAGAAGTAAGATTAGTAGCGATCAAAAGCGCTTATTTTCCTTCATAAGCTATACCCCCTTTAATTTTCACGAACACTCCCTTTAAAGGGACAATGAACGTAATTTCTAATAATTCCTTCTGCCATAAACAATATTTTTTGAATTTTTAAGTACAGTTAGATACTTAAGTACAATGTATATTGTATATTGTAACGTATATCGTCTTTTTTTTAATTATACATTGTATATTGTGTGTATCTTGCAATTTGTTTATTATATTTTTTATTGTAGTGTAATTGTATATTTTTTATTGTATATTGCAAAATATGGTTTTGTACTTTATCCAAAATTCTAAATCTTAATTTCCGAGTTTTCTAATAAATTTTCCACATTTTTCGTCAAATTTACAGACTATAAAAATTTCCATTAATCTTTTCAATGCTTGAAGTGAAACTTTTCGAATTTTATCTTTATAGCTCTCCCGTTATGATGCTAAAATATTTAGTAAAATATATATCTATATATCTATACATATATTGATAGTAATCTAGCTCTGTTTGTTTGTTTGTCCGTCCGAATATATAACTCATACGCCCATGACCGATTTGCATCAAATTTTGATCGGTGACTCAGTAGAAGGTTCCAAATTACGTTGGACGACTTTTACAGGAAAAACTTAGTTTCCCGGAAAAGCTGGGTTCACAAGCTATTGTATGTTTGGTTGGGGTGTTTTTGTGTGTATCAAAGAAATGTAAAAATGGCTGACCCAAGGAAGGTTTATGGCATGTCGAAAAAGAATAATTTTGTGTGGGAAAAATGTAGATTTTTCAAAATCCTTTAAAAAAAAACTGGTAAAGTCGCAAAATTTAAATTTTAACTAAAAATGTGTGCGGGACCTCAAGCAATAAAGAACTTTAAAGACGACCTATAGCAGTATATTTTTAAAAATCCGTTAACAATGAATAATAGGAAATAATCGAAAAACCTCTAGTCGTCTTTGAAATCTCATTCTTTGCTGGTAACCCTACATACTCATAGTTGCTACAGTTGATACATTACGCTACAGGTCAAGCTTTCTTTTAAACTCATCTGATCAGACATTTGCAGTGCAGTTTTGGGCAGTTACAATACAATACATTACAATACAATACAATACAATACAATACAATACAATACAATACAATACAATACAATACAATACAATACAATACAATACAATACAATACAATACAATACAATACAATAACAATACAATACAATACAGTACATACAATACAATACAATACAATACAATACAATACAATACAATACAATACAATACAATACAATACAATACAATACAATACAATACAATTGTTTTATTAAGAAAAACAAAATGAATAAATCTGCTTATCTTGGAGAATCAAGTATTCAGGTAGATGATAGAGACTTTTCGTCGTTTAAATTTAATTTTAATTTAATTACAATTTAATAAATTTACATTTCGTCGATTCGCATTTGGATTTTTATTTTTGGTCATGTCACATTTGATCAATTTTGATAAACTTTTTCACGATTTACTATTTGTCGTTTAAAAGAACTGAGTTTTTGACACAATCTATGATTTTATCATTTTTACAGCTTTGCAACCCAATGTTGATATTTCAAACTAAAAGTTCTTTTAAATCAAATAATCTAAGTTTGAAATATCAAAGGTTTCCAATATCAGGTTGTATAAATATAGGGATTAGATAATTTGAGTTTGTTGCAAAAACTCAGTTCCTTTGGTCAATCTATGTATTTAAAAAAAAGTTACAGTAAAAGTACAGCAAAATTACAGTAAAAGTACAGCAAAATTACAGTAAAAGTACAGCAAAATTACAGTAAAAACTCAGCAAAGTTACAGTAAAAGCTCTGTTAAAGTAGAGTAAGTGTGCAGTTACAGTAAAAGTACAGCAAAATTACAGTAAAAGTACAGCAAAATTACAGTAAAAGTACAGCAAAATTACAGTAAAAACTCAGCAAAATTACAGTAAAAACTCAGCAAAGTTACAGTAAAAGCTCTGTTAAAGTAGAGTAAGTGTGCAGTAAAAGTACAGTTCAAGTGTTTGTACATACAAAAGTGCAATAAAAGTACAGAAAAGTACAATAAAATTACAGTAAATGTGCGGTTAAAGTTCGGTGAAAGTACAGTGAACGTACAGTACATAAATAGACCAAATGTCTCCCTTTATTATCTTAACTTTTCAAAGTTTATTTTTGAAATGATAAAAAGTGCAACGTTTAATCTGCATCTATTTACTGTATGCAAATGTAAAAAGTTTTTTTATTTCTAACAAATGAACTGAGAGAAGAGTCTTCATCTCTAGATATTCAACTCCAGATTTTCAACTCTAGATATTCATCTCTAGATATTCAACTCTAGATATTCAACTCTAGATATTCATCTCTAGATATTCTCTAGATATTCAACTCTAGATATTCATCTCTAGATATTCAACTCTGCATTTTTAGAACAGATTTAATCAACATGAAATAATAATAGTTTTGGAACGAGAAAATAAATTATTTGATTTCTTTGATTCTATCAGATACAATTCACAGTTTCGACATAGTCGTGGTCAATCATAATTCATAAATATTGAAAGTGAATTTCAGTGTTCTATGTTTTCTGGATTTTCCTTATTTTAAAGTGATATCCGATTTAAAGTTTGATCAATGTCGCCCTCACCTTAATTGGATATGCATCTCTTATATATTGCAACTGAGCTATATCTCTAATATGTTCTCTGGTATTTTTGCAGTTAAATAGCAGACCTTCAAGTTACAAATTCTAATTAGTGGAATTAACAAAAACTAAATTTTTTTGTTTTTATTGGTTACTTCGAAAATTTTTATCATTTGCATTTCTGATAGATCTAATAATGATAAAAAATAAACCATCTCACTTAATGTATTTAAATGGATAAGGTAATTTCGACTTTAAGTGCAATTTTAAAAAGTACTGAATTTTGTCAATTATCCGTGGTCTCTTCTGCAAATGAAGTTCATTCTGTTACTATTTAATGATAAATATCTAGATGTTGCATACCTGGATCAGAGATATTTGTGATCCTGACTTCATCTGTAAAACAATCCTTGATCAAGTAACATATTTACATTTTATTCAACTGTACACTGTACAGTAATCCCTGATCAAGTAACATATTTACATTTTATTCAACTGTGCAGCAATCCTTTATAAAGTAACATATTTACATTTTTTTAACTGTAAAATAATCCTTGAGCAAGTAATATATTTTATTTAACTGTACAACAGTCCTTGAGCAAGTAACATATTTCCAATTTTTTCAACTTTACATCAATTAAAGAGCAAGAAACATATTTACAAATCTGAAGAACCCGGCGTGGCCCAGGCGTTACCCAACAAAAAAGTTGAATTTTTTAGCCAATGGTTTCCTCAAATAAATTTAGCCAGTTTGCAGTCCAGCCGTTTGGCAAATATTCCCGTTTGGCCAACTTTAGCGAACATATATGGGAGGTGGCACCACTATAACATTTCCACTCCTCAAAATAATGTTCATAAGGCACTATTTTATAGATATAATCTATTAGAAAGGTTTGAAATTGTTAGTTATTGAACCAGTAATGTGCCATTTAAAATTAAAAAATTTAATTCTTTAAAAAAACTGAATAATTAGATATGAACCATTGAAATAAAAGAGATTTTTAGATAATTTTGGACCAACTAGTTAAAGAAGGGATGGAAATTGATACAACTGGTGAGAGATTTTTTTAAACCATGTAAAATTGTATTTTGACGTTATTCCACATAAATCTTTAATCATTCTTAAAAAGTTTTAACTTTGTTTTTGCTTAGACAGAGGGTGCCTTGTCACATCAAAGAAAATAAAAATTGCCTCTTCATGAAATTTTAAAAATAAGATTTTAGATGAAATTAGAAATTTTGTTTCTTCTCTCAGGAATACCGTGGATGAATCAGCTTGAAGATATCAGAAAAAATTACGAAAAAAAGGTAAACTTCTTAAAAGCATTAAATTAAAGATATGGTGAATAATGTTAACAATCGCAAAATATAAATCTGTTTGTCTAATCTATTTTTGTAGTCCCAAGAAGAATGGGTAAATTAAAATGAAAATTTCATTGACGATGATCAGAAAAACTATTATTGATAACAGGAATGATCATTGGGTTGATAATGATCATTGGCTTGATATTGATCATTGGGTTGATATTGATCATTGGGTTGATATTGATCATTGGTTTGATAATGATATTTTCAATAAATGTGGAACTAACATCTACTTTTTTTACGTTACAGAGGTTTGGTCCATAACCATCACCGAATTTTAAATGATAATGATCATTGGTTTGATAATGATCATTGGGTTGATAATGATCATTGGGTTAATAATGATCGTTGGGTTAATAATGATCATTGGGTTAATAATGTATATGACCATATTAATCATGGTGGCCGACGGCAATAATATAATCAAAGTCCAGATAATGAATTTATTGACGATAAGGATGGATTTGTTCGCTCCGAACATGAAGATGGGTCGATATTTGATGCTTGTTTTAAGGACAAGAAGCCCCACGGGGTGATCAGGTAAGGTTTAGGTAAAAAATATTTGTGCAAAATCTCAATTAAAATAAAATTTTCAATTACAAATTTGTATGTAGACTAAATTGAAACAAAACAAAACAAATAAAATAAATTATATGTCGGTTACACACACGGGCAGCTGTAGTACATTTGAATTTCCGAGCCGGGTCGACCTTTCCGGTCCTAGTTTGTACTATACCTACTACCTAGTTCTATGGACAGGACTAGCCGGTGCAACAAGGTTGACGCTGTCAGACTTTATGCTTTATATAGGTTGAATTTACGTTTACTAAAGGTGCAGAGGTGCGTGCACAGGAAACTAAAGTAAAGTGTACTTAAATGAAGTGTTCGCGAAAAATGAAAGGGGGTATAGGCTCAATGCGATAAAAGAGCGCTTTTGATCGCTACTAATCTTACTTCTATCTGTTGCGTCTATAAGATCAATTTGTATGGCCGCTAAGTTATTCGGTATGAGACGTCTTTAACAATTTTCTCCTTATAGACGCAACAGATAGAAGTAAGAATAGTAGCGATCAAAAGCGCTTTTTTATCAAAATAAGCCAATACCCCCTTTCATTTTTCGCGAATACTCCCTTTAAGATTGAAATTATAAATGTTTTCAATCATATTTCTCTTGTTGAAAACCTGAGAAGGATAAAAATGTAGCAGACCTTCAAATATGTAACTTTCTCCTACTTCAGTGTAAAATCAAAACTAGAGAAGCTACGAGGTCTAAAAAAATTACCAATAATGTTGCAGATATTTGATATACTCCCTCTGTCTAAGTCAGTCATTGAGTTTAAATCAAAATTAGGTATTCATTTTTCAGGCAACGACTTTTTTAAATAGACCAACCGTTTTAGTAAAAAAAAAACAGTTTAGGGAACTGTTTAAACGTTTTACGGAGGTAACTCCAATGTTACGGTAAAAAAAAACTGTTTTTAAATCTTAAGCCTGTTTTTTGTAAACAAAATTTGTATTTGAATTTAACGAAAGGATTGTCAAATTCTATTTAAATCGTACTTTTCCCTTTATCCGTGTGGGGGTGTGTATAGTGTAGCATACCGTAGCTTCCTGATTACAGTGTACTGTACTGTGTACTGTGTACAGTGTAGCAGACTGTAGCTTCCTGATTACAGTGTACTGTACTGTGTACTGTGTATAGTGTAGCATACTGTAGCTTCCTGATTACAGTGTACTGTACTGTGTACTGTGTATAGTGTAGCATACTGTAGCTTCCTGATTACAGTGTACTGTACTGTGTACTGTGTATAGGTACTGTGTACTGTGTATAGTGTAGCAGACTGTAGCTTCCTGATTACAGTGTATTGTACTTTGTACTGTGTATAGTGTAGCATACTGTAGCTTCCTGATTACAGTGTACTGTACTGTGAACTGTGTACAGTGTCGCAGACTGTAGTTTCCTGATTACAGTGTACTGTACTGTGTACTGTGTAGCCGACTATAGCTTCCTGATTACAGTGTACTGCACTGTGTACTGTGTACAGTGTCGCAGACTGTAGTTTTCTGATTACAGTGTACTTTACTGGGTACTGTGTACAGTGTAGCTTCCTGATTATATTCATTATTGTAAGTTCAGAACTTCTAGTAGATACTTCAATTACAACTATTTTTGAATTTAATTTTTTAATTAGCTAAATTCAAAGAAGAGAAAATTAAAATAAGAAAAATGTTTATCTAAAATACTTTTAAGTATTTTAAGTACACCAACAGATCGAATGTCTATAGATTAGATGTCTTTCATCTAATCTAATTTGACATGAACCCGCTGTAAATCATAGATTTCACTAATCTAAGCGGAGGTTTATGCTCCAAAGCCACTCTCCTGTATACGCCTCAATAAGATATTATCATGAGGAATTGTAAAAAAGGTTTTCATCCGTTTCGGCGTTTTTTTCGGCGCAAACAGAGTATAGACCTAAAGTAATGAAAGCTAAAATTACTGCAAGAGCGCAGTTTATGAAAGCTCTAACAATGCAGAGCAATGTTAAGAGCTCAATGTATTTTATGAGAATGTTAGAATGGGAAAGATACAATGTTTTAAATCTAATTTCCAGGTTGAAAGGGAGTATTATAAAAATAACAGGAGTATTGACTTACGTCGAAAAATATTCGATGGTGATCGCTACTAATCTTACTTCTATCTGTTGCGTCTATGAGGAGAAAATTGTTAAAAACGACTAATACCGAAGAACGGTGCGTCCATGCAAATTCAGAAAGTTGCAATATTCTACTCGGATCGCAAAAGAATTAATTTAATTCTAAACAAATCATTAAGATATTACAACCTATAATCATCTGCTCTTGATGTTTCTGTGTGGTTAGACATTGCATGGAGCGTCGCCTAGCGAACAAAGATCGTCGCTTTAAGTGCATTGTAAATAAAACAAATGAAATATAATTTGAAATATCAAACTATAAACGAATGCGCGAAAAAAAACGATGATTATAGGTTGTCATATCTAAATGATTTGTTTACGAATGTGTCGAATATTGCAACTTTCTGATTTTGTTTGGACGCTATGAGTCCTTTTTTTAACAATTTTCTCTTTAAAGTCGCAACCGATAGATGTAAAACTAGTAGCAATCACCATCGAATATTTTCGAAGTAAGCCAAAACCCCTTTTATTTTGTTATTTAAATGCTAATTTTTGTCTTTAGGAAAATGAATGGGCTTGGGGACCTAGAATTCTACGGTTGCATTGCATATGGAAAATTATTGGTAAGATTTAAGCCCTTTAATATTACACTGTTCATGTCTGTCTCGTTTGCTTTTACACTTCGCTTCCTAACATTTCCTAGCCGCTGCGCTCTGTAAAGAAAATGACTTCATCCGGCCTAACCCAAAGCAGCATCTAATAATAAACAATAAACAAAAAATGGTGTTCGGATATGGTTACTGATAGCTATATATCCAGGGTGTATACTGGTTACTGATAGCTATATATCCAGGGTGTATACTTGTTACTGATAGCTATATATCCAGGGTGTATACTGGTTACTGATCTATATATCCGGGGTGTATACTGTTCACTCATCTATATATCCAGGGTGTATACTGGTCACTGATCTATATATCCAGGGTGTATACTGTTCACTGATCTATATATCCGGGGTGCATACTGGTTACTGATCTATATATCCAGAATGTATACTGGTTACTGATCTATATATCCATATGGTGTATACTGGTCACTGATCTATATATCCAGGGTGTATACTGGTTACTGATCTATATATCCAGAATGTATACTGGTTACTGATCTATATATCCACTGTTCACTCATCTATATATCCAGGGTGTATACTGGTTACTGATAGCTATATATCCAGGGTGTATACTGGTTACTGATAGCTATATATCCAGGGTGTATACTGGTTACTGATCTATATATCCAGGGTGTATACTGGTTACTGATCTATATATCCAGGGTGTATACTGGTCACTGATCTATATATCCAGGGTGTATACTGGTTACTGATAGCTATATATTCAGGGTGTATACTGGTTACTGATAGCTATATATCCAGGGTGTATACTGGTTACTGATCTATATATCCAGGGTGTATACTGGTTACTGATCTATATATCCAGGGTGTATTCATACTGGAAAAGTGTAAAGTAGTATAATCAATATATCCAGGGTGTCTACTGGAAAAGTGTACCAGGAGTATAATCTATATATCCAGGGTGTCTGCTGGAAAAGTGTACAAGGAGTATGATCTATATATCCAGGGTGTCTACTGGAAAAGTGTACCAGGATTATGATCTACATATCCAGGGTGTCTGCTGGACAAGTGTAGCGGAAGTATGATCTATATATCCAGGGTGTCTACTTGAAAAGTGTAGTGGGATTATGATCTATATATGCAGGGTGTCTGCTGGAAAAGTGTAGTGGGATTATGATCTATATATCCAGGGTGTCTGCTGGAAAAGTGTAGTGGGATTATGATCTATATATCCAGGGTGTCTGCTGGAAAAGTGTCCCAGGAGTATGATCTATATATCCAGGGTGTCTGCTGGAAAAGTGTACCAGGAGGAGGGTTTATGATCTCTAGTAATGTAGTATTCTCAGGACCAGGAACTATCTATCTATATCCAGATTGTAGGTACAGTTAGAACCAAAAAACTCAACTACCCTCTTTACCGGTCGAGCCCTTTAATTCGTAAACAGTTTCTTAAAATATAGATTGGACAATTTAAAGTGTCAAAAAAAAATCCCTTATCTTACATCTTTCCGGAAGTGATGGATCAAATCTTAATTAAATTATTTTTAAAATATCTTAAAATTAAGAATAAATTTACTTTACAATTTGTATAAATTCAAATATAGTTTTTAAATTTATATTTTTATTTGCAATTTTCAAACCTTGATGAGAAACTGCAGGAACATTGAAGGTTATTTGAAATTATTTTGAAATGTTTTTACTCTTTACATATTCTCCTTTAGACGTTAAAAGACATTTTCGGCAAATCAAATGTTAGATAACTTTTTGAGATAGAAAAATAATTTACTCGCAATTAAATTTTATGTCTTCAACATTCATGACACTTTTCCTATTCTCTGATAAGCGTTAATGCACACTGCACAGCCATGCATTATGTTTGTTTAAGATTAGGGTTTTCTGGAACCTTTAAGGATTGTCTCCTGGTTTCTGGTCTTCTCATTGAAGTAACAGGAATTTAAGAATACTTGAATAACATTTTTGAAATCTGAATTTTTAATTTATTCTTAATATAACCTTAATTATACATTAATAAATCAGTATCCAATTTGGCAAAAATTAAAATAAAAACTAGAAAAAAATTAATGTACAAAAAGATTCAGTTTTCTTAAGGTTTTGAATCTGATGAGCGGCTTCAGGTAGCAGTAATATTTACAAACCATCAGAATGTTTTGAAACAAATAAATTATCCATTTCCAGGGTTCTATTATCAGGCCTGTTACTTCAACAATATCCAATCAGGAACCCATTGCACAAATTCTCACCTTATTCAAACATCAACGCTAAAACTAATTTCAATTGCTTTTTTTCTGGGGAAGGGGGGGGCTTAAAAATATATTGCAAAGAAACTAAGATAAAAATTGATTACCCACTTCTCTCCATGTCTGTTGACACCTGAAAAAAATCAATGTGAGGAAATATATAAAGGAATACAAAATGGATATATCGTCTTCTGAGCTCTTTTCATCTTTTCCTCTTCTTGCAGAACCGTATGAATCTATCTTCGTAGAGGTCAGATTTTAAATCAAAACATGATTTAAAAAAAAAACATTTTATAAAAACTGTTTTAGGTCGGAGAAAGTAGAATCCCGGGTGCGGGCCAGGGACTGTTTGCCAAGGTTAGAAAACTGAAGATAAGATCGAAACTTATGTTTTGCTGATTCCTTGACAATTCATAAATGTACGTATCTTTTGTGATCACACGTACGGATTGAGTCAACTTTTTAATGATGATCCGAGTATATAACCAATTCGAGGGTCTCTCCCTGCAGAAAATATTGATAACAAAATTGTCTCTCAACCAATGGGAGAATGCGAAATATGAGTCAGTTGTTTTCCGTTTATGAAGTATTTAGTCGATATAAAAGAGCAGATATTCAGTAGATGAGCACAAATATAAACAAAAGTTCCGAACTGAAATATCGAACAATTTTCTGGTGAAAATTATTCAGACATTAACAAAAAAATATTTACTCATATCTTTAAGCTCAATCTCAAATTAAGTGTCAATAATATTCCCCCATTTCTTCTTCTTATTTATGTTTGATCATGATTAAATTAATTTTATCTTCTGTTAAGGTTGATATAGCTTTCGGAACTGTTATTGGTTTTTATAATGGACACAAGGTGAAGAATATATTTACTTATTATTATTTTTATTAATGAAAAAAAAAGAAAAAAGATTAATCCCAAAATTCATAAAAAATATTTGTAAGATAAGAAATACATCAATCTGTGAAATATGAAATATGATCTCTGAAATATGAAAATCATTTATCTGTGAAATAACAAATAAATTTATTTTACTAAGATTATATTTATATTTTTTTAAATTTCATTCTATGGTAAAAATATTTGTTCGTAAGTTTATAATTAATCTAATATATTTTTTAAAATGTTTTTATTATTTATTTTTTAAAATTTTTATAACATAAAATGGTACGAAGGCATGCCTCGTAATCTAATCTAAATAAAATATATTTTATTAATAAATGTAGGTGGCAGCAGAACATGATTTCGATACAACATCGCCTTATAGAATTTCACTGGACAAAGACATAGATTTAGGTAAAAAGAAACATTTTTCAAAACTGGATTTTTTTCTAATACAGGAACTGAGCTATGCAACAAACTCTGATTTTCTAATCCCGTTATCTAAACATTGTAGAACTTTTATATTTCAAATTATGAATTCTGTTAGATTAGATAACCCAAGTTTGAAATATCAAAGGTTTATACCATCAGGTTGCAATTATAAAGGGATAGAAAGTTTGAGATTGTGGCAAAGACTCAATTTCTTTTTATCCTTTTTGTTTCAGATATTCCAGAGCATTTGACCAACTTGGATAGATATCAGGCGACTTTAGGCCATAAGGTTATTTTTTAGCCAGTTTTGAAGGTTTTTCATAAGTACATCGTATTTTTATGTTAGAAGGGCAAAAAAACATTTTTAAGAATATATGTACTGGCGTTAGGGTTAAAGAGACAGTCCAAATGCAGTGTCACCCATAAAACTAGAGAATAGGAAGACGACATATAAACAATCGTATGTGTATTTGATGTTGTTTTAAAGCCAATAGTTTTACCAGAAGCTTGAAAATCAGCCAAGTGAAATAAGTGTTTATGTTTCATGTTCATTAGACTATTTGAAATCATTGATATCTTGAGTCTTACAGTCGTCTTCCTATTTCACAGTCATGGCTCTCACTGTACAATACATGGAATTTAATGACGACATGAAATTTGTCGCAGATCTTGATCGTTAAAAAATCAGAGATTAAAAATCCCGGGTTCAAGAATTTATCTGTGTCTTATGCAGCCCTTCGGATTAAATTAATTAATTAATTGATAAATATTCGGTGATAGTTGATCATAAAACCAACTAATTAGTTAAAAATACAAATCTTTAAATTTTAAACAAAAGTTCATTGACCTCTATCTAAAATAAATTTGTCTTTATTTTATAAGTTTATTTTTAATTTTACATTTGTTTGTTTGAAGGCCAATAGTTCATCTTCTTTAATAAGTTTTTATGTGTTGAAGGTCTGTCACAGTTTTGATCCTAACTCTAATACAGATTTGTTTCTGCATCCAAGGTTTGGATTGATCAGGTAGATTTATTATTTAATCATTTATTTACATTCAAATACTACGCCCCAATACAGATCAAAATATTGTTCAGAGTTCACGGCAAACCAACGTAAATTTCACGTAAGATTTAAATATATGTTTTCAATTATAACTCCTATTGTTAGCTCCTCCTATCTGTTTCAGCGAGAAAGTGAGAAATAAATTAGGAGATCTTTTGTATTTATTTGAAATAATTTTAATAAACCGAAGTATGAGTTAAAGTGTGTACTGAAGGATTGCATGTATTGAGTTTAACTATGCAATTAATATGTATTTACGTAATAAAGTATTTCATTAATTAGTTTTAAAAAAATCTAGATGTATAGTGACTATAAAGAATATAGAGGCGGGAAGCGAAGTTACAATAAATTACAGGTAAGATACAGATAGATCAAATAAAAAATTATAATAAAAATAAGTAAAAAATTGTAAAAATAAAAGAGAAAAAGTATATATGTAGTAAATACCCTACTCCCAAAACTGCTCTCGAACTCGTATCTATCCAGGTATAATTTAGTTCCATTTAGCTATCAATGTATAAACCCTGTTACAATCTTGTAACCCAACAATACCAAACAATTGGTACGATCTCGTCAACTATTGATGACAAAAATGACACTAGCAATTAATCAATCAAAGCCAAACTATGTGCACGATCTCATGAGGCTATCGATGTCAACCGGACACTAGCTCATACTTTATCAATGCCAAACAAATGGGCGCGATCATAATAATACTGATAAAAATAGTAAATATAGCATACTCCTTACAGGGTGTATGTCAGGTGTACTAGTTGTACACTACTAAACCTGTAGATATGTCAGGTGTACTATAGCTGTACACTACTAAACCTGTAGATTTGTCAGGTTAACTAGTTGTACACTACTAAACCTGTAGATATGTCAGGTGTACTAGTTGTAGACTACTAAACCTGTAGATATGTCAGGTGTACTATAGTTGTACACTACTAAACCTGAAGATATGTCAGGTGTACTAGTTGTACACTACTAAACCTGTAGATATGTCAGGTGTACTAAAGCTGTACACTACTAATCCTTTAGATATGTCAGGTGTACTATAGTTTTACACTACTAAACCTGTAGATATGTCAGGTGCACTATTGTTGTATACTATCCAGTAGATATGTCTGGTGTACTAGTTGTACACTACTAAACCTGTAGATATGTTAGGTGTACTATAGTTGTACATTACTAAAACTGTAGATATGTCAAGATGTACTATTTGTGCACTACTAAACCTGTAGATATGTCAGGTGTACTATAGCTGTACACTACTAAACCTGTAGATATGTCAGGTGTACTAGTTGTACACTACTAAACCTGTAGATATGTCAGGTGTACTAGTTGTACACTACTAAACCTGTAGATATGTCAGGTGTGCTATAATTGTACACACTAAACATGTAGATATGTCAGGTGTACTATAGTTGTACACTACTAAACCTGTAGATATGTCAGGTGTACTAGCTAGTTGTACACTACTAAACCTGTAGATATGTCAGGTGTACTATAAATGTACAATACTAAACCTGTAGATATGTCATGTGTACTATGGTTGTACACTACTAAACCTGTAGATATGTCAGGTGTACTATAGTTGTACACTACTAAACCTATAGATATATACGTATACATATGCGCAGTAGTAGTACAATCTAATGCCTGAAGATCTATCTAGTGTACTATTAGTTCAATTTAACACCAGTACATCTGTATGGTGTACTAGAAGTGCAATCCATTACCTGTAGATATATATATTGTATACTTGTAGTACAATCTAATACCAGTAGATCTATCTAGTGTACTTGTAGTACAATCCAATACCAGTAGATCTATCTCGTGTACTATTTACTATTGTGGTAACCTACGTATGTGGGTTTTAATTGTGCGTGCTTTCTTTAATAAAACCATTATCATGATTTAGAGAATTGATGATTTGATTTGAAATTTTAACAACTCTGCCTGATTAATTCAATAATGGTTTAATTCAAGCTCTGAGGTTGTCAAAACGACAAAATCCAAATTAATTAGGTCTTACTTTTAAATATGACTTTTCATATATAAATGATTAGACATTAGACATTTTCTTTCTTAAATTGTATTTTCTCCATGACGTGTTTGTTCAGTGATTTCATGAAAGTTTTCTCTAGCGCCAAATTAAAAAAAAGTTTACTTTGTCATTCATCTTTACTTCATGTAAGCCGTAGATTTTTCCAACTACAGTTTTCAAACGTTTTATGGTCCATGGTAATTGCAGTTAATGCTTAATCCGGGCCTAAAAAGAAAAAATGCCAGACTCCTGGGCTTCTTCAGATCCAAATATTGAGGTTGAATGTGAGTTTGCTGCAGCTTCCCTTGAGTCAGTCAAATTGTTTGACTCAGAGTTTAACCAACTCAAAAAAAACTTGTTAGGATGGAGATTGTGCATAAAGCGTAAATGTTATAATCTCATATAATTAAAAAATATATTGATTTCACGCATATATTGTAGTTTTCACTGAAATTCAGGCGAATCAATAATAATATTTGTAGAGAAACATCTTGTATAGTTTATATATTTGTAGAGAAACGCCTTGCATAGTTTATATATTTGTAGAGAAACACCTTGTATAGTTTATATATTTGTAGAGAAACACCTTATATAGTTTATATATTTGTAGAGAAACACCTTGTATAGTTTATATATTTGTAGAGAAACACCTTTATATAGTTTATATATTTGTAGAGAAACACCTTGTATAGTTTATATATTTGTAGAGAAACGCCTTGTATAGTTTATATATTTGTAGAGAAACACCTTGTATAGTTTATATATTTGTAGAGAAACACCTTGTATAGTTTATATATTTGTAGAGAAACACCTTGTATAGTTTATAAATTTCTATATTTAGTTATGATATGACAACTGCGCCTGATTGGTATAGAATAGCTTGGGCGAAGCATCAGAAGGTAAAGACTTAATGTGTTTAAAGGGACTGTCTTTGTAATTTCAAGTGACATTCAATTTTAAAAAAAACTTGAAAAGTGTTTAATATTCGCCATTTGATTTCTAAAGCAGAAATGCGGAAGTTTTTTCATTTAGAGAAAATGCTCAATTTTGAACAGCTAGATAATATTGGATATCTCAGACAACTTTTTTCTTGTTACCATTATCATTCGGACATGCCACTCATTAAATAAAGGGTTAATCGAAATTACGTCTGCAGTTCCTTTACGACCCTTATTATTTTATTTATGTAACAAATAAAACTTGAATAATTAAAAAATATAATGTAATTTTTTGATAAAGACCAATTTAAAAATGAATTTAGAATCCCTATGACGCGAAATTTAAATTGATTTTTACCACCCAGACACCAAATTCTGTAAGAACAAAAATGAAGAAAAAAATCCAAATATTTTTAAAACTTTATTCCAGAATGTTCGAGGTTTACCCGACTGGAGGATGGCAATGTTAAAATCTGGAATTAATATTTTTGAAAAATAAATGATTAATTATTCCATAATTATTATAATTAAGGCTATATGAGACGGAATTAACCGTTTTTTCTTTTTTTTTTTCACGGTAAATCAAGGGCCTTGGTATGAAGTCAATGAACCTTAACGAAAACCTGTTTCACCTGTTAAGTTAAGATTTTTCATATTTGCTCCTGTTCTTGTTTGGCTAGATACTACTAGAATTTCAAACATTTAATTTTTTAGCTTATGGCACCCACAGGTAGCCCAAAAAATTCAGTTGATTTAGTTTAGCCGTTTGGCCAGCTATAGCTAACAAATAATATATATATGAGCGAAGAGCTTTATTAAATAGAATACTAGGTGAAGTGCCCAGCGTTACCCTTGTTGCCCCAGTACCGGCTAGAATCAGGCAAGGATAGAACCACGAAATATAAAATTAAGAATTAAAGGGAGTGACCGGCTATGTAAGGTAGTTGAAGTGAGAACGCAGTGTTGTGGAAAGCTTCTTTAGGATTCATGTGAGACATATTTCACTTTTTAAAGATCTGTAAATCCTGAGTTTGAGCGCAAATTCGACGTTCAAAACTCCTGATTTGGGGGGTGGATACACTTTCAGAATTAGTTTTTTTTTAATTTTTAATTTTTGGATTCTTTATCTTGTCAAATAAACTCAGACGACCTCTATGCGATCCAACTCTATGAGGTTCTATTCCCGGTTTCAAGTAGAGAGCTCTATCAGCAGATTTATTTACATCACGATGTTTGATTGTTTACTTTTTTGCTCCTAACCAATAGAATTTTAAAACTCCTTTCCTAAATCCAACTTAATCCTCAAGTAGAGGTGTGATTAATCTTTATAAAATACTCGCCTCGAACTCTAATTTTTTTTATCTCTATATCTGAGCAACCGGATTGTATAATCCTAATTTCATGTTTTTATGCTTAAAATTTTCAATCTGACAGTGTTAAAAGTTTGAATGGTCTACGCCATCAGGTTGCGAAGATATAAGGATTAGAAAATTTAAGTTTTAAAGCAGACTCGGGCCCCTCAATGCACTTTTAGTTCTGGAACACTGATCAAATAAGTTAAAGCTTAAAAGTAAGTAACCATTACTTCTCAAGCCAGTTTAAGTATTTTTTTGTATTTACCCTGAATAAAACTATTCATATATTTTTCTCGAGAACTTTAGAAAAATTGATGAAAAAACTCGACATTTTTTCTTTTTCAAACTTCATGCCTGACATTAAAGATACATATTTAAATTTATTACATTGAATAAGGAAAACTTGAAACTGTTAGATCATTTATGAATAAAAAATATTCAAAAAAGTTATAATTTTAGATAGTTCTAGTTCCAGCTTAAATCTAAAAATAAATAAGACATTAGATTTTTCATTATTTTAGTAATTATTTGCGTTTGTTATACAGAATAACTGTATAACATGCTCATGCTTATTGGAACACAGGGTGTTCCAATAAGCATGAGCATCAAGTGACAACTTTTAACCATTTTTCATAAACATAAATAGATTTTTGTACACAAAATTGCTTTTTTTACATTCACTATTTGCCATTGATTAACTATTGAATACTAATGACGTCGTTTAAATGCTCCCTCAACTATCATGTATATTGAAACATCATTGTGAAAGATTGACATTTAAAAGCTTTGTAACCTGGATAAAATTTTCTTTTATCCAATGTTTCATCATGCAACGTATGTATTCATGATTTTTAAATGAATAAAGAAATTCATTGTTTGAAAAAAAACGTTTAAAAAACTTTCAACAAACAAATTTGGAATTTTAATGTCTTTATTTTCCCTTAGCCTTCATCTTTTTCTTCTCTTTCATCTTTAACTTTACATCTCATCATGTTCAAACCAATCTTGGTCCTGAAATTAAAATTACATGTTTATTCATCACTAGCGAAATTTACACAACCTGTCAAAAAATAAAAATACATTTCTGCTTATGTTAAAAGAGTTGAGTGAAACCAACCTCTCTATCCAGGATTCCATCACCATCATCATCGTCATCTTCTACATCAGGAACTCCGTCATTGTCATCGTCAAAATCATCAACATGGTCCCTAACAACTATCTTTAGTAAAATCATCAAAATAATTTCTTCCACTTCTTAACCAATCCCATCTAATCATAAAAAAAAATATTTTCTACTTCCAAAAAACCTTACCTGAGACCATCTCCATCTGTATCTTTATTCAGATCCTGGCTGCTCAAAGAGAAACATATCCCAATCTTTAAATAAATCGATCAGAGGTCTTGTGGAGTATCATTAATCTTGAACCGTTGATCTCGATATCCTATGTGGACATTTATAAAGGAGTTGAGTCTTTCCACAAACATAATATCGTAGACCTTAGCTTTTTAAACTATTAACAGGGATTAGAAAATTTTACTAAGGCTCCAATCCTTTGTTGATAAACATGGGAATTCAGTGACGAATTCGATATCGTCTTTTTAAATAGTTCTTTGATTTAGTATAGTGATACCTACTGAGAAAGCTGTAATCTGTAAGAGTTTCGTCTGCTATGTTCACATTTTGTTTGTTTATGTTTTGACTGCATACGGTTGTACTTAGAAAAACAAGATAATTGCAGTTTACGAACAGAGTAAACTTGTCAGTCTTCACTGTTCATCTTGCGGAGACATTAAAGACACATCTTTACAGTCTTTTACCGTTTTCATGAAATAAACTCTAGCAGACATAATAATATTATGGCTTTTGAAATTAGGTATTACAATGCTAATTCATAACAAAAACGATATCCAATTCGTCACTGAATTCCCATGTTTTGTGGGACACCCTGTATAAGCTTCTTGTTGAGTAAATGCTAACCATGAATGTAAAGAATACGAATCAAATAGGATCTGTTCCTTATAAAAGCTGTAGATAGAATCTACATTAGTTATTTAGGTTTCTAGGTAAACCCTTTTAAAGATTACATTTTCTTTCCATTTTCATGAATAGGGACAAATATTTTTTTTATTTACAAGAAAAAATCTAAATTGCTACAGTGTAAACAGAAAACTCTTAATTGAAAAGACGACTTCAAATCTCTAAAATTGAGTAGTTAAGCAGTGTCAACCATAGATAAATAAATAAACATAGATAGCTTATGTACGCAAAATCACCACGAATTGTACAGTCCGCGAACTCATACTTCTAGGGGTCAAAGTGTACTTCAATGATAAGCGGGGTGGTTTGGTGTTTTAATGGATTTCATAATAGAGTGTAAAATAACTCTGGGAATGGAACTATTTGAACAACAATATTTCACTGAGCAATATATCATATTGACGAGAACTGAAGAAGGACATGAGAAGGACTAAACTAACTTAAATTTCTCTCTACAGAACTCATGTACACCAAAAGTACTCAATGACATAAGAACACCCAATGTTCACAACCGACTTAGTTAATCTATATAATAGGAATATCTTTAAAACATCTCTGTACATTTATGTCTTTCAAGATGAAAAATGTCGTCTTATGCGCAATCTATCTTTATCTATGGTGCCAACAGACAAACTCCCTTTACTGTAAAGGAAAAATGAAAGGAGGTATAGGATAAAACCTGAGAATCTCAGGCGTTGAACGATACCTATAAGACTTCTATCTGATGTTCCTGTCTCGAGAAGTTGATATGAAACTGTATCAATTTAAACTAAAGTTCATATATGTGCAATTTTGTATAAAAGGTGTAAAACAGATCATATTCAACAAATACGAACCAATCTGAAAACGACGTTATCCCACAGGAGTCTGGGAATCTCAGGTTTGCTCATTTTAAAATTTTTTATTTGCATTTTGCATTTTTGATAGATATATTTGATAATATTATTACATATAGTCCGTATAGTCCGTATTACGTCACCAGAACTTTAGCCAAGGGCAGTGCAGTATACTGGTCACGTGATTTCCGTCTGTATCACGTGACAATGAACTAGGATTTATCCAGGTACAGCTCAGTTTCACTTAGCTATCAATGTTTAAACCAGAATACAATCTCGTTAGCTATTGATATCAATCAGAAACCAGATCTGTCTTAATCAGGACACAATCCACACAGTTACAATCCCTTAAACTATCAATTCCACTATACTGGACGCGATCTTGTTTGCTATATGTCAACCAGACAATAGCGATCCGTCTTAATCAGGACACGATCCACATGGTTACATTACAATCCCTTAAACTATCAACTCCACTATACTGGACGCGATCTTGTTTGCTATGTCAACCGGACAATAGTGATCTATAAACCAAGCCAGAATACAAAGGCAACGATCTTAGCTATGTCAACTGGACACATGCAAACCTTAGATTTGATATATCAAATAAATATATTGTTAGAACTGACGAGGGTTAACCCAGACCGAAATATATTTTTTAATCATTTTTACAATATCATACCAATACAGGGTATTTAGTGAAACATACCAAGCCTAATATCTATAATTTATAAAAACATAATGATATATTTACTTACTAAAAGTAGCAGGAAAAAAACAAGGCATAAAGCCTTATTTCTCCCCATCCTGTCTGCCTGACTTTGTATCACTGCCTGAATATAAGTTGGCATGCTTCACGCTGTCATGACGTCAACTTTGCCTAGTAAGCATATTCATAAAATTTAGAAATGTTGAAAACTATCTGATAAATCTCATTATTTTTATGTCTTCCTTTTTAATTGGGTCCGAATAACCCATTAATCAGATCAGGGTTTCCCACGAAATATTGTTTCGAACCATGAATTGCATCTCTTATAATAAACAGTATTTTAGTATAAATATTTAAGAATAAATGGATTAATAAATAAGTGTGCACTTGGCCGATTGACTTAATCACATAGTGGCGTAAATTTAAGACAGGGTCGACTCTTCAGTGTCCCAATGCCTTGTCTTCATTTTTAACATTACTAACTTACCTAAACTTTTTTGTAGCCCTAGACATGTAAATTTAAGAGCTATAAAGCATTTTTAGCTTTAGTTTTTAAGAAGTAATAGAGATAATTATCATGAATTTTTGTGTACGAGCTTACAAACTTCAGTGTGTGATAGACCTGTACTTGTACACCTATACAGTAGTGTAATAGACCTGTACTTGTACACCTATACATTAGTGTAATAGACCTGTACTTGTACACCTATACAGTAGTGTAATATACCTGTACTTGTACACCTATACAGTAGTGTATAATAGACCTGTACTTGTACACCTATACAGTACAACATCTGTTGATATATGATCCTCATATATCAATAGACAACAATCATTTATTTATATTTTTTTCTCTGACCACGCGCATATTGAAGCAACATTGAAAACACAATTGAGAAAGGGATTGTTCACTTTTCAAAATCAAAATACCAACTCCACTCCGCGATCAGAATGGTCTAAATTCGAATTGAATTGAATTTTTTTTCAATTCTTAAAAATTTGAAAAATTCTTGATTTATTAATTTGAGATTTAAGTTACCTTGCATTTAGATTAGACAATGTAGGAAAGTATAACCTCTAAATATCAGCAAATCAAAATGGTCTAAATCCAGGCTGCATATAAAAAAATTTAGTTAACGCTCTTTAAGATGCTACTAAATCTATTCTAATTACCACTTTAACATAAATATGAAAAGGTTCACCTTTGGAAATGCACACCAAATTTACAAGAATTGTATTTTCTTTTTTCAAATTTCTTACAGATTGTTCAATTAAATGCTTTACACAATATCAAGAATTGAGAAATTTCGAGATTTTTCTCATGGAGCGGAGGTAATGCGGCAAAATACCGCGTGTGCGCACGGTTGCTCTACGAGGCCGACATGAAGGGAAGGTCCGAACTACAGCGCGGCAAATTCCGCGTGGGAGATTTGTTTACTCCGAAAGAGAAGAAGGAGATTGGTACATAACCGGACTCCGTCACTAATTTTCACCATTCTGCTCAAGGCCTTAGCTTTTGTTGGTTCAAGGATCAGTATCTCTAAAACGGGAAATTCCAAAATGTCTGTAATGTCCAAGAGATTTAATTCTACTTGAAGTTAATTTATCATTAAAGTTGCTTTTTCGTTTTCTTCTAAATTGTTTGCCCCTGTAGGGAATGACTATACAGGCGAAACGAAAAGAGGTAGAAAGGGTAAAAAAGCTGTAAATAATATATTTTTGGCCTCAACAAAATTTGGTTCTATAAGTAATAAAATTAAATAAGACCCCCCCTCCCCCCCCCCCTTCAGTTGAACCGTTGAAAATAAAGTTCATGATATCTATTGATTTTACCAAGCTAAAAGCTATTGAAACCTGTTTATTTTTATAAGTAGAAAAGTTGCATTGCATGTCGCGTGGTTTATAAACGCAGAATACTTGATGTAAAATTCTTCCAAAAGGTTTAGAATTTAAAATTTCAAGGTCATCAAATAACATTTCAGAATTTTTAATCACAACCTATAAATTGAAGAAAAAAAATATTTTTTATACTAAATCTCACACCGACATGAAAATCCTAAATAATTCTTTTTTACAAAAAAAATTTACATTTTTTGTGTCTTTCTCAAAGATGAAGAAACTTAATCAAGTTACTTTTTTTATTAACTCAAGGTTTTAAAATTATATAAAAAATACTAGAAGAAATTTTCTTTATTACATAAAACTTATTTTATGTTTCGATTTTAATTTCAGTTTTTTACTTTGTAGAAAAATAATGTCCCAAATATCTAAATCAAGTCTACCTATTGTTCTCCTAATCTCACTCTCAACAGTTCTAGGTTAGTTACTTCAAATCAGAGAGAATATAATATTTACTGATTTACCAGGAGTAGTGTTAGGTTTGTTACTTCAAATCAGAGAGAATATCATATTTACTGATTTACCAGGAGTAGTGTTAGGTTAAATACTTCAAATCAGAGAGCATTTAATATTTACTGATTTAACAGGAGTACTTCTATGTTACTTACTTCAAATCAGAGAGCATTTAATATTTACTGATTTACCAGGAGTACTTCTAGGTTACTTACTTCAAATCAGAGAGCATAAAATATTTACTGAGTTATCAGGACTAGCTCTAGAGTAGTTACTTTAAATCAGAGAGCATAAAACAGTTACGAAGTTAGAAGGAGTAGACTTTATAAAATCTAGAGGTGGAGTTTGTGTTTAATTTATAAAATAAATCAATCAAGCAAAAAGAGCTCATATACTTATTTATTTTACATTGAGAGTAGAAACTCTTTCAACGTTTAGTTAACAAGAATTAAACAGTAATTTATTAATAAATATTCGGTAAAAATGTTTTGTAAGAAGTTCCCTAGAACATAAATCATAAGTTGTTTTTAAAATTTCTTAAGTACGCGCTGACATATTCCTAGAAAATATACAATATGGTTATTTAATGGAATCTTAAAAAATGCTTTTATGCTTGCTTGCTTATTTCAAGCTGAATGTTACGAATCTATAAACTTAAATTAAGATTTCGAATATTCTTAAAACACAAACACTTTCATAAAAAAAGATGAAAGTGTAGTTGAAAAAAATAATAATATTTCCAGACTTAAAAACAACTTTTGCTTCAAAAGTTTTAAAACACATCTAAAGGAAAACTTAAATAGAAAAAGTTTGAACTACATAGAATTGTTTAAGAAAGAATAATTGAATATTGTCGATCTATTTTTGGACATTTTTGGACATCTATATTCAGCAGAACTACATCGCATATCAGGTCCAATCGGGGTGATTACTAGTATAAGCTGTGAATATTTCCAAAATGTTACATCTCTAAAAGTAAACTAATTATATTTAGGTAAGCCGAACAGAAACCAGTACAAGATGGTTCCAGGCTATGAGGATCCTGAAGTACAAAACTTGATCGATTTGTCCGCTATCTATAATATTCCTATGTTAGGTACATGTACAGTTAATGTATACGAAAATAAATATTTAAAAAAAAACTTTAAAAATCTTCGCCACAAACTCAAATTTTCTTTACCTTTGCAACCTGATGTTATATATTTTAAACTAAAACTATTTGATCTCTAGCAAAATTCAAAGTTTATCATATCAAAGTGCCGATATATAGCAAGACACTAGAATTTGTGGCGAATTTTCAGTTCCTTAAAAAAGAATGAATTTATTTTCCACAAAATACTTTTTTCGAAAACAATGAATTAGTTTTACGTTTTGAGGAACTTTATTTTTTCTTTAAATAACAGAAAATTTTGCATATATACAGTTGTAAATGAGTAGCTAATCCTATCCACCTTGTAGTCAACCACCNATCAATTCCATTGTAGTCGAACTCTCCGAACTACTTTTTTGTAGTTGATCTCTCTAAACTCTTTTTCTTTGTATTCAATCTCTATTAACTCTATTTTAATTTAGTTGACCTTTCTGAACACTATTTTATTGTATTTGAACTCTCTGAACTCTACTTTGTTGTAGTTGACCTTTCTGAACACTATTTTATTGTATTTGACCTCTCTGAACTCTATTTTTATTGCAGTTGACCTCTCTGAACTTTATTTTATTTTTGGGGACCTTTATGAACTCTATCTTATTGTAGTTGACCTCTCTGAACTCTATTTTATTGTTGAGGACCTCTCTGAACTCTATTTAACTGTATGTTGACCTCTCTGAACTCTATTTTATTGTAGTTGACCTCTCTGAACTCCATTTTATTCTTGTTGACCCCTCTGAACTCTATTTTATTGCAGTTGACCTCTCTGAACTTTATTTTATTGTTGTGGACCTTTATGAACTCTATCTTATTGTAGTTGACCTCTCTGAACTCTATTTTATATGTATATAATCTATTTTATTTTAGTTGACCTCTCTGAAGCTCAAGATCTTGGGTTCGAGGCTGAATATCCTCGAGGCTTGAAATCCAGGTAGATATGTCTAAATTTCAAGGCACTTAGCACCTTTCCTGCTTGGACTATTTTTTACCTTTGACCTTGTATTTTTCAAATTATGAAGAAAAGGTTATAATTGAGGTAAGCTTTACTGTACTGTACTTCACTGTACTGTACTGTACTACTAATTTCAAATTGAATTAAAATTTAAGTTTTTATTGAGAATATTTTGAAAGAAAAAAAGTGCATTTAGACAAGACAACAGATTTACCTGAAATTCACTGCGCCTGCAACAAAGCAATTAACTTTCAAATGACAAAAATTTAAGAAATGTATCTAAATTTGCTTCAGAAAAAAAGAAAAAAATCTCTATAAAATTATTTCAGCGAGTTCATAAGACTGCGCCGAGTGCCTGGCTCTGAATTCCTGGGTAAACGGTCTGCACCTCCCTCACCACCAACAAACAGTAATACTTTTTCAACTAGACGAAGGGAAATTATAATTAGCATAACTACGACAGGATCTTTTGATGAAGTTTTCCAAACTTAAACAAAAACATGAACTTTATTTTAATTTTAAATTTTGTATTACAATACTAACTAATTTCTTGAGGTTTTCCTGATAGGAGGTATTCCATCACAAATAAAAGAATGATTTTATGTTAATTTTGATTTTATAAACATTATGGGGTATCATAGGTTCCTTAGTTTTTTTTTTAATGATTATCATGATTGTGCAAATCTTTACTAAGGAGAGAAATCGATTTTTAAATCCGTTTTTAAGCAATTAGGGTTCTTTTAGAGCGAACAGTTTTGAAATATGTTAAATTTTTAGATTTTAGTGGAATATGTACAAAAGGGAAAAACACAATGTCCAATTGTGAATTATCTTTATTTAATTATTTGTAAGCTAACGTTCTATGTTTAGGCTATCTTGAGAGAATAAGAGAGAACAGACTTGCGAAAGAGCAATGGAGGATGCAGAAGCGCGTTCCCGGGTCAGAGTTTCTTGGTTGAATTCACAAGAACGAAGACGATCTAGATTCACGGATCAGATCAGCTGTATCCATCTTGCCATGGATCAGCTCAATTCAAAGTAAATCCCAATGGCTGAACTGAACTACTTAACACAATTTTTATCTGTATTAAAGTGTACAATGTGAACATATTATAACAACTGGAGGTGGGCAAGGGGGGAGATCATTTTGTTTCTTAACTTATTTAAAACTTTATCTAATTAAAAAAGAGCAGTTTTGTAGAGAAACAATTATTAATATAATTCTGAACTGTTTATTATTTTTTCATGTTTTAAGTAATTTTATTAGCTAGAATCTGCTTTGGTCTACTCAATAACCTTTAATTAGTATTGTTTTCATACAACTCGAAATTCCAGCCCCAGTTAAAACAAAAACTGTAATGTAACAATGTATTTGTGACAGAGGAACAAATTAAATATTGAACACATAACACAGACAAATCCTCAAATATCAAAGATCAGCAAAATTTACATTATTTACTTTTAATCAAGATTCTACTTTTTTACACAGAATTCAAACTTAAATTCGAATAACTATGTGTCTAAATTACCAAGTCCTGAATGTGAATATATTCTAATGAAATACATATTGTTCGTTGTTAACTGTTTACTAAACCGTTCTGTACATAAATATGAAAAATAAACCCAATCATGAATTCTCAGAATAATATCCAGCCTCTCTTAATAAATTCAATTGTATTTAAAAAAATAATAAAATTGATAATATCGATAAAAAGGCAAGAGCAAATAGAAAAGAAAGATAACAGGGATAAAAGCAAACTGGAAAGAGGAGACGGCGAAAAGTCGATCTAAGCTTTAAACCATAGATTAATTTAGATAAAAGATAGGACACTAGATGTCGTCTTTTCAAGATTCAAGGGGCTTTCGTTCACAATAACCCTAAGGCAGAAGCCCAAAGGAGTTACAAGCAGTCGGCGTAGAATAGTCTCTCTCTGTGTAGAAGTACAAGACAGATAGAACGAACGAAAGAAAACCCCCTTAATCTTGAAAAGACGACATCTAGTGTCCTATATGTTATTTTCATTACTCTATGCTTTCATATTTACATATTTTTACTCAACTACAAATCACGAGATAACACAAATAAAAATCACAACTTACTATGCAATCCCGCCATTTCCAATCAGTAGTTTGAACCCGCCTAACCAGAGAAGGTCGTTTTAATTGGTTGGCCCACTGCACTATAAACGAATGAGAATTGTAAGAGATAAATACATGGGTGTACACTGTACAGTGTACATTTTAAACAAAATAATGATGAAAAATCTGGAAAAAGGTAAGAGGGAGGTGAGGGAGTATAAGGAAAAGGGAGGGTACTCAGCGGAAGGGTTGGAACAGACGGTGACATAAGTTATTAATATCATATTTATGAACTACAGGGTGGAGAAGATGATAAAGACTAAGTTTATTCACATGATACAGTTTTTTTTACAGATATAAATTGCATAACTAATTGAATAGATCTTGGCGACTTTTTTTTAACGATTTTGCAGATTTAGTTTCTTTAAGCTCCAATTCAATCGTATTCCATATTTTTGGAAATATGGAGGGAAAACATTCTAGCGTTTTAAAGAGAACCCGTTCAAGTTTATATGAATATTTTGTTCTATTTGGTTCAACTAAAGAATGAAGCATATCATGGAAGTAAGTTGGAAGGTTTTCATAAAAAGATAGAACACCTAGTTTATATGTATCATCAAGATTTAGAAGTTCTAATCTGAAAAATATTGGATCTGAATGTGTCTTAAATGAACTATTATTTACTGCTCTAATTGCCCTTTTTTTTGCAAAGCTTTGACTTTATGTAGTTTAGCATTTTTTACGACCCCCTCCCCATTTTATAATTCCATACTCAATATGTGGCCTTACAAGTGCATTATAATCTAGAAGTCGAATGTTTAATGGTATAAAGTTTTTAATCTTAAAATTGAGCTAACAATCTTATTTGAAACATGCTCAATTTTCAATTTTCAGTCCAACAAATTTAAATTTCTAGAATCTCATTTCCAATTTTTAATTTGCAGTGCTCAGGATCAAAATGCATATTTGTATTCCTAAATATCATGAACTTTGTTTTGGAAACATTTAATGTTAAACGGTTTGCCTGAAACCATGCAGCTGCCTTTTTTAGTTCAAAGTTGGCATCAATTACTAAAATTTAGAAAACTATTGTGGTCAGCAAATAGATTTGTAAAAAAAGACGTTGCTAAAGGCAAATCATTTATGTATATGAGAAATATTAGGTGCCCAAGAACACTACCCAGAGGAACACCACATACAATTGTTTTGTTTTACATATATAGTCCTATTGACTAGGTAGTTTTGAAACCATGTGTTAGCTACATTTTTAAAACCGTGGTACTCAAGTTTATACAAAGGAATATTTAAGTTGCAACAGTCAAAGGCTTTCTTTATCTCTAAAAATATTATCAGTGTAAATTCTGGTTGTGGTTTTAAATAATTTTAGTTAGGATACAAGTTTTTGCTACAAGACCACAAAAGAAAGCTTAAATAACCCTTAATATTATGTTCAAACATAGGAAAAATACAAGATAGATCCCTAAGGGACAATGGGTTTAAAAATTGAATAATTACTGAATATTTAACTTACTAAATATGGGAGGGGGGGGGGGGATGTAGGGGAATCTATTTTTTTTGCCCAAGCGGCTAATAGCACTCTCATTTTCGACGCTACCACCTAGAAATTTCTTGACCTAGCTTTTTCAGAAAAAATGAAGATTTTTTAATGCCTAAATATAAATATTTAATAGGAACCGGGGGTGTAGAGCGCACTTCATACCTGAGAATAAAATAATCTTAAGATATTAGGCATAGTAGATTTGAATTAATCAGGGGGGATGATAGTTCTATACCTGTGTTCTCAGTTAGCTGTACTGTACACTTACAACTGTTTACTAGTATTGATATACTATAGGTAAGGCCAGAATCAACTTATAATAAACAAATATGCAGCACGCTCTCGGAATAGTTGATGGCCTATACAATTAGTAAAGGATTAACGAACATCATCACTCTATAACCTCGCTGGTATAAATCCTTAAATTGGTTAAAATAATTCTGATAGAAAACAAAATACTGTGTGTAAAAGTTTATTAAAGGTTAAAAGTCTAACAATGGATTGTGTAAAATTGGCAAGGTTTACACCCAATATTAACAGCTTGCGAAATGGTAAATATTGCAAGGTTTAACAATATCATGTTACAAAAGTTAATGGGCACAATTTAATAAAAATTTTAAATTGTTGATCAGTGAAAATTGATAAAAATAAATATCTTTACTCTTAATATTTAAAAACATCTGACAACTTGAATATTTTCATTGAAATATGAACAAGGAACAATATGAACAATATTATGGAATAATTTTGCTAAACATATCTTCTAACTTCTAGCCTACACGTTCCACGAAAGATGATGGAAATAACCCAGTTTTGCCAGTTCTATAAATAAATTTCATTAATTTAATAAATAATATAACAGTCTTGAATGAATAACTATTGATAATTTACCAGTCCTATAAATATATTTCATTAATTTAATCAATAATATAACAGTCTTGAATGAATAACTATTGATAATATAACAGTCTTGAATGTATAGCTATTGATAATTTACCAGTCCTATAAATATATTTCATTAATTTAATCAATAATATAACAGTCTTGAATGAATAACTACGATAATTTACCATTCCTATAAATATATTTCATTAATTTAATCAATAATATAACAGTCTTGAATGAATAACTATTAATAATTTACCAGTCCTATAAATATATTTCATCAATTTAATCAATAATATAACAGTCTTGAATGAATAACTATGATAATTTACCAGTCCTATAAATATATTTCATTATTTTAATCAATAATATAACAGTCTTGAATGAATAATTATTGATAATTTACCAGTCCTATAAATATATAATCATTAATTTAATCAATAATATAACAGTCGTGAATGAATAACTATTGATAATTTACCAGTCCTATAAATATAAAAATTTAATCAATAATATAACAGTCTTGAATGAATAACTATTGATAATATAACAGTCTTGAATGTATAGCTATTGATAATTTACCAGTCCTATATATATAAACTCATTAATTTAATCAATAATATAACAGTCTTGAATGAATAACTATGATAATTTACCAGTCCTATATATATAAACTCATTAATTTAATCAATAATAGAACAGTCTTGAATGAATAACTATTGATAATTTAACAGTCATGAATGTAAAATTATTATTTTTTTTCACCATTCTTGAGCTGGGAACTATTAAACTGTGGATATCGAGATCTTGTTTATCTGCAGATTAAGTTAATCTTTATTCGATATCCGCAGTGGAATTGAAATAAGAAGATTAAGCATTAATCGTTTAATATCACATTTCCCAATGTGTAAATCCGTATCTATTAGGATTATAAGTATCAAACAAAAAATTTCCAGCTCAGAACATTTTCGAGAAGAACTAATAATTATTTATCAGCCCTTAATATAATATTTTAGCTTTAAAAAAGTCTTGAGGCCTGAATAAAAAATTGGAGAAAAATTTATCTTAAGCCTAAGCTACAATTTAGACTAAATTAAGGCCCAAGCCTCGAGATATGCTTGACTAGATGTAAAATAAATCAAATCTATGGTACACTTTTGCCGTAAATAATAATCTAAAATAACTGTTAGTACTATTGTAATAAAAAATAGAGACTATAAACTAAGAAAAGAATATTTTAATTAACAATGCATAATAAAAGAACAACTATAGTAACATGATTTCTCAAAAACATCCCTTAAAACTAAAGAATCTAAAATCGTATTTTGCCAAAACTCTTTTATAACCCAACATTCTAGGTGTGGGAAAACTGGGTATTCAATGCAGAAGAAGAGGAAGGAAAGAAACTAGAACTAAAACTAGACTGAATTACAAAACTGAATAATAAATTGTCTTCAGACGTCAAGTGAGCATACAAAACAGTAAACATTAACCGCAGAGTGGGACTATAGGAGACAGAAGAAAGAGAAAGACACCTCAAACTGAAAACTAAAATGAGTAAATGCGACCTTTCTTGTAATATTTGAGGAGGACCATGGTACCGTTTACACTTTTATCAAAAATGTGGAGCATTTCGTGTGTTTTAGATTAAATTATTTAAAACTGTTGAATTTTTACAATTTTGTTCATCGTTTCTGAAGCAAAAAATCCGAAAGTCACTTTTAAAAGAGAAACCACAATCGAAAAAATCTTTTTATCGAGATCCTGGATCTCTCAATTAATGTTTGATGTGATAACACTTTTCCGGGTACTGCTGGAAATCGGTCATGCCACCGTATAAACGTGTACACTCTACACAGTCCCTTTAAATAAATATATATATATATATATATTATTTTATACCTATGAAGGATACCCTTGCACCATCCATCCTCTCTCCGCTTCACTAAACTTATTACATCACCAACCTTCATATATATACAGTGAGATTCATAAAACTGTGGAATAGGAAGAGTTATGATTTGTATCATACTTAAATTGATTTTCAAGTTACTGGCGAAGTTAATAGCGAAATTATTTGCTACAAAAAACATCATCAAATAAACACAATATTGCTGAAATATGCTGTCCTGAGACCGAATTTAAAGAATTTGAGCGGCGGCTTAAATTTAAGCCGCGGCTCAAATATTGTTGGTTCCACTTAAAATTGTATTCAATGTTTCAAGATTTAAGCCGGCGCTCAATTGAAACCGGTTTTTGGCGGATTTAAGACGCGGCTCAAATTCATTAAATCCGGACACTGGAGAGATAAAAAACAAGTTAGAAAACAATATCTATCAGAAAACAGTAAAATATTTGAAATTATGAAATCAGTATTCCCTAATTATCCCGATTAGTGCGATTATTCACCTGTAACTCAATCTCGTAATCGGAGCTAGCTGGGAAGGGTACAACACATCTAGGTTCATAATATTAAATCAAATATATTTGACAAGTGACATACCAGCTCGTCAACGTATTTATCAGTTACTACACAATAAAACAGTTACATTTCCTATTTACACCGTTGTCTGAGGAAAGGGAAAACTTTGGAAGTTACAGTTGTTTTTTCCTTTTTGACCTCCAGTAAACATTTGCAAACAACTTTTCAGTTAAAGAAAACAATCGAAGATACTCAATTTTAAACAGAAAACAAGCATATCTTTGTTTTCATACTCTGAAGAGTACCATTGTGAATCGGACATACAACTTATTAATAAGAGGATCGATCACTTGAAATTACATCCACAGTCCCTTTTTTCACTTTTCACGAACACTCCCATTAAGAAGGAGAATCGTTTGGTCCATAAAAAGGGGCATTCAACACATCCCAGCTGGTCCAAAGCGGTCTTAAACAGGGTTATGAGCGAGAGCATTTTCCCCCACAAAATTGGCTAAAATTTTGAACATCATGATATCATCTATATTTGACCCAATATATAAAGGACATTACAGAAAAACTATTCCCTGATATTGGATGTCAGATGGGGCCGTAAAAGAGGTGTTGGGGAGATGGGTGATAATAGTAATAGTAATAATAATAGTAATAATAATACTATTACTATTACTATTACTATTACTATTACAATAGTAATAATAGCTTTAAAAAACTTCTGGTGCTGGACAGACATACAATTTACAAACAAAATAACAAATGCTAGGTGACCTTCTGGACAGATGAGAACACATTGGTAATACGAGATGGTAGTTTTTAAGGAGGTCTTCCAGAAAGTCTTAATGGTCTAATTTAGTCTAAGTCTATCTCTATAACACAAGGACTTTGAGGCACCCTATTCCCGTGACTTCAAGACCAAATTAAGACTATCCGGAGCGCCTTCTGGACCAGCTGGTATTGTTCTCAAGTTATTAATTCTATAGAATTAATCTTCCCACTAATTTTTCTTGTTTCAAACTTATAATAGCTTTATAAATTCTTTTTGAAAATTTGTAAAAAAAACCCTTAGAAACGATGCTAATCTCTATTTAAAATAGACAAAATTTCAGCAGAATTCAATTTTGTAATTTTCTTTTCAAATAGATACAATAGTCTCTTAAAAAACAAAAACCCTTTTAAGTAAAAAAATCATGAAGGAACTTTTAAACTGAAAAAAAAATCATCAATCATGAATTTTTCTTGTAGAAAATATTTTTACCAAGACCAAGACTTTAACAATTAAAAAAAATATTTCAAAATTGCTTCTCCTGTCTAGAACCCAATTTCTGCCCTTAAAGATTATTTAGGTCCCTAATCTTAGGATGTTTCTATATGTTTTTGGAAACAAATTCAGGTTCTTAAAGGGAGTGTTCGCAAAAAATGAAAGGGGGTATAAACTTACGGCGAAAAATAAGCGCTTTTGAATTGAATTGAATTGATCGCTACTTCTCTCACTTCTATCTGTTGCGTTTATAAGGAGAAAATTGTTAACAACGACTCATGCTAAAGAACGTAGCGTCCTTACAAATTGAGAAAGTTGCAACATTTTACTCAGAAGTAAAATAATCAATCTAATTCCAAACAAATCATTCAGATATTACAAACAATAGTTATCAATCTTTTTTCGACGCATTCGTTTATAGTTAATATTTCATAATATTTTTTATTTAGTTTTTAAATAATATTTCTCTGGCGCTGGATTTTCGAACATTCCTGGAAAATATGAAAATGTCGTCTTCATTGTAAAAAAATCCTCGAAACAGGAACTCTCATAAAAAAGAAGAAATATTATGAAATATCAACTATATGCGAAAATGTCAAAAAACTATCGATGATTATTGGTTGTATTATCTGAATGATTTGTTTGGAATTAAATTAATTTTTTACGAACTGAGTTAAATGTTGCAACTTTCTGAATTTGTATGGACGGTATGTTCTTCGGTACGAGTTGTTTTTAACAATTTTCTCCTTATAGGCACACCAGATAGAAGTAAGATTAGTAGCGATCAAAAGCGCTTATTTTTCGCCGTAGTCTTTACCCCCTTTCATTTTTCGCGAACACTTCCTTTAACCTTAAGCTATATAGTGTGTTTCCCAGATAAGTAAATAGTAAATGATAAAGTTAAACAAAAATATATCCCTACCTGTATCTCTCCCCTTTGCTTCTTAACCCCTTAGATTGGTCGGCATTAGAATGAGATCTTGAGATATTTTGTGCATGAGTCTTCTTTAAAGTTTCTCTGTACAAACCATACCAATTAAACTAAAGTAAATTTAACGTTTGATTGAATCTACTGTTCTCAAAAATGACTCTTCTTGTAGGGAAGCTATCGAGTAGAATAATAATGTTTTAAATTTTTAAAATGTAACCAGATATATTTCTTTTCTCATACTTGTACGTGAAATCAAAACTAAAGGAGATTCGAGGTCACAAAGTAGGACCAGTAATGTCGCATAAATTTTACCCTCTCTTTCTGTTCAGTTTGCAGTGATGACCGAACAGATCTAAAAACATAAACTTCTTGAACTCTATACAACTATTATTACAGCTGTCAGGGGACCCTCCCTTTACTGAGTGGCATGTCCGATTTTCCTTATCTGATTCAGGATGGTAGAGATTCCTTAAATTCTATCTACGATATTATCCTGACTGAGCTCTGACAGACCTGAAGCCTAGAGGGTATCGTATAAGATCAGACGTGAAACTCTGTGAATGGAAAGACAATTGAAATTGTTTTTCAACCTTTAACCTGTAAGCGTAATTTCAAGTAACTCCATGCAAAGATGGCAATGCCCAATTTCAACAACTTTTAGAAAGTAAATATTAATATTTCTTGAATATAAACCAGCTTGCAAACAATTGTTAACGCCATTCTTGTACAAATGGATGGTTACTTAAAATTATACCTACAGTCCCTTTAATACGAATGGTTGGTCAGAAATTATGAAAGTATGATTCCCTGAGATTTTTTAGTTTTTCTGTTCTCTCCTCCTCGGTTTCCTCAGTAGTTTGATTCTTCTTTGTTCCCGCAATCTACAAAATTTGTATAATCTACAATATTTGTATGGACCGCAATATTTGTATAATCTGAAAATATTTGTATGGACTGCAATATTTTCATAGACCACAATATTCGTATAATCTGAAAATATTTGTATAGACTGCAATATTTTCATAGACCACAATATTCGTATAATCTATATTTGAATAATCTGCAATATTTGTATAGACTGCAATATTTGAATAATCTGCAATATTTTTGTAATATGCGATATTTGTATAGACCACAATATTCGTATAATCTGAAAATATTTGTATAGACTGCAATATTTTCATAGACCACAATATTCGTATAATCTGAAAATATTTGTATAATCTGCAATATTTGTATAATCTGCAATATTTGTATAATCTGCAATATTTGAATAATCTGCAATATTTGTATAGACTGCAATATTTGAATAATCTGCAATATTTTTGTAATATGCGATATTTGTATAGACTGCAATATTTTCATAATCAGCAATATTTGTATAGACCGCAATATTTTTATAGACTGCAATATTTTTATAATTTGCAATATTTGTAAGGACTGCAGTATTTTATAATCTGCAATATTTTTATAAGCGGCAATATTTGTGTAATCTGCAATATTTGTATAATCTGCAATCCTTTTATAATCTGCAATATATTTATAACCTGGAATATTTTCATCATCTGCAATATTTTTAAAATCTGCCATATTTTTATGATCTGCAATTTATTTAAATCTATTAAATTTTATATAATCTGCAATATTTTTAAAATCTGCAAGATCTTTATAATGTGCAATATTTTAAGAATCTGCAATATTTGTAATATCTGCAATAACTTTATAATCTGCAATTTTTTATGATAAACAATATTTTAAGAATCTGAAATATTTTTATATTTTGCAATATTTTTTTAAAATTTGCAATATTTGTATAATCTGCAATATTTTTACAATCTGAAATATTTTTATTTTCTGAAATATTTGTTTAAATATAATCTGCAATAAAAATAACTACACTATTTTGCAAATATAATCTGCAATTGTAGTTATTCAGAGTGCCTAAAAAACGTTGCCGTTCTAATTCAATTCACGAGCTGTGTAAAATTAAATGTATAAAAGAATCATTAAATCATGAAAAGTTTGATTTATTCTCTCAAGAGAATATTCTATTAATATTCTCAAATAAGTTTCCCTCGTCAACAAGGTTAAAAGCAATGACGTGAATACTAGAGTACATTTTGTAAAATTTGAAAATTATCATTAAATGGACTTGCGACGTAATTTTCAGTAATTAACCATATTACAAAGTTACATGTCCAATTTACAACGGTACTTTTTGTCAGAGAATATATGATGTAGATATTCTTGTTTTTCTATCCGAAAATTCTTAATTTAATAGTTTCTATGTCGAAGTGACTAGCGGATTTAAGCATAAGAAACAATAAAGGTAATTTTGAGAATTTTAAACTTTTCAAGTAAAAAACCCGATATCTTCCTTAGTGTTGCTCAGATAAAGGTTGAAAGGGAACAGTTTTGACTCAGACATTCCATTAACAATAATATGACGTCTACATACAGTCTTCCTAAGTTGTAAACCTACCTCCTGAGACGAACCAGACCATTTTTCCAAATGATTTCCAGGGAAAACTCCAGATTTTCCAGTACTCAGACATTTCCCCCTGATAACAGATAATTTTCATTAAAACATGAAAATTAAAACACAAAAACAAAATAAAGATTACGTTCAGGTGTATTTCTGGTTTTACAAAAAATTGTATAATACAGGATACTTTTTAAGCATTGAAGTTAGAACATTTGTGTTGTTAATCTTGGGATCAAGCATTGATCTACGTCTTAGATATCCTATGACAGTCACACCCGGCAGGGATACAGCATTTATCCTCAAAATTTATAAATGCCCACATTGGATATCGAGATCAAGCATTCAAGATTAACGATATCCACACAAATGTTCCAAGCTTCTGTAACATTTTAGTAGTTTATACCAACAAACAACTCAATTTTTAAGTTTTCAGATTAAGACGCTTAAATAAACTTTATTTTAACGGCCAATGATTTACCCAGATACCAACCACCAAGTAGAATTTCAAAGTGCGGTACCGAGCACTACGAATTATCATTAAAAACCATTATTCCCAACCAAAAGACCAGGTTTTAATAAAAGCATTTGTATTTTCCTTTTTACCATTTCCCGACAAAGTAATGAGTTCTCCCAGCATGTTAGCTTGAGAAATATGAATATATATGATAACCTTCATATTTTGTGCAATTTGTACAAATACATACATAAGACAAACCCAATACACATTATACATATACAAACAAGGGTCCCAGAGGATCTTAGAACTCCTGTTTCTTATTTAGCTTAGCTTTTTTTTATTAATAAAAAAACAAATTTACTTTTTACGTAATATTATACTAATGGTCAATTCTATATTTCGATAACATGGAATGTTCACAAAAAAATGAAAAAAGGGTAAGATATATAAGTTTAAACCTTGTCCAAGGCGCTAATTTTAATTATTAAAAGGACTGTAAGCGCAATTTCAAGTGACACTCTATACAAAGATGACAATTTTCGATTCACAACAATATCGTTAAAACTGTTTTCTGATCAAAAATGAATTAGATATCAATATTTCAAATTTCAATAATCTGAATTAAAGTGGTTTAAAGCTAGAAAAACGACAATATCTTTCACATTATTGATCAGATAAAGGTTTCAAGGGCATTATCATCTTAACATGGATGGCCGCTTAAAATTATGAATTATACGCACAGCCCCTTTAATACTATATAATCAATTCAATACTTGATTTTTTCGGGTAGCAGGGAAACATTGTCATATCAATTTCACTTAGCAAAATAGATGGTATAACTTAAAATATTATTAAACCCTATTCAATTTTGGAAAACACTCCCTTTACCTGTTCCACCCATCCTGACAAAGTTCAGTAACCAAATATAGTTTTCCCTTCCTCAAACTAAAATATAAATCTATATTTTCCCCACCAACATACATATATAAAAATGTTTATAAATATGGTCTATATATATGTTAAACCAAATCATAGTTGAAGCAGTAAAATAAGTAAAATAGCCTTAGGCGTACTGTAAAGAAAACCAAACAACTATTTTGACATAGTTAGGAAGTGAGTGAAAAGTTAGTTTTAAACATAACTAAACCACTGCAGTGAATGTTTTACCCGTACTCCCCCCCCCCAAATTAAATTAATTGATTATCTGGTTGCTGTACCTTAGTTCATCAGGTTGCGTAGCGTTAAAGTCATAAATAGCTTTGTAAATCTGATGATGAAGTTCAACCGAACGGTGTGGAGTCCACTGCTGTTGTTGAGGTTGTGGTGAAGGAGAGAGCTGTTGCTGTTGAGAAAGATCTGTCTGTGCAGTTGGCTGCTGGCGATTAGACAGCGAAGAAGTTGAAAAATCAAAAGGATTTAATGTTAATGGTTTGTGAAGACTTAGTTTGGATTGCTGTTGTTGTTGTTGCTGTTGTTGTTGAAGGGTTCGAGGTTGTTGAACTTTTTGAAGTGGGGTTTGCTGTTGATGAAGGGATAGTTGCAGTTGTTGTTGAAGGGGGGTCTGATGTTGTTTCACTTGTTGAAGACATTGTTGCTGTTGCATAAAAGGTTGTTGCTGCTGCTGAATAGATCCAGGTGGATGGATGAGAGCCCTAGGACTCAGTTGCCATCCCTTCAAAGGGTTTAAGAGCGGTCTTTCGGGAACCTTTTCAGAAAAGGTTTAAATTGTTTTGTTAAAGTGAAAGTAAGCGAAATTTGACGTAGCTAACCTTCACGCAAAGAAGGCACAATGCCCGATTTACAACAGTACCTTTAAACCCCTTAATCTGATAAAAAATGTGGAAGATACTGTCGTTTTTCTGACTTGAAAATCTGATAATCATTTTATTGCTTTTTAAAGAAAGAAATGCGCAAGTTAATTTTGCAGAGAAAACGCAAATAAACAGCTTAAGGAAACAAAATTATGGATATCTTATTCATACATGATCAGACAAAGCTTTAAAGGGTACCGTTGTGAACAGGGCATCGGCCATCTTGGAGGGTCACTTGAAATTACACTTACAGTCCCTTTAAGAAAAGGTTTTAGTTGTTTCGTTAAGTCTTGGTAATACGAAAATATTTATGATTATTGATTAATATGCCAATGATAATTGATTACTAATCTAATAACTAAACCTTTTCATGATCATATAGTTAATAAAAGATAATTAAGTACCTCTGGTGGAGGTGGAAGTAATTTGATATCTGCCTCTGTATCTGGTTAAACCAAACTTGTGGAAGGCTGTTTAATAAGGTTGGTTATTCTCGATGCGCTCCAATGCACGGAAAATGTCGTCTCCAAAGATTATACAAACCTAATATGACGTCACAATCTCCTCTATAATCAGTGACGTCATATTAGGTTTTTATCCATCTTAGGAGAGGACATTTTCCATACGATCGAGCGCATCGAGAATATGATAATCTTATGAGGAAAAAAATGTAATAATGGAAATTCTTAAAAAGATGAACTAATCTTGATTTATTCTTTAACGAAGGCCGCAGGCCTGAGTTAAAGAATGCATCAAGATTAGTTCATCGAGTTTAAGAATTCCATTATTACATTTTTATCCTCATAAGATTATTATTATATCATATTTGTGAGGTTCCATGGGCACATACCCAAGAAATTATAGTAAAAGATATTTCTGGTGAAATCCGACAATTTCAAATTTCATAAGTAAAAATTGGTTCTTAATTTGAAAGTAATGCATGTGGTGCGATTGTTTCCTTAGTTTAGTTTGTTTGTTTATTAATTTCTTATGATTTTGGCTTGTTTTTTCAAGTTGATACTACACTTAGACACAGCATGTTGAATTTGCTCCGAGTTTTTTTAGATGGAGAGAAGGTATAGTAGTAGGTTGTCTGAATTTACTGAACAAAATCGTGCTTTCATTTATAGAAGAAATCATTTCCTGGATATTAGAGGAATTCTTACACGATAGGTTTACTACTATGGAACCGAACAGATATGATATAATAACTAACCTTATTATACAACCTTTCTATCTACCAAATCCATAATATTAAAAACTAGTCGACTGTCATTTTAACTTTAAAACTGATTTGATGTTAACAAAACTTCCTGATTTCTTAATTTTCAACAATAATTGAGATATTATTTTTTTAAATAAGGGGTTGGAAAATACAAGATTTTAAAGAAATATATTCACCCCGCGGTGACACAAGAAAGAGAAGCGAGAGACATTGCATGTATCAAGTTTGTTTTATATTCTTAATATAAAAATACAAAAGATATTTCTTCTATGGTAGATTTTTTCAGAAGTTATAAGGGAAATAAACAAAACAGGGTTTTCTTCCTTATTTATTCAATTCATAAATGTTGAAAGAAACTAAGTGTTTTAATCAGTCCTCAACTGGGAACCAAGATTGATTTGGATAAAATTGTTTAACGTACGTCCTACACCCAAATAATGCCACATCAACATTTAAATACATTCAATCTGCCACAAATAGTATTGAAAGTTCATAAGCTCCGATTTTTAATATTCCTTTTAACATGAAATACAGAAATTTTGCAGTTTAAACAGATTTCACTTTTATAAGTTGATTCTCAAGCTAACGAAAAAACTGTTCGCTCTAGTACCATGTAGATCATACATAATCGACTGCTTAAATGTCGTCTTTCTATTTCACAGTTTTATGGGGCCACTGTAGTATCCTTATAGATAAAATCTTCCACAAAAATAAGTCTTAACACTACCCCTATATCTCTAGATAAACCCCGGAAGGTAGAAATCCCTTGAAAAAGGATTGAAACTGAAACTAGATAATATTATTTTTTAGTTAATTTAATTTGGTTTGATTCCTTTATTAGAAGCTGAAGATGGGTTGGAAACATTTAGTAGATCTAGGAAAGGATTGGTATTCAGATTCCCTAAAATCAAAATCAATTTTATCATGAAATTGTACATTTTATAATACTCAGTTTGCTTTGAACATAATTAAAACTGTGCTTTTAAGTATAAATTGTACGTACATTACATACTGTTAAGTCATTTATATCTTATGAAATTGACAAAATTATTAAAAATTAAGAATTTGTTACAAAATGTTAGACTTTGACCGTTGACAAGAAACAAAGACTGTTTGACCCAATCAATAAGAATTAATAGTAAAAAACTAAATCTAAATCTAAATCGGAAGTGGAAATCTAATTAAAAAACTACATTCTGTCACTGATTAAACATCAAAAATTGAAGTGCATTTTAGTATTCAAATGATGATTCTACAGTTATTATTAATTACAAGCAGAATCGATGTCGTCTTCGATTTTTCATTTTGTTTTCATTCTACAGCAGATGCAAATTACAAAATCCTTCGCCGGCATTACTAATCGTAAGAAAGAACAAATATAACAATAATTTTAATTTCTATTTGATGATCACTGTATTGCCGGGATAATTACCTTGAATTGGAGAAGCATGTAGAGGAGATGAACCTTGTGAACTGAACCCTGAAGATGGTTGAGCTGGTCCTGATGAAGATGGTGCTAGATACGGTGGTCTGGAAGGTATAAGAGAAGAAGTATGAGGTTGCAGATCCTGGGGTTGGATCAGGACTGATGGTGTTAATAATGATCTTGAGGATATTAATGAAGGTCTAGTTGCAGATGAGATATACGAGGGTTGAAGCGCTGTTGGAAGAGATGAATTGAGCGGAGAGGATGGATAGAATGAGGAGGATGAATGGAATGCGGAGGATGAATGGAGTGGAGAGGAAAGATGTAATGAGGAGGATGAATGGAGCGGAGAGGATGGATTAAAAGAAGAGGATGAATGAGCTGGAGTATGAAAATGGATTGAAGAAGTAGAATCAACTATTGAGTTTGATGCAGTAGATAAATGAGCAGAGGTACAGGAGGTATTAGAACCAGGGCCCAGAGAACAAGATGCAAACAACGTGGTCAGATTACTTGATGAACCTGAACGGATTTATTTAGAAGAATCGTCCTTGATCTTTGAAATAATTTGCAGCTTTGTGGGTCAACATTATTCACAAATATAATTCTTGAAATATAATCAGCCCTGCCCTGGGTCTTAATATTTACAAAATGCATTTCTAAGTTACAGGAGATAAAATGAATTTCACAAATATCAATTTAGTAAATAAAACAACGATTTTTAAAATCTTGACGGAATTAGGTAGACACCTAAATAACGCGCCAAATTATTTCAAAGAGACAGACAACCTTTAAGTCTTATCTAAACTGTCAACTTGTCAAATTTCATGGAAAACCCATTAGATATCCTGTAGGACAACCACGGTTGTTTAGTGTTGAGGTTAATACAAAAATAAAAATCATTTACAAATCTTTACGTCATCTTAATCTATCTATATACTTTGCTTGTCCGTCTGTTTGTTTGTTTGAATCTAATAAACGTCAAAACGACTGAACTAATCCGAATTTTTGTTGGACCTCTGATTCTGGGAAGGTTTATGAATTTCAGGGCGCGCCATCTTTAATTTCAATTGTAAACAGTTTCTCTTTGTGTACAGTGTAAAACAAAAAATCGCGGATTTTATAAGAAAAATTGAAAATTTTCAAACTTTTTCGGAAATCAAATTTTGGCTCTAACAAAATTCGATTTTGAAAATTTACGAAATTGTTATTTTTTATGAAATCCGCAAATTTTTGTTTATTTTTGTGTACAATGTATACAAAGAGAAAATGTTCACAATTAAAATAAAAGATGGGCCTTCTATTCGCCTAGTCTTAAATATTACATAAACTAAAATATACAATTCCAAATGTCATCACTGATATGAGTAATAAGTAAAGTAGTTGGCTATTTTTATGATCCAGGGAACTAGAACAAAACAGTAGAGTTATAACTTTAGAAACGAACTTTACACAATCCCCCNNCCCCCCCCACCCAGCATCCTTTGCTGTATGATCACAATGAGGAAGGAGAGTTGAACCCCCCTGAGTTAAAGTCCCTATCAACTAACCTGTTATATCTGTTGATATCTGTGGTATTGTTGAGCTCTGTATTCCTTGTATAGATTGTCCCCGGGATACTGCTGTAAGTCCTGTAAGGTCAGATGTAGGTTGAGACCAGCAGTTTGTACTCTTCTCACAATTATCCTAGATTAAATTCATTCTAGAAACAAAAATATTCTCGGGAGAAAATTAGTAAAATTTTCAGATTAAATTTTCCTAAAAATCTGCAATTCTCTTAAATGTAAAATATTTAAAAACAAAGAAGGAAGAATTTTGTATTCATCGTTAGCAGCGTCCCACGTAAATGTCTCAATACGACTTTCTTTGAACAGATTGAAAAGATCAAGTTTAGATAAAATATTTTAACAGGGTGCTCAATACTTAGTGATAAAAACCTATTCAAAATCTTTTTAAAAGAATTTAGTTCCGCTAAGAAAATTAAGAATAATTAGAAAATTTTAATAAAACAATTAAAGTGCATCAACTAGAGAATAATTACAGAACAACTAAAGTGGATCAACTAGAGAATAATTACAGAACAACTAAAGTAGATCAACTAGAGAATAATTACAGAACAACTAAAGTAGATCAACTAGAGAATAATTACAGAACAACTAAAGTAGATCAACTAGAGAACAATTACAGAACAACTAAAGTGGATCAACTAGAGAATAATTACAGAATAACTAAAGTAAAGACCAACTAGAGACAAAAACAGAACAACTAAAGTAGATCAACTAGAGAATAATTACAGAACAACTAAAGTAGATCAACTAGAGACTAAAACAGAACAACTAAAGTAGATCAACTAGAGACTAAAACAGAACAACCAAAGTAGATCAACTAGAGACTAAAACAGAACAACTAAAGTAGATCAACTAGAAACAACAACGGAACAACCAAAGTAGATCAACTAGAGACTAAAACAAAACAACTAAAGTATAGATCAACTAGAGAGAAAAAAAGAAAAACTAATGTAGATCATTTAGAGACTAAAACAAAACAACTAAAGTATCAACCAGAGACAAAAACAAAACAACTAAAGTATAGATCAACTAGAGACTTAAAACAAAACAACTAAAGTATAGATCAACTAGAGAGAAAAAAAGAAAAACTAATGTAGATCATTTAGAGACTAAAACAAAACAACTAAAGTATAAATCAACCAGAGACAAAAACAAAACAACTAAAGTATAGATCAACTAGAGACTTAAAACAGAACAACTAAAGTATACATCAACAAGAGACAAAAACAGAACAACTTAAGTAAAGATCAACTAGAGACTAAAAAAAAACAACTAAAGTAGATCAAATAGAGACTAAAACAGAACAACTCAAGTATAGATCAACTAGAGACTAAAAGAAAACACCTAAAGAAGATCAACTAGACTAAAACAAAACAACTAAAGAAGATCAACTGGAGACTAAAACAAAACAACTAAAGATGATAAACTGGAGACTAAAACAGAACAACTAAAGATGATCAACTGGGGCTAAAACTACAAAAAACTAATTACAGAATAAACAGGACAGCTAGAGATCAATGAGATCAATTAAAGAATAAACAGGACAGCAAGAGATCAATTACAGAATAAAAAGGACAGCTAGAGATCAATTACAGAATAAGCAATCAGCTAGAGATCAGCTAAAGAAGAAACAGGACAGCTAGAGATCAATTACAGAATAAACAGGACAGCTAGAGTTAAATTACAGAATAAACAGGACAGGAAGAGATAAGTTTCAGAAAAAACAGGACAGCTAGAGTTAAATTACAGAATAAACAGGGCAGGTAGAGATCTATTACAGAATAAACAGGACATCTAGAGATCAAATAAGAATAAAAAGGACATGTATAGATCAATTACAGAATAAACAGGCAGGTAAAGATAAGTTACAGAATAAACAGGACAGCTAGAGTTAAATTACAGAATAAACAGGGCAGGTAGAGATAAATTACAGAATAAACAGGATACGTTACAGAATAAACAGGACAGCTAGAGTTAAATTACAGAATAAACAGGGCAGGCAGAGATCTATTACAGAATAAGAAGGACATGTATAGATCAATTACAGAATAAACAGGACAGCTAGATTTAAATTACAGAATAAACAGGACATGTATAGATCAAATACAGAATAAACAGGACATGTATAGATCAAATACAGAATAAACAGGACAGGTAGAGATAAGTTACAGAATAAACAGGACAGCTAAAGTTAAATTACAGAATAAACAAGACAGGTAGAGATAAGTTAAAGAATAAACAGGACAGCTAGATATCAATTACAGTATAAACAGAGCAGGTAGTGATAAGTTAGAGAATAAACAGGACAGCTAGAGATCAATTACAGAATAAACAGGACAGCTAGAGATCAATTACAGAATAAACAGAGCAGGTAGAGATAAATTACAGAATAAAACAGGGCAGGAAGAGATAAGTTACAGAATAAACAGGGCAGCTAGATTTAAATTACAGAATAAACAGGACATGTATAGATCAATTACAGAATAAATAGGGCAGGTGGAGATAAGTTACAGAATAAACAGGACAGCTAGAGTTAAATTAAATTAAATCAAATCAAATAAACATCTAAATAATACTTGACCTGGAGGGTGGATGAAAAAATATTCTGATTTAGTGTTGGCGGATAGACAATGGAAGACTCACTTTCTGTTTTTATCACAGCTAAATAATGATATTCTTTTTCATTAGAACTACAAGGTGTCCAAATAAACATAGGAATTTAATGACGACTTTTGTGCTATCTTTATTCCATGCAGGATTATTTTGTAACCATTTTGTAGTATCCTAGTTAAGACATAATTTCATTCCGAAGGCGTCGATATTTTTTTTTAAGTTTAATCTTTTTTAATGCAATTTATGTCATTAATCGGAAATCAAAGATGATATTCAAGTCGTTTCTCAATTCCCATGATTATTGGGACACCCTGTAGATGAACTATTCGGGTTTTATGTCCCCGGTATGGAAGTAGATGTGAAGAAGAACGAATATCTGTTTTATCGTTTGCTTTATTTGGCGGAAATGAATCATAAAGAGTTTTTGCATCCTGGTAAAGTAACCTTGATTAGTGCATAAAATCTTCATTGAAGAAATAAACTGTTTCATCAAGGAAGATGAGATGAAGTATGCATACTGTACACAACACAGTTTTCAGCATTCTTTAATCAGAAATTCATGATTTGTTTGATTTCTGTTAATTATACCTTGAATAGTTGGTGAGTTGAGTCCAAATTTCGGAGTATTTGATGAGATTAGACTCGCATGTGAATTTATATTCGATACTCTGGAGTCTAAATATAAAATGGTTCAAAGACTTTACAAATATTAGTTATACTGCAGACTGATATTACTGATAATTCGAAAGAGGAAACATAACTCCAATAGAAAACTTTCGTTTCTAGAAGTGAAATCTTAATTTTTTGGATAATGATCGTGTCATGATAACGAAACATGAATTATCCGAACCCTGCTTAGAAGGATTCCGCCCTCCCTGCTTAAATATGGGAGGAAAGGAAGCCACACCAACAGAGGCGTATACAGGGGGGGGCTATGGGGGCTCAGCCCCCTCCCTGAAAAAGTAGAGGCTTTGATTTTCAGTGGGGGTTAAGGAGCGTCCAATTAGACTTAAATTGGTCCAGGGGGGCTCAAATTGTTCCAGAGGGGGGGGGCTCCCCTAAAAATTTTGCCCATCGGCCACATTTTTATGCCCCTAGACTTGATCCTAAATACAATTCTGATTCCGAGCCACATTATCTCCTCCGAGCAAGTGCAACTGTGCAATAGTCCTTGCATTTATGCAATTAAATTATCAATGATTTAAAACTGTTTAATGAGGTCACATTAGGGCAAACCTTACTGTAATACATTTAAGTCAACTTTTATTAAATATTTACATAGAAACCCAAAGAGCAAGCATTTGTAAGTGGCTCGGATAATGAGAATGACATGGCTCGGATAATGAGAATGACATGGCTCGGATAATGAGAATGACATGGCTCGGATAATGAGAATGACATGGCTCGGATAATGAGAATGACATGGCTTGGATAATGAGAATGACATGGCTCGGATAATGAGTATGACATACATGGCTCGGATAATGAGAATGACATGGCTCGGATAATGAGAATGACATGGCTCGAATAAAGACTCAATGTGTCTTTTCTTTCAGTTTAATTCACTTACTTTGTGATGGTTGTAAATGAGATTGATTTAGAGGATCGGATTGGGTTTCTTTCTTCACATTTATTTTAGGTGCTGCCGCTAAACTTCTTTCAGATTGTTTTAAACCCTAAATAAAAATCCTCAGAATTTCGCTAATTCTAAAAAAAACTGATTTTTCTGGGTTAACAAAATTCCAAATTCCATTAATACAAAACTATCAACCTATTTGTAGCATACCAATCGTTTCAATAATGTTTTTAAAACCGCCATTTTTTCCTAATTGGGAAAGTTGCAACATACGACTCGGATCGCAAAGAAATAAATTTAATATCAAACAAATTATTTAAATATTACAACCTAGTGATCGATTATTTTTAGACACATTTGAATATAATTAATGATTTGTTTGAAATTAAATTGATTTTTTGCGATCCGAGTCGTATGTGGCAACTTTCTCAATTTATATGGACGTTACGTTCTTCAGTACAAGTCGTTTTTAACAATTTTCTCATTATAGACGCAACAGATAGAAGTAAGATTAGTAGCGATCAAAAGCGCATATTTTCGCCTCCCTTTAACAAAAGAACATTTCTGATGAGAAAGTTTTTTTTTCACTTTACCCTTGTATAGTTTAGGCATTAAGTATTTACCTCCAGTAACCTATTGAGAAGTATATTAGAGGGTAAAGAGGATATTTCTACTGTTACAGGAGACCTGCATTCAGGACAGAGCAAACTACCTTTCTTCTTAATCACATCCTGAAGAATAGAAATAAATATATTATTATTGTTATTAAAAGACAACCCATCATTCATTAAAAAAGGGGGTCGAACGCTCCCGGCCAAAAAAAGACCTATTACTGAATCTCTTCATTAATGATTGAATGTGAATTGAGATGACAATCCACATTTAAATGAAAAGATCAAAATTTAAATTTTGCAACTTGCAACTTTGCAAACTTACCAAAAATACTAGATTCCCCCAAAAAATGTATTGGACTCTCAAAATAGTCGTTTTAAGTAAAAATTCTGTAAGAATAATAATAATCTATTTGACAAAAAAAATAATTCGAAAAGATTGCTTAATTTTTGTTTGAAAATTGTGATTGCATTCAAATGTCAAATATTATTTTATCACCTTTAACCATCAACATAAACTTCAAATTAACAAAATGGCATACATAAAATTTGATATATTGGAACTTATATCTAGGATTATAAAAGTTTATAGATTTTTTATGTGAAAAAGTAGGTTCTATTGAATTAGTAGAATCCATTGAAAGAAGTTAAACTATATTTCTGCAGACGACACTGTTAACTGTAATTTCTGCAATTTCAATTATAAAATTTTAAGGGATTATAAGGAATTATAAGGGATTATAAGGGATTATAGATATAGTGGAACTCAGAAACTGCTTTGCTGTGGAATCTTAATCAAAACTTTCTGAGAGAGATCATCATTGGTTTCATGGGTGTTCCTTTCCTAGGGGGTACACCCAAATCACCTTGAACCTAGCCGAATGCAGTTAAGGCTAGGAGGTCTTTTAATTTCTTTCTAAATTACTGCAAGACACTGATACATGTAATGCAGCTGACAAAGGGAAGTTCTCGTTACAGCAATGTCAGCAATAAACCTGCATAGATGGCCGATATCAAAAACAACTGGAATAAATATAGAAACTCAAGAGCTGATATTGAAATACTACAAATTGCCTGATCAGCTCTCGAAACTGCATAATAACCCTCCTGGGGGGCGGGGGTATGCAGCTAATTGAATGAGCAAAACAGGACAGCCAGGATCAAGAAGATTGGAAAAATGAGTATCAGCATTCTGCATTAAATACATGTATCAATTAATTTGTTTCGTAAAAAAATTATAAATAAATAAATTGATAAAGTTAAAAATAAGGGATTATAAGGGATTAAGGGATTATTTGAAAAGGAAAATCATCAGAGGCGTATTCAGGGGGGGGCTATGGGGCTAAGCCCCCCCCCCGGACAAATTCCTGAATACGCCCGTGAAAATCATTTGTTTTATCTTTAAATCAGAGCACTTTTCTTAAAAATATATATTTATATTTTCGCTAACTCTGGCGTAACGGTTGGACCAAATTAGCTAAAATTTTTGTAGGAAATATAATTCAACATTCCCCCTCCCCGGTTTTTTTAAAATTTCAGGGCAACGATTTTGCTAGTTTTACATTTACTAAACATATTTTTTTTAAATGAATATTCAGAATATTAGCACACAGTCCCCTTGTGAATTTCCCCATAGTCTTCAATCTTCCAGGGGCTCAGCCCCCATAGCCCTCCCCGTATACGTCTCAGACTACAAGTTTCTGATTTTTTTAAAATATGGAATAATTTTAGTCTGGTCCAAGATTTACCTGCAGACACTGTGTACAGAAGGTGTGCTGACAAGGAAGAACCTGAAGGAAACCAGTTTCAACCAAAAACAAAAGTTAGCATTATGAATTTTTATTGAATTTTTAATAACGTTGTTTTTAAATATAGGGGACAATTTCCTTTAGATAATATCTAGTTATAATCTTGTACGGTCGAAGGAAGGCAGAGCATTTATTTCATCCAAAAACTTTTTTATCGAGAGGGTTCGAGAATTTTTTATGTTATTTTTAACCCGTAAAAAAAGAAAAGGTTTTTGGCGTAAATTCTTAACGAGCCTCCTTCAAGAGATAATAGAGAAAATAATACCCCAGCTCAGCTGGAAATTTATGGGTTTCAGGATATGTGGTCAACATAGATAGATTGAATAGAGGCTTCCCAGGGTATACATTTTCCCTTTTCATGAAAGTTTGACGAGCAGAGGGATTAATCTGGTTAGAACCGGTTCCTTGTTAGATTCACTCAACTGCTCCAGACAAATTGAACATTCTAGAACATCCCCCCAATCCATTCCTTCTGAAAAGTTATTATCAAACCAATAGTTCTTAAATTTTTTATCCTGATAACAAATTTTCATCCAACCCACTCTGGGATTTTAAAAATACAACGGGGGGAGGGGGTGGGGGTGGGGGGGATTACTGTTCATAGACAATGTTTTACATATTTGTACAATTTTATTACACTATGAATCTTAAGTTTTTAAGATCAAATTTTAGAGATCAATAACTTTCAACTTAAATAATTAGTTTCATATTTGAGAATAAGAATTGAGATGTTAATGGTATCGATTTCAAACATAAAGGTTAGAATTTGGATACATTGTTAATCCATAAAATTGTGGAATAGGAATACATTTACGCAATATAAGGTATACTTGATGTTGCATTATTAAGCAGGAGTGTTTAATGTTGCTTTAAAATCAATTATTGAGTGAAATCTGACTGACTACACTGCAGAGTGCAGAATTGTTGTAAATTTTATATATATACATATGTGAAATAATTAATTATCATAATTCGCGTCTGATAACAGTCTTCGTATTTCACAGTTTTTGGAGTATCACTATCACTGACTAAATTTGTATCATTAAAAACAATTTTTCATATCAATTAACTTTGAAATAAATACAAAATATATAAAAACAAGGCAGCATTATTTTTAGCAGTGCTCATGATTTATTTCAATTTGGTGCGAATTCGGATCAGTCCTGTGAAAAATGGATACAACTCATCCAACTTATCTTAACAAGTTTAATTATTTTTTTTTTCAAAGAGTAAACATTATGATCTTTTTTCTTTGACCTCAATCTTCTCAAGCTTTTACAGTTAAACTTAAATACCCAAAGAGAGTTTTTTGTTTTAGATGAAAAAGGTTTTTTCTGTATATTTTGGTTGGCATTTCCATATTTGGATTTGCATATTTTTACAGATTTGGATTTTAAGCGCATAAACTAGTTTTTAATTGGTTTAAGGAATGCAGAGAGAAATTTCTACAATTCTATGAATTTATTCATTCTGTATAAAGGATGAAAATTTCTGAATTAGCAATAATACCTAAGCGAGATGAGAATAAAAATGCAATTATAAACATCACCTTTGAGATTCGAAATATTTCAAAAGAAAGGGTTGTTTTGCAAAATTTAATTTAAAGATTTAGTGATAAGTTAAATTACGAATTTTAAATTAATTAATATTCAATAAAACCAATTTTTTGTTTTTGGAAAAATATTAAAGACAATCTTGAAAATTTAATTGAACGATTTAGAACTTAAGTCACCTTAAGCATTTTTCTATTTTTTTAAAAGTTTCTTTTAACAAATTAGAAAAAGTTAAAACCTTAGAAGATCATGAACTGTGTAGTTTAAATTGTTATGGCGTGAAGAACGTTTTTAATTTAAATTTTCAATTCTGAAAATTTGAAATAAATTAAGATTCAATGGATTGTTAAGCGATAACCAAGTTAATGTAGTTACATGGTTTATGACTAATTATGTTAATAAATGGTTCTTTCTTTTATCACTGTAATTTTGTCAACATATGGAAGCAATAACATATTCGCAGGCTTCTTATTAATTAAATGGCGCTATGAAAATGAGTAATTTTGTTAATTAATTATCATAATAATGATGATCTACTTAAAAAATACATTATTTGAAGGTATATCACTAAATGATCATGTTTTTGGTTAATATCGCAATGGATGATGATATTTATGACTAGTTCTATCACGTCAGTTAATTATTATATCATTTGTCTAATCATATGATTAATTTTATCATATGACTAATTTTATCATATGACTAATTTTATCAGATGACTATTTATATCAGATGAATAATTATATCAGATGACTAATTAAATCAGATGACTTATAATATCAGATGACTAATTATATCAGATGACTAATTCTATCAGATGACTAATTATATCAGATGACTACTGCCCCTGACTCTGATCTGCTCTGGGGAAGAGAAGAACTCAATCTCCATTCATTTGTCAAAGGATCAAAGCACTCCACAGCTGAGATCGTAATCCTTAAAAGTGAAAACATTAAAATGAGTTTTATGAACAAATTAAATCAAATCAAATCAAATCAAATCAAATCAAATCAAATCAAATCAAATCAAATCAAATCAAATCAGATCAGATCAGATCAGATCAGATCAGATCAGATCAGATCAGATCAGATCAGATCAGATCAGATCAGATCAGATCAGATCAGATCAAATCAAATCAAATCAAATCAAATCAAATCAGATCAAATCAAATCAAATCAAATCAAATCAAATCAAATCAAATCAAATCAAATCAAATCATATCAAATCAAATCAAATCAAATCAAATCAAATCAAATCAGATCAAATCAAATCAAATCAAATCAAATCAAATCAAATCAGATCAAATCAAATCAACTCAAATCAAATCAAATCAGATCAAATCAGATCAAATCAAATCAAATCAAATCAAATCAAATCAGATCAAATCAAATCAAATCAAATCAAATCAGATCAAATCAGATCAAATCAAATCAAATCAGATCAAATCAGATTAAATCAAATCAAATCAAAGTCAAGTTCTGTCCTGCAAAAAATGGATCCGAATTTAGCTCATGAATATTTCTTTCAGTTCTACAAATTCCTTTTACCAAAAACAAATTTCAAAAATGTTCCTCTCTAATTATTTATTAGAAACTTGTTCATTCAATGATTTTTTCTCCATGTTTTGGTAGATAATTGCCACTAAATTATTACATAAACACTATTTTATGTTTTTATATTTCTTTAATGCTAAACCTACAATTAACAATATTTCGATATCTGTGATAGTTATTTTTGTTTTTCACTTAAGTACCTAATATTAATTTTGAATCCTATGATAAATCAACGTTAAAGTTGCTTGAAGAGCAGTGTTCTTAATTAAATATTTTACTCCAATTATTATTAATTAATGTATAATAAATTTACGTTATTAGATTTTCAGAATCATAGAGAACAGCTTATTCACCTAATTCCAAAAACATTGACTTAATTAATTTTAATCCAGTTATTATTTATAATTTCATGATATCATGGTTAGAATATGGAGCCATGAATTGAACTACATGAATAAAAGAAGATCTCAAATTAGATATTATGTCAATAACCTAACATTAACACACTACTGTCAAATACACCTACGCAATTCACTCCCTTCTCCTTACTATCTGCCTTCTCTTCCTCTCTATTTCCTTCTCTTCCTCATACCTGTACCTCTCCTTCCTTCATCCTACACAGTTTGTTCTTTCCTTCCTTGTGCCCACTCCTCCCTTTACCATACTATATTTCCTTGTATTTTCTTCTCTCTACTCCCTACTTCCTTTCCTTCCTTGTACCCACTCCTCCCTTTGCCATACTATATTTCCTTGTATTTTCTTATCTCTACTCCCTACTTCCTTTCCTTCCTTGTGCCCACTCCTCCCTTTACCATACTATATTTCCTTGTATTTTCTTCTCTCTACTCCCTACTTCCTTTCCTTCCTTGTACCCACTCCTCCCTTTGCCATACTATATTTACTTGTATTTTCTTCTCTTCTCCCTACTTCCTTTCCTTCCTTGTGCTTCATTCTCTCTACATCCTACTTCCTTTCCTTCCTTGTACCCCCTTCTCACTTCATTCTCCTTCTCTCTTTATCCTTCTTCCTCTCCTTCCTCCTTCTCTCATCATCCTAGTACCTCCTCCTCACTTCGCTCTACTTACTTTCCTAACTTTTATCCCTAGTTCTTTTCCTTCTTTGTAACCCCTTTCCTTTGTAATTATCACTTAAAATTACTTCCAATAAGATAAAACTAAGAGAACAAAACTTAACAGTAAAGGAAGTATGTTAGAAAACTATTGAGTAATGGATCTCACAAATAAATTGCACACGGGGCGTAATCGTTATGAGAGTGCCAGGCTAGTCTGTCTTGAAAATTATCTTTAAAAAATCCATTTTTGTTGAATTTTACAAATAAATAAAATGAACCATGATTCCGTTAAAATCAGGGCAAAGTATCGGAGCAATAGTATCGGAGTAATTCTAGTTGTGGTTCTTCCCATACTATCTCTTAAACTATTGAACTACCCTTAAGTATATACAATAATATTACTATTTTCTTTTGTTCCCAACAACAAATTTAAGGTTTTAATCAAGCAATGTTACTCTAAAAAAAATGTCATCTTGCCATTTCAAATTTCCCAACCTACCTAGCATGCACATTGCATATTGCATAGTGAATATATATTCTAACTAATACTAGAACAAAATACAGTTTTCTGCTTCTGTTAAAGGGACTGTAAAGGAAAAATGAAAGGGGGTATAGGCTGAAACTTTAAACTTTCGTATAATTTTAACACAGTTTTATATCAATTTCTCGAGACAGGAACATCAGATAAAACTTGCATGGGTCGCGATCAAGAGCTAAAGTGATTAGCTTTCAGCCTTTACCCCCTTTCATTTTTCCTTTACAGTCCCTTTAAGTGGAAATTTACCAATTACCATGAACCTACCTAGCTCTTCAGATATTGAACGCCAACCTACATAGTTCTTAAGAAATCAACCATGAGCCTACCTAGCTCTGAAGAAATCAACCACGAGCCTACGTAGCTCTGAAGAAATCAACCATGAGCCTACCTAGCTCGGAAGAAATTAACCATGAACAAAAATATCTCTGTATATCTCTGTAGAAATCAACCATGAACTTACCTAGCTCTGTAGAAATCGATCATGAACTTACCTAGCTCTGTAGAAATTGACTTCACTTATTTGATCTCCTCCAATGGCATAGATCTTTCCATTACTGGCCGCTACAGCAGGAGAAGCCCTAAAAAGAGATACAACTTATCATTCATTTTATTTAGTATTAACTAACAACTAACCATTCAGAAATTGTTTATAGCCGTTAATATCAACCAATTAATTTTTAGCTTTTTTTCGAATTTCTTGCGTTGCTTTATGTTTTACAATTTCTATTTTTTAAATTTTTCAATCCAACTTTTCTCAAAAAAAAAACTGTGATGACTGTGAGAGATTTTGCAATTGAAGCAAACTAGGGTTCAGTCCATTTAAATTTCTAACCAACAAAATTAGTAAAATTCTCGGTTTTATATGTCTAGGATTTTGTGTTTAAAGTTCATCAAGATATTTTAAATTTAAAGAAGTATCAGTTTTCAGAACCTGTCGTATTATCAAGAATATTTTGACTTTGTCATTATATCTTTTTACCCAAGGGAGACTCTCCTGTCAAAAAAGTTTTCTGCTGCTAGCCAATAATAAAGGGCACAAGCAACCAACTTTTTGGGGGTTGTAAGGTAAAAATATAAAAAACGCGCTAAAAAATTTAAAAATTCAATATTTTTTTTCTAGAATTTAATGATGCCGATTGTCAGGGAGATGAATAGGAAAATGAACAGAATTAATTCTTCAATTATTATAAATGACGACCTGTCCGCTGTATTTACCTTGCATGATGCATTGGTGGGATATCCTCCCATTTATCCTCGACAAAACTATACCGCTCTCCGGACTAAACAAAAATATCAAAAATATTTTAAATCGGAATAATTTTTTATAACATTCATTGACATTTATGAAATTCAAATGATAATTTTGAAAAAAATGGGTTAAGAATATTTCTAATCCGTGAAAAAATGTTTACTTCATTTCAAAACCATGTGCTAGTAAACTGGAAATTAACATTAATGACATCCTTTAATACGTAAACATTAAATTGCAATATTAAAAAATAGTAAATTAACAATTTACTTTCTTTTTATACCTGAAGTACTTCATTGTGCCTGTTGGTCCCTCCCAGGACGTATAAATGATCGTCCAGGACGACACATCCCATTTGGGAGCGAGGGACGAGCATAGAGCATAGGGTCGTCCACTCTCCTGTTACTGGGTTATAGGAAACCAGCTCCTAAATAATCAAGTGACCTCAACTTAAAAACTAATCTTCCCTCATGTTTATTTTGCCGACTATGATGTTTTGATTTCGCAAAATAAACAGAGAAATCGAAAGAAAAGATGATTAATTCTATCTCTTTTTTATGCAATCCAAGAGTTAATTAATTTTTGAGCATCTGATTTTTTTACAAAGTTTAACATTTATCTACTTTTATATCACGAAAGTGATGATTCTTCTGATTATAATTTGCTTCTAAAGTAACCTTCGCAAGAGATTCACTTAACATTTTTTCAAGTATTTTATACCAAAAACATGGAGGAAGTAAACATCAAAGATCTTCATAATTCTTTACGAGTGCATGAAGTTTGTAAAACACACTCTTCTTTTCATACTTTGTCAAGGTGTTTGCAATTTGTAAACCCTGCATTAAATTTATCATACGGCCTGGGAGGGGGGGGGGGGTTCAAAATAAAAAAAACAAAGTTCCACACACTGTTATTTTTGTCTGATTACAATGGATTTATCTATTTGGTAGGTTGGGTGGCAAAAATGTCAGGAAAAAAGTAAGCAAGTTTTGATAAACCTTTTTTTCCTTACTGAAAATCTTTAAAATGTTGAAAATAGTCTTCTCCCTTTTTAACAGTTATCAGAAATATCAAACAATTGAGGTTATTCTAAGGTACTAAAGAAGTAGTCAATAGACTTAGTACACAATAGAATAAAAACAATTTGACGTGGGACAAAAATAGAATTTACAGAATATTGTGATAATTATCTCTTTACTCTAATACTCTTTACTCTATTCAAAATATAACTATTCATTCATGAAATGTTAAAATCAGCGCATATCTATATATAAATTTGGCTTGTCTGTTTGTCTGTTTGTTTGTTTGTTTGTATCCAATAAACGTCAAAACGGCTGAACCGATCGGGCCCAAATTTTTTGTGGGACATCTAGGGACCCCAGGGAAGGTTTATGAAAAATCAAAATTTCAAATATTTGTCTCTATCAAAATTCGATCGTCATTAAATTTTTTAAAATTTTGAAAATCCGCGAAATTTTTTGTAAAAATCCGCGAATTATTTTTGTTTTGTTTTACGATGTACACAAAGAGAACATGTTTACAATTAATTTAGAAGATGGGCGCGAAGCGCCCTCTAAGGCTAGAAAGAAGGGCGCGAATCGCCTTGAATTTCTAGTATGTATATAAATAGACGAAAATAAAATAGATTAAAATATGTTTGATTGGATAGGGGAGAACCGAGAAAGATAGTTAAAATAATAAGAAAAAAAAATAACGAAGTCTTGAACAATATTCGTTCAGTGTATGTATATATATTGTACTTCCTTTTGAGGTCATGCATAAATGTAAACAATTAAAAATGAGATCATACATTATTGTGGATTGCTATTCTTATTTGGCGCATACAAGCATATAGTTAATTTCTTAAGACTATTTTGACCATGGAAACATCCTTGACACCTAAGGCCTAAATCATTCGAAAAAAAACAACTGAACTCGGGCAGGTTAAGAAAGGATGACACAACTAGCTCGGGTCGGGGTTTGTTGAATACTACGTGTTCATAGAAAATAGAATCATGTAATAATGTTCATAACTCCATCTCTGCTTAAAAGTTTTCCAATCAGATTTAAATAGATCTAAAAACCATTACGCAAACATGTTACGTGGTAACATATGTAAAACTTGTAATATTTTTTTCATATGTAATTGCACATAAAATTATGTAAACTATCGGATTTTAAATAAATATCTAGATTTAAAAAAATTTAAATTGATTCAGATATCTAACATGATAATAATAATATCGAACATGTACAATGTACAATGTACATGCATCAGTCCTATTTAAATACGATTTAGATTAATAAACACTTTTATGTTGAATGTACATTGTAGATTGTACAGCCAGTATAAATTATCCATTTTTATTTCTAAGTACCTGCATGTGTCTTCTGCTATGTGTACACCCACCAACAATATAGATAAGACCCTGGTATGTAACAATACCCATACTGAATCTTTCATCCTGTTTACAATCCCAGACTTTGTATTTAACATCAACATTATTGTTTCTTCTTAAATTCATTTCATTTCAGGGGCTTAAGAATTAATTTTAGGTAATCCTCCATTTTTTCGATGGCATATCTGATTCACAATAGTAGGGACCCCTAAAAGCTTAATCAGATCAAGAATGGAGGAATAGTTTTTGTTCAACTGTGGCTTCTATAATAAGTGACTTGCCAATTAATACTACAAAACAATAGAAGATTGATATATATCTAAATACCTTTTAATTTAGATAAACGACAATATCTCCCATATAATATATGAGATTAACATTTAAAGGGCATCGTTGTCAATTAGACATGGCTCTCCTTAAACGGAGCGTTCAATAAAAATATATTTCTAAAAAAAGTTTCATATTTTTAAAATTTGAAAACTGGAAAGGTTTGAGTTCTGTTTATTTACAAATTATATCAAATATAAATGTATATTTACAAGGCTTAATTAGCTTACATTTAACCTTTACTACGGGAATTAAATTTACGACCATTATATACCAACATTTTCCTTTTTTACTGAATTAGATTAGACTTGTTTATTACAAATTGAACTAAAGCATATCCCAGGAGTTTAAACAGGGATGAAGTTTTTCTTTATGCTCTACATTCCGTAAAATGTAAGTTTTTAAGAGCATCTGTTAAACCCCCTTCCTCAACGTCAATTGCTGACTAAAAATTTTGTTGTATTATTGGTAGAAATTCTTGCATTTTCTTACTAAAAAAATTAACAAAATTATTGTGTAGAAATCTAGCAATACTTGAACAAACCAGGAGAATCAGATAATTGGCCCAACGTAGTATATATATAAATTAGTAATCTCTATTTGTTTGTGAACATTCCGATCATAACTCAAGAACCCCTTGACCGATTTGCCTCAAATTTTTATAGGAGAACTTTAAAGAACCATAGGAATGTTCTTAGCTGGGTTTATAGATTTTAAGTTCAGTGGGGTCGCTTTTTAGGGAAAGTACAGTGACCAGCTAAAGCTGGGTTTTCAAGCTAGTATATATTTAAATTGCCGATTTGCCTCAAGTTTTGATCGGAAGAACCACGTAAATGTTCTTAGTTGACAGTAGGTTGAATTTTATTAAGAAAACTTGGTTGTCAAGCTAGTTTAATGAATAAGATAATTAGAGCAGATGGACGATTTCAGAAATTTTTAAATTAAAAAGTAAGGGACTGATCCCTGCATTTTCCCCTGCATCCTCCACTCATTTAGACCAGGATCATACATCTCTATACTGCCACCAATATCTTCTCCGACCCAACCTACATAAATTATGATCTTTACTTGGCAATAAAAAAAAGTTTCAAGCCTAAATATCATAAATTACAAAAAAAAGTCGTTTTGTGCACTTGCAAGGGTGTTTGTTTCGCTATTAGTAAAAACATTACAGTTCCCCCCCCCCCCCCCCCCCCGGTTAATTACGTAAAATATAACCCTGAAATAGTGTATTTAGCCGTGTACTCAAACTCATAATTAATATTTTTAATTAATTTTCAAATCTTGAAGAGCCAGGGGTTGAACTGAAATTAAATCTTCAAATTTCTTGGATAAACTTGATTAGTTTTAGTTTATATCAAATATTTGGAAACCATATATAAATTTAATGGTCTATTCAATTAAAACAGAAACTACAAAATTACATTTTTGTAAACTGTTTTTCATTCTATTTATTCCAAAACTTAAATACAGATTATAATTCATTGTCAAGATTTGAGTTTTGAAGGTAATTCCTAAAGTATACTTTAACCAATCATAACTTTAAGATGAACATGAAGAATCCGAAAACACTATGATAATATAATCTTTACTTAGAAATTAAATAATTAGATGATGAAAAAAGTTTAGCTTTAAATTTTCTTGAATGAAATTTAAATTAACAAGTTTTTGAGGCTAAAATGTATCGCTTTTTTATTAATCTAACATTGAAACTAAATTAAGTCATTTATAAAGATGGTTTCCTTTCTTGCGTGAAAATGATAACGTTTGTTTACTAGAAGAAATAAATTTGCCTAAATTCTGATCTTTTATCATCCTATATTCAAGGTTTTATATCTATTAAATATATTAATTGGCGAGTAGAAAATCTAAATGTTATAAAGTTAATGAACTAATTTGAAATGAAATCTGAAAAAGAGGCCCCGTCCCCCCCCTGCTCTAACTGGACCTTTATACCCCCAACAATTACTCCATTGTCATAGGATAAAAAGGAGATACATTCCAGCCAGTTGGCTCATCAATGAACTCCATTGGTTGGTTGGTATCAGTCAACCCTTAGGTAAACATACGGTCTATTGCGTTTCGACTCTTTTTAACGGTTTAATCCTTTCATATAATAGTAAAGAAGTTTAGTTTAGAAGATTGAGGACTAATGAATGAACACAGTAAAATTCGGACATTGTTATTGTTTTTTTTTTATAAAAAAAAACGAAAATAGTTTTTGTTCTGAGCAAAAACAAATCAAGATTTTAAAATCTGTTTAAATATTGAATGAAGTTGGATGAAGTTGGTGTTGGAAAAATGGGATGAATCTGGATGAAGCTTGATGAAGCTGGATGAAGCTGGATGAAGTTGGATGAAGTTGGATTAAGCTGGATGAAGTTGGATGAAGTTGGATGGAGTTGGGTATAATATAATTATAATAATGAGGCTGAATTAAGTTGGATAGATTTGGATGCAGTTAATAAGAGTTGGATTGAGTTGGATGAAGGGGAATAGAGTTTTGATGGAGTGGAATAGAGTTGGATTGAGTGGAATAGAGTTGGATGGAGATGAATAGAGTTGGATGGAGTGGAATAGAGTTGGATGGAGATGAATAGAGTTGGATTGAGTTGAATAGAGTTGGATGGAGATTAATAGAATTGGATTGAGTTGAATAGAGTTGGATGGAGATGACTAGAGTTGGATGGAGTGGAATAGAGTTGGATGGAGATGAATAGAAGTTGGATGGAGATGACTAGAGTTGGATGGAGTGGAATAGAGTTGGATGGAGATGAATAGAATTGGATTGAGTTGAATAGAGTTGGATGGAGATGAATAGAGTTTAGATGAGTGGGAAAGAGTTGGATGGAGATGAATAGAGTTGGATTGAGTGGAATAGAGTTGGATGGAGTTGAATAGAGTTGGATGGAGTGGAATAGAGTTGGATGGAGATGACTAGAGTTGGATGGAGTTGAATATGGTTGGGATTACCTCCGAAAGCGTAAAGGAATCCGTCCACAGCACAAAGACCAAACTCACATCTTGGAACCATCATTGAGGCAATAGGAGACCAGGAGTCATCTGCAGGCTCATAAACCTTCAAGTTCAAGGTTTATTTATTATTAGTTACTAGGTTCAGTCTGCAGGCTCATAAACCTTCAAGTTCAAGGTTTATTTATTATTAGTTACTAGGTTTAGTCTGCAGGCTCATAAACCTTCCAGTTCAAGGTTTATTTAATATTAGTTACTAGGTTTAGTCTGCAGGCTCATAAACCTTCAAGTTCAAGGTTTATTTATTATTAGTTACTAGGTTTAGTTGCAGGCTCATAAACCTTTAAGTTTAAGGTTTATTCATCATTAGTTGCTAGTGTTAGTCGCAGCATCAGAGTGTTGAGTTATCGTTATTAATTAGGTTTAATTATTCAAAGAAGTTTTTTAATTAACATTAAGTTAAATGATTTAAAAGACAGCAAAATTAAAAACAGAAATGTTTATATAACTTTCCTACAGGTCGGGGAATCTTTAAACATAAATCAATTAATTTTTCCTAAAAAGTTATAATTTCCCTCAACATTTTTTTACACCACATATTTAAATGCAAAGTATGAAAGTGTTCAATACTAATTTTGCTTCATATTTAAGTTTTAACATTTTATTGTATGAAGTTCATCTGCTAAACCTTAAACAATAAAAAATCTACAAACATACAAAAAAAATTGGAAAGAAAATCAAAAGCGAAAAAACATGGGGGGGGGGGTAGATGAGATAGCCCAGAACCCATGAATAAAAATTCATCTCGCCAAGTCTAGGAATTTAAACTCACCTCGCCGTTTGCTAATATCTGACTGTCCACCTCACCACCACAAACAAATATTCGTCCAGATATGATTGCAATCCCAGGCAGAATTCTCCCAATATTCATCGATGCAACCCTGTATATTATACAGTCACACACATACAACTATGAAATAGGAAAAACGTAAAAAAGTCTAATGAACAGAAAACATAACAACTGTGCAGTAAACACAGACCATTTTGCATTTTCACTGTGAGCTTAATTTCCAGTGTGCCTTCATGCAAAGAGGGAATGCCTGATTTGTATCAATACCCTTGAAGAAACAAAACATTGACTTCGAATTCATATTTGATCAGTTGAAGCTTTTAAAGGGTACCGTTGTAAATCGGACATTGTCATCTTTGCATGGAGGGCACTTGAGTACGTCTTTCTAGTACACAGTATATGGGCCTCAAATTCAACGAAAAAAAAGATTTATGAAATTCAGAAAAACTGAGCTAAAAACTTTAGAATGGGATATCCTTAATCTCGATTGATTAATTAATAAGGAGATTAATAACGAGAGGAGAACAAGCATTATTTAATCTGGAGATTAAGTAAAAGAGTGGATCAAGCATTAATCTCGATATCCACCATTCAAAAGTTTTCAGCTCTGATTAAATAAAGAGTGTCCCACTGAACATGAAATTTGATAGCTAGCAAAGATCAAAGACGATCCTTAAAGGGGAGAGACCAGATATGCATGGTAGTTGAGCTGAAAGTGCAGTATTGTAGAGAAAAATTTAGAATTCATTTGATACCAATGAGACATATTTACGGTGTAAAATTTTTAAATAAGAATGTCAATTGTAATATTTCACCTGTTGTTTCAGTCAGCAGAAGAAACTTTTTTTTTACAATTCTTATAAAAAACAATAAAAAAAGAAAAAATTCAAATAAGGTTTACTGAGTTCTCTGAAAGTAAAATGTACAACAATTCAATGTTTGTTTAAATTATCATCTCTTCCTCAGATTAGGAAGCTGGATTTAAGAAATTTTGGAAAATGGGGGAAAATGAACGATTAATTAAAAACGCAAAGGTTAAAAGAATCTTTTATTCTAACGTATATTGGCCGATAAATGAACTATCGAAGTAGAAACGGGTCAATTAAATAACTAACTAAATTGATTAATTGGTCAATGTGCGATTACAAACAATAAATAATTTAATAGAAGATGAATAACAGACTGCGCTGGTAAGACGGTTCAATAAATGCCCGATTACAAGATGAATGTAATGATAAGAAAATTACTTGTATCAATAATAAATATAAAAAGTTGAAAAAAAAGTAAAAAAGTTTCTGAATAAAAGAATCAATAGATTATTTATATTTAAAGGTTTAAAAAAAAATTGGAGAAAAATGAATAAATTGCAAATTAAATTAAATTAAACGAATATATGTCCGAAAGGATAATAAACGATTAAATGAGACTAACCTTCTCCACTCCTGATTAAATGTATCAAAGCACTCTACAGTTTGATAAGTGCACTCACTTCTAGTCCAAGCACTTCCTAGCTCCCGTCTAGATCCTAGATGGAGAAAATATAGTCCCAAGCACTACCTAGCTCCCGTCTAGATCCTAGATGGAGAAAATATAGTCCCAAGCACTACCTAGCTCCCGCCTTGATCCTAGATGGAGAAAATATAGTTCCAAGGACTACTAGCTCCCTCCTAGATCCTAGATAGAGAAAATATAGTTCCAAGCACTACTAGCTCCCTCCTAGATCCTAGATAGAGAAAATATAGTCCCAAGCACTACCTAGCTCCCGTCTAGATCCTAGATAGAGAAAATATAGTCCCAAGCACTACCTAGCTCCCGTCTAGATCCTATATGGAGAAAATTTAGTCCAAACGTTCAATCCCGAATTTTTAATGTGGCAGAGGGAGGGCTAAGCCCTCGTTCAGGAAATGAAATCCCCCTTGAGTACGTTAACCACCACTTTTTCATGGGGTGGGTGGAGGGCTCAGAATCCATAGCCCCCCCCCCCGTGATATGTTATAACGATTAGATAGACAGATAGAAATAGGAAATTAGAGCATTAAAAAAATAGATAGTTCTTCAAAAATTGTTGTAACTGCAAAATTAGATATTTTAATAAATACGATAAAAACAATAAAGTTTAACTCTTATTAAAATGTTAGGTTTAAAAAATGAATAAAAACTAGAAACACATTTTATTAAATAGTGAACGAGTTAATATACTAATGATAGAAATTCGAATGAAAAAAGAGACACTTAAATGATTTATACAGGGGGTGGCATTAAGAATTCACGAGAAATATCAATAAATAATATTAACAATGTGACTAAAAATTAATTGAGACTATTAGGGAAAAAGTGGTTTCTTCACAAAACTCCAAAATATTTTGCACAATACATCTTAATTATCAAAAGAAAAATGAAGACCTGAAATCCCAGAAATGAGCTGAACAAGTCATCTGATTAAAAGATGTATTAATGAACGAACAATTTAATGCAATAATGAAAATAATGAAGATATTGTTCCTTGTAAAATAAGTTGAATGAAAACACAGTATTTATGTACTCTTGTAAAATTATATAAACTATTTTATTAATATGTGATTTCTAAAGACTGAATGTCCTACAAAACCCATTTTTGTTTAAAAATAAATTTTAAAAAATATTTTATGACATATTACCTAGAAACGTTTCATCACAACAATTTTTATACTAGATAAACTTTAATTATACATATTATTTAATTATATTTATATTATTATATATATTAAAGAACCAATAAACATATTAGAAGATTAAGCATATATCTAAAAATATATAAATAGATCTGAAGGTTAAACACTGAGTAGGAACCTTGAAAGGAAACTCTGTTTATTTAAGTAATATGACGGAGTGAGTTATTGAGTTGGTTCGTGTCATGTTAAAATGGGAAGAGGGCGTTCTTGGTATGTTGTTTGATGGGTAGGGAGAAATTACAAAATCGTTCTTTTAAGAGGGTTATAAAATCATAAATATGGCGAATTCAGATAAAATCACAATATATCAAACAAATTTGAAAGAAACAAATTTATAGAAAAAGAGACAATTAAGCTGTGCCTAGAATTTCAGCCAAATCGGAGATGGTCAATTCTGGAGGCAGTCCCTTTTGTTTTGGAATGACCTTTACTTTTACTACCCTGAATGAATATGTTTGTGTTTTATAACTTCTTTTACCGCCCTTCATAAATATAAATATATTTTATAACTAATCTACAATCCCAAGTTGAATGAATATGTTTGAATTAAAATATTTTTTTTTTGAAAAAACTTGTGTTTTATAACTTTTTTTACCGCCCTTAATAAATAAAATAATATTTTTAACTAATCTACAAACCTGAATTGAATGAATATGTTTAAATTAAAATATTTTTTTAGAAAAAAACTTGTGTTTTATAACTTCTTTTACCGCTCTTAGTAAATATGAATATATTTTATAACTAATCTACAATCCTGAATTGAATGAATATATTTGAATTTAAAAACATGTTTAGAAAAAAACATATTAGGGTAATTTAATTTCCGGAGAAAAGAAATGTAATTTAAGAAAGACTGGCGAAGGTCAGAATTTAAAATATATTGTTTAACTCAAATCCGTATCTATTTTGTGGTCCGACAGAAAACTTTAATCGGTAGAGACATCTCTACATCAAATAAAAGGTGTTTCAGGAAACAATAAAACAGGATGATTAAGTACTTTCACTCATCATCAACAACAAAATGTGAACGCCATGCCAATAATGATTTTAATCTCACCAATTTTAAAACTTTAAATTTAACGTGCCAAATTCAAAATTGTGTTTGATATGAATTTAATTTCAAAAAAATTAAAACAATCTAAATGTACTGCAAGTATACAATTGATTCGCTATAAAAAACATTAAGTAAATCTGATCAAGTTATAATTTACATTTCGACCACCAAATGTGAATTTTACTCATATTTTTACATTAAAATAGGTGTTATTTTGCATCTATATCTGGTACATAAATTCTACGTAATTCATTAAGAAATTGAGTCTTTACCAAAGCTAAAATTTTATAATCCTCAAATCTTTGCAACCGAATTGTGTAAAACTATGATTTTTCAAACTTATAGTGTTTGATCTAGAAGAATTCATAGAATTAAATTTCTGAAGTCTATGACATAGGGTTGAAAAGATATGGCAATGTGAAAATCAGAGTTAGTGCACAAGACTGATTAAGGCAATGGGAAAATCAGAATTAGTGCACAAGACTGATCAAGGCAATGGGAAAATCAGAGTTAATGCACAAGACTGATCAAGGCAATGGGAAAATCAGAGTTAGTACAGAAGACTGATTAAGGCAATGGGAAAATCAGAGTTAGTGAGCAAGACTCAAGGCAATGGGAAAATCAGAGTTAGTGAACAAGACTGTTTAAGGCAATGGGAAAATCAGAGTTAGTGAACAAGACTCAAGGCAATGGGAAAATCAGAGTTAGTGCACAAGACTGATCAAGGCAATGGGAAATTCAGAGTTAGTGCACAAGACTCAAGGCAATGGAAAAATCAGAGTAAGTGCACAAGACTCAAGGCAATGGGAAAATCAGAGTTAGTGCACAAGACTCAAGACTCAATTCCTTTTGCGTTTTTCTTCCAATTAGCTTGAAGTCAGATATTTGACAGAATTACTTTTATTTTGCTGCATAAACAATAAACATACTTTGTGTATAACTCTGATAAATCATTCCAGAATAGAAATATTACATCCCTGAATACAAATATTACATCCCTGAATAGACATATTACATCCCTGAATAGACATATTACATCCCTGAATAGACATATTACATCCCTGAATACAAATATCACATCCCTGAATACAAATATTACAAACCTGAATACAAATATTACATCCCTGAATACAAATATTACATTCCTGAATACAAATATTACATCCCTGAATACAAATATTACAACCCTGAATACAAATATTACAACCCTGAATAATGAATAATGAATAGGTTGCATGCAGCTCTGGGTAAATATAAAAATACCTCCAATGACGTAAATATTCTTTTTCGCACACTGACGTGGTTTTACATAAAGGGAGACAAGACTTCCTAATTAATTAACAATAATTAATATAAAAATTGTTTAATTACGTGTAATAATTTATGAAAAAAAAGTTAAATTTCTGTACATTTTTCATTATCAATCTAAAAATAGTTTTATTGGACTAGAGGTAGTTAAAAAAAATAAAACAATAATAATGTAATATAAAAATAGTTATGCTGAGATTAAAATATGCTAGATAAAAAACTATTAAAAATTATCATAGATATTTAATTATTAATTAATTTCCTTTTTGATTTATAAGATCTCTGCGTACACTTGTCAAGGCAACCTAAAAAATAATTCATCTTATTTAAAATAGTATGATAAAAACAAGGACGTATTCAGGGGGATGGCAATAGCTAAGCCCCCCCCCCCCCTTGAAAGTTACTGTATGCGCCCAATGATGAAAAATTTTTCAGACATAAGAAGTCCGAGGTCAAAATCAATGTAACTTTTTAACTGGTTAAACTTCGATTTTTTAAATAAATAATTTTAATTTTTCTCTCAGATTTAAATAATTTTTCCCGCCTTTCTTTTAAAAAACTAATATATATGAAATTGGCACATGCCTCTTTTTATATACCGTATACCTTAAATAACCCTAGAGATGTAAAATAATAAAAAAAGCTAGAAGAAACTTGATCTTGGAGATCTTATTTTAAGGGGTAAATTTATTCAATAGTTTAAGTTTGGTCTTTAAAAACGTTTTTTTTTTGTGAAACTTCTTCAGAAAAAAAAACTGTTTCTTCGAAAGTTTGAGTTGAGCAGTAAAAAGTTTGTAAAAATTAAGATTAATAATCTGTGAGACTAGATTAAGCCTGCTACCACAATGTGAGATCAGTTTCTCAAAATATCCCATGTGTTTCGAATCTCTGTAGACTGCAGTGACTAGTTGGAAATGAAGAAATTATAAATGTAAACCTTTGACCTGATTCTCCTTCAATCATTAACTAATGCAGGGAACATATATATTATATACTGGGATTCCCGTGTACATATTTTTAATTGATACATAACTCATAAATTAATGAACGGATGAACCGAATAACTCCAGTCTTGTATTGTACCAGGAGTAGTTTTTGCATTGTCAGGATTTATGAATGTCCTCTTATATTTAGTTCATTGCAAAAAAAAAAATAAGTAAAATAAGTGAATTAAATCAAATCAAGTCAGTAAGTTTGCGATAAGTGGGTCCAAGTTGAATGAGAATGATATGAAAATGGATTCTCTCCGATTTTCAAATCACATTTTAAAAATATTTTAGTCAGATCTTGTGTAATCCAAAGGTGGATCACGTTTGTAATACCAGAAAAATAATCTACAGAAAAGATGACAAACGTGGGGACTCTGACAGTTGATGATAAAAATAAATGATTTCCAATTATATGGAATATTATGTGATATTGGGAGGAGTAGTGGGGTGTCCCAATAAAACCTTTTGGATTTTAATGTAGTTCGGGGTGATTCCTGGTACTAAAAGATAAAAAAATTCGATTGGTATCAAAAAAAAGAAAGATTTCATCTCGGAATTTTGATTTCAAAAATTGGTGAGGTCGCGCGGTTATATAACTTTTAAATTGAGAATTTGACCATTTTTCTCCAGCAAAATCTCATCTTGAATACTGTTAAGACAAAGACACCCTTTTTAAACTTTTTAATTCTGTTAATCTTTACATGATGTTCAATATTACAGAAATGAATATATATTTACTTGACATCTTAAAAGATAGACATTTTATGATTTTAAGTTTCTAATTTGTTTAATGGATTCAAAAGTTGCAACAGGATTAAATAATAAGATAGGGTGCAAATAATGAAAAAGGTGTTGAAATAAAGAATAAGATTAAAGGATAGATTAAGTTCCTAAACCCATTAGAACCCTCATTTAACCTTGGAACCCTTTTTTTGTGACACCGTAGTAGAGACTACTAATTCATAGATCGTACAGTGAACCCAAAACAATATGGGAGATGTGCATAGATCGTACAGAGCACCCAAAACAATATGGGAGATGTGCATAGATCGAACAGAGAACCCGAAACAATATGGGAGATGTGCATAGATCGTACAGTGAACCCAAAACAATAAGGGAGATGTGCATAGATCGCACAGTGAACCCAAAACAATATGGGAGATGTGCATAGATCGTACAGAGAACCCAAAACAATATGGGAGATGTGCATAGATCGTACAGAGAACCCAAAACAATATGGGAGATGTGCATAGATCGTACAGTGAACCCAAAACAATATGGGAGATGTGCATAGATCGTACAGTGAACCCAAAACAATATGGGAGATGTATGACGACTTTACAGAATCATCTTCTATAAACGCGGCATCACTTGTGAAATTAATTATATTACAATGAACATGATTTAAATAATTAACTTTGTATCCAAATATTTTCAAAATGTGGTCTGCCTGAATCGAAAAAAAGCGAAAATTTTCAATTCGATTTTGATTTTGCGAATCACAGCCTCACAGGAAGTGTTCTTGAAAAATGAAGAGGGATAGAGGCTCATCCTAGTAAAATTTGCCTTTTTCCTGATATTCCTGAGTAGCGCAAATAAGACATTTTGTAAAATAATAGTAGTAGCCGGTTCTATTTTTGAATGTAGACTCATATTATTGCCAAGGAGCAGCCTAACTCCTTTCATTTTTCGATATCATTCCCTCTAATCCTCATGTTTAATGGATAAGCTGAGATGATTTACCTTTAAAGAAATATCGTTGCAAGCGTCTACATATGAATCTAGAAGTTTAGTTGCAACTAATGGCAGGCGGATATGCTTCAGTATATCAAATATAAAACGTCGTCTGAAAATAAAAAAATATAATTAATTCTTTAGCGCGTCTATTGATAATGAAGGAGGAGTTTATATCGATAGAAGACAATGCTCCTAGGGACTGATTAATCATTAGTCTCTCCCTTTTCTGATTTTAATTAATTCATAATCATTTTCCACTATGCGTACTGGAATAGTAGTAGAACTATTGAGAAGTTTCAAGTAATCAAATGGGAGGGCATTTTTATTCAAAAACAGGAAAAACTAAGAAAATACAATCAATAAAATCTCTCTCCTCTGTCTAAAACTATGAATGGAAATATTCGTCTGAACTAATTAAATAGAAAAATGACCGCTGAAGGTTCCAGAAAGAATAACTGAGCTAACGAGTGATTTCAAGTAATCATTATCTTTGCTGACTTTGTTCAACTAATTAACATAAAGCTAAGTATACCCCCCCCCCTCCCCTTTATGAATGAAAGTACAACCTGTTAGTAATATTATGATTAATCCAGGACATCGCAGCAAAGAAAACCTAAATAATTTAAAAAGTAACTAATTAGTGAACATTTGGCATGAACTTCCATAAAACAGAAGCAAAAAAAGGTCAACTCATTTTATTTAGTTTTCATGACCGGCTTATTTTTGAGGTGTCAGAATTAAACACTTTCTAATATATCTTCCTCAATGTTTCTCAGATAAGAGCTACCGTTTTAATTAGTACAGGCCAACCTTTAAATAACGTCTGGAGTCTTAACATATAAACTCTATCCGTTCATAAAAAACATCTAAAATATTAACCTGATATTCTGAATCCACCCGAAGATATTCGGAGGAGATGAGTTCACAAACAATATCCTGATCAAACAAATCGAATAAAATCAAATTAATATCAAATAAAAATTAAAACAAATCAAATCAAATCAAATTGTTTTGACGATTTGACAAAGAAAAAACAAATTTGCAGTTGCAGGAAGTCATTAATATAAGAAAAAGACGGTATAAATTATTTGCAGTCGTATCTCAAGTCTTATGCTTTGTGGGTAGCCCTGTATCCGTATCAGAATGATCTATTATTACTCTTGCTTGCGAAGGAATCTATTGATAAAAAAACCTTGCTTTAAGGTTGTTGTGATTGACAATATCTTATCGAGGTACTAGTGACAATTACCGGCGAAGGAATGAAAATAGATAAAATTCGACAAAATCCAAACTTTACTATATCACGTCTGAAGTAAGATCTCTCAAAGAAAAAAGTGAAATATTTTGATGTTGATTTTGTTTCCTTGTTTGCTTCTAGAAACTCCTCTTCTACTGAAACTGAGAAGAAGTTGTTGTAGATAAAATTAATAGAGAAGTCCTGTAGTCCAACCAGATTATGCCCTTCCGCAAACCTAAACATATAGTCCTGTAGTCCAACCAGATTATGCCCTTCCGCAAACCTAAACATATAGTCCTGTAGTCCAACCAGAGTATGCCCTTCAGCAAACCTAAACATATAGTCCTGTAGTCCAACCAAATTATGCCCTTCAGCAAACCTAAACCTTTAGTCCTGTAGTCCAACTAGATTATGGTAAAGAATGAAAAAAAAAATTATTTTACATTATTATAAATTAAACAAGATATTTTGTTTAACCTCAAGTTTTTCTAAATTTTCTTTTTGATTTACTTACCTCCAGATACCGATAGCGTTGGACTGATGTAATTCTGTTTTCAGGAATTCTGAGCATATATCCACAACCTTGGTAATATGAAAATTATCACAAAATTAAACAAATCGTAAAGTAATGCACGAAGAGAAAAATAACATTGAATTGTTGCAAGTAGGTTGATGATTCTGTTATCATTATCAGAAAAATAACAATGAATTGTTGCAAGTAGGTTGATGATTCTGAACCTTCCAGGCAGCCAATATTCAAAATGATTTTAAACAAAACTTTTATTTAAATAATGGTCAAGTGATTTCGTGATTTTTCCCCTCATGATAAAAATTTACAATTCTGTAGCCTAGATTGATTAGGCTTTCTACAGTTTCTCTCTTGACCTATAATCCTATGAAATTTTTAATGAACGGTGTTGCAAGTTAGGATTTGTTAGGCTTAATAATCAAAAATTTTAAAAACCTATTAAAATACGTGCTTTAAAGCTTAAAAAGGGGTAACCAGTCGCTACTGTCTGTTCTATGATGAATTTAATGAATGAGTGAATTAATGGATGGATAAATGGAAGAATGAATGAATTGGATTAATGTGTTTTTGAACGGATTGGCCGGATGAAAGAATGTTGGCATCCTAAACCACCATCTTTATTATTCAAACATTCATAATTTAAACCTTCATCATTCTCTCCCCCCCCCCTCTACCACCAGGTAACACATCCCACTTTGCAGTGCAAAGGGATTTAAAGGCAAAGTTTGGGGGCCTATTATGGTTTTACCTACTTTCCCTCAAAAATGTGTTTTTCCCCCTCAAAATCATTTAATTTCTCCAATTATTTAAATTTTTGCACATGTCTAATTTCATCATAAAATATCTCTATTCTCCTGCTTTTTAATACATCCATCCCTTCACTCTTCNCCCCGCCCAACACCACTCTCCATGTAACAGTGTACAGTGTACTGTACGTACAGTATGTACACTATATTTACCTCTTTAAGCTGAATCATATCTGCAGCCACGAGTATATCTTGCACAGATCTTTGATCCAGATTCATTTCACCAGTGTACATAAAATCAACTAACCCCTGAAGTACATAAATATTTTAACTTTGATCCAGTTTCATTTCCCCAATGTACATAAAATCAACTAATCCCTGCAGTATATAAATCAACTAACCCCTGAAGTACATAAAAGAAAACTAAACCCTGCAGTACATAAAACCAACTAACCCTTGAAGTACGTAAAATCCACTAACCCTGTAGTATATAAAATCAATTAACCCCTTCAGTACGTAAATCAACTAACCCTTTAGTACATAAAATCAACTAACCACTGCAGTACATAAATCAACTTTAATCAACGACCTAAAACTTTTGAAATACCAAAGGTTGAATTTGTTCTAATGTGTTGAATAAAATCTTTTAGTGGTATAATATAATTTAAAGATTTGTCAATGAAATAAAAAAGTTGTTAGTTGCAGGGTATCATTATGTAGAAAAAAAGAGTGAATAAACCTCGTACACTGTTCTGTACATCAGATGAGTGTACCTCTAAAGTATGATGTTCTAGTCCTTGAAGAACAAGTTTCTGTCTTGCTTTCCTCCTGTCCTGACCACGGTACTGCCTCTCCTCGCTCTCCATGAGGCCGCTCGTGAACATGGCGTGGAAATATGGTGTTGCAGCAGCAAGTATATTTCTAGTAACAGACAGGGTAGATAATATCTTATACCAATAAATCAATCAATCAATCAATCAATCAATCAATCAATCAAATCTAACAAAGTGTTAATCCCTGCAGCAAGAAAATTCCTAGTAACAGACAGAGTAGATAATATCTTATACTTATCAATCAATCAATCAATCAAATTAAATGAAATGTTAATTATTTCTCAAGAAATAAACCATGAAAAAGTGTAAAAAATCAACTAAAACACACACATTTTAGTTGCTGACTAATAAAAGATCATATAAACCTTCCTAATCTTATTTTTGCACAAAAAGAGTAAATAGATTCTAAGAACTTTTGATGAAATAAACCAAACGGGAAAAGGTTTTCTAAGGATCGACTTTGTAAGTGAATACATACTTGTGAGCTAGGATAGGTTCTGAGTCTACACTGGAGTATAATTCTAAATCACAGAGCTGTTCATCTTGTCGTAGTTCTCGTAGCTTCTCAATAAGCTTTCCAGGGTACTCACTCCGCCTAGCAAAATTCTTAGTACTGGAATATATCTTTTCAAAAAACGGTTTTGCAACCAATATCGGTTTTAAGTGATATGAATGTCAAGAATTAGGGTGAGAAGAAATTTTATCATTTTTTATAAAAGAAAGGGTTCTTGACTTAATCTCATTATTGGCAATATAAAATTTATTTTTTATTTTGAATTCTTAAACTTGAAACCCGAAATCGCAAGCTTTTATGCCGCTTTTCTATGAAAACAATTTGGGAGAAGAGATTTTTGAACGAACATTATTGTCTTGGCAACCGATTTTATGTTTTAAATAATTTCTTAGCTCTGACCTGTACATTCTTGAAGTATTTGCCAGCCTTGATACAGGGAAAGGGGTGGCGGAGGAAGAGGAGGAGGAGGGGGATGTTACTCTTTCACTCATACTGCAGGTGTGCAGATCTCTACACCAGAGAAAATCTTTTTTTAATTTTTGGGGGGAGCCGGAGTGGGGGGGGGGGNGGGGTATTAATTTATCAAAAATATGTAATTATGATGATTGAGTTTTGAGCAAAGCTGGATTTCCAAGCAAGTGTTTTACAAAGTTAAAAATCAAGGAAATCTTTGATGATAAAAAAACAAGATTCCATCACAAACATTAAGAAAAAATAAAATATCTTAAAAAAAGTTTGGATGAAAGTTAAAAGAAAGTTTTCCCGAACCCTTATGTCTAGTTTCTACGCATTTTCCCCCGATTCCAACATTTTGTATACGTCATCTTATCTGAAAATATTACAAATTATCCTACTACAAATACAAATATGCGTTTAGAGGGGAGCTACAATATTTTTGTTAAAGTCAGTAAGCATAATTTTTCTACGCGCAATTTTTGTCATAAGACTTTTTTGCTATTTTTAAACTTCCAAGCTTGTCCTAGCTAAACGCTCCATTTTTTTGTAGCCTGCTTTGTCCCAGAATGCTTAACCTCATCCTAAATACTGTGATGTGATGTTTTACATAATAAGAAAATGTCGTATGACATAAATGACGTTTTCTTTATGTAAACTGTATTATTTAGTATGAACAATAAATGGTTTCTAGCAAAAATGTCAAAGCGCCGTTTAGAGGTACGTTTAGGAATAGTATAGGTCTAAAATACATGCTTGAAAACGACAATTTACAATAAAAACAATATATAATATACCATAAACAAAAATCTAAAGACCCCCGAAATGGAATCTTCAGAATCATGAATTTAAAGGGAAGCTTTCGACCAAAATAACACAACATGAAAAAGGACTTTTTAATACTGTTTTTATATATATAACAAATATCAAGCTATAGCTTCATAGTACCACTTAATAAATAATCCAAAAAATTGTAAGTAAATCTACTATGTTGACTAAATATTTTAAGTTTCTGGAATGCTTAAGTTTCAGTTAGCTGATAAAGAGTAAAATGTGTATAAAATCACAAAAATCTAAATAAACATAAGTACAAATATTTTACAATCAATTAATAAATTATTGTACTGAAAGAGCTGCCATCAGAAAAATGTCGATCTAGTCGTTATAAAAGTTTGTTAATTGGATAATCAAATCTGTAAACAAAGTCTAATTTCAAACCTATTTTAGCTTAAATATCAAACATAATTCTTAACACAGGCGACAGCACCAGACGGACGGACTTGGTCTTAATTCAACTCTAAAAAGAGTTAAGAATGCTTTTCAACTGATTTGGGGTTTAGATCAAAACTTGTATATTCGTATGTCAGGAATCTTTCTCCTGCAGTTTCAATACCAGGGCTCTCATATCCTGTATCTCATCCCTACCAAAAATAAAAAATTATAAGAGAAATCAGATTATTCATCATCCTCAATAAACGTAATTATCTGTATAATAAAGCTCTTCACTACGCATATATATATATTTGTATATTGGTATGTATGTTGGCTGAAACTTTTTGATGGAACTCATGACTATTGGCTACCCTAGGGGTAACTCGGGCAAAAAAATCAATTTTTAACAATTTACGATTTTTTTAAATTCCATGGGCAACGCCGGGCCCTTCAGCTAGTAATATGTATTTTATTTGAAAGGATTAAGTAATTTTGAACCTGTGGGAAAGAAGAAGTTTTAAGTCCTAAAACGAAGCTATTAGTTTTATCATGAATGGTTTGTGATTATTTCAATGCACAAATTGAGATTTCGATTACAAATTCTAAATGCAGATAAACTTTTTTTTTCAAATGATACTTTTTAATGAAATTGATATTGATATTTGTGACTTTAAATGACTTCAAATGATTAATAATGATCACGTTGACTTTTCTTTATTAATTTCTTCCGCCAGGCATAAAAAACATCGGAACAGATAAAATCCATTAAATCAATAATAGCATTCCTTAAGAAGCATTTTGTACTCTTTTGTATTTTTTACATCCACCGGACCTACTCCAGCCAGCCGGGACTTCTCAAACTCAAGCTCTAAATGTAAATTAAGATTAAAAATATCAAAAATTTAGTTTTAGAAATTAAAATGAATGTCATGTAATATGATATTTTAAATTTCTAAGGTAGGAAGTGCCCCCCCCCCCCCCCCCTTAAAATTGATTTACAAAAAAATGTATGATTCCTCTGTAATTCCAAATATTTAACAATTTTTGCCCTCCTAGAGTGGGGAGAATGTTCACGCCCCAAACTAGGTTAAATCCTGTATACGCCCTTGAGTATGTTTGTAAACTAATACCTTGTTTTAGATTTGATATTTCAGACTCAAAAGCCAAAATTCTCTTCTCTTCTTTACTTCTTAATTCTCTATTTTCGGCAGAATCTATCTAAACATCCGTGGATTATATTTTCTCTAGATACTAGATACTAGATACTTGCAGATTATTCGTTATTATCATGAAATTAAAGGGACGGGTACTCAGCCATCAAAACCCATTTCTACGCCGCTGAATTGGAGGCACTGTCAGCTCTCAATTAATACTTAAAAAGTTTTTTAGTCATTTTATCTCTTTTTTTCGTCCATAATTATAACTTCTAAATTTCAGGGTTTGAAGCAATACAGATTACAGAGGTAAGGAATTTTTTCTCGTTGTTCTAGATAGTATTTGTGCAATGCGCAAACATCCCTAACATCAAAAAAATTTAGTTTTAATAAAGGGGGGGGGGGGGGATTTTTCAGGAAAATTTACACTACCATATGTTGTCTTACAGGAAAAATATGTTTCACCCCATTCCCTATTTAGATCTTTCACTGCAGGATTGGGTAAAGAGGGGGTTATTCTATACCTGCATTTTATTTAGCCGGTCAGTCAGTCTGTTGACCTCAGTCTGCAGATTATCTCTCTCTGTAGATACACTTGTTATGTACTGCTGGGTTCTGTAAAAATATACTAGTCATATATTGGTGGTTCCTGTACACATATGCTAGTTATGTACAATGTCTAATACATGGTTAACTTTAATTTTCTAAACCGTATAAGGAATATAAGGAAATGGAATCTGTAAGAAATGGTTGTAAGGTACCTGATCTGCTCTTTAACCAGCTGTCATATGGTTGTATGGTACCTGATCTGCTCTTTAACGAGCTGTCATATGGTTGTAAGGTACCTGATCTGCTCTTTAACCAGCTGTCATATGGTTGTAAGGTACCTGATCTGTTCTTTAACGAGCTCTCCTATGGTTGTAAGGCACATGATCTCCTCTTTAAGGAGATATCCTAAGGTTGTAATAAAGTATCTGATCTGCTCTTTAACGAGTTGTCCTATGGTTTATGGTACTGATCTGTTCTTTAACGAGTTGTCCTATGGTTTATGGTACTGATCTGTTCTTTAACGAGCTGTCCTATGGTTGCAAGGTACCTGATCTGCTCTTTAACGGGCTGTCCTATAGTTTATGGAACCTGATCTGTTCTTTAACGAGCTGTCCTATGATTGTAAGGAACCTGATCTGCTCTTCAACGAGTTGTCCTATGGTTGAAAGGTACCTGATTTGCTCTTTAACAAGCTGTCCTATGGTTGTAAGGTACCTGATATGTTCTTTAACGAGCTGTCCTGTGGTTGTAAGGTACCTGATCTGCTCTTTCACAAGCTGTCCTATGGTTGTAAGGTACCTGATCTGCTTTTTAATGAGTTGTCCTATGGTTGTAAGGTATCTGATCTGCTCTTTCACAAGCTATCATATGGTTGTAAGGTACTTGATCTGTTATTTTAGGAGTTGTCCTATGATTGTTCGGTACCTTATCTGCTCCTTAAAAAGTTGTCCTATGGTTTATGGTATCTAATCTGTTCTTTAACGAGCTTTCATGTGGCTGTAAGGTACCTGATTAGCTCTGTAACAAGCTGTCTATGGTTGTAAGGTACCTGATCTGCTCTTTCACAAGCTGTCCTTTGGTTGTAAGGTACCTGATCTGTTCTTTAATGAGTTGTTCTATGGTTGTACGGTACCTGATCTGTTCTTTAACAAGCTGCCCTATGGTTGTAAGGTACCTGATTTGTTCCTTCACAAGCTGTCCTATGGCTGTAAGGTACCTAATCTGCTCTTTAACGAGTTGTCCTATGGTTGTAAGGTACCTGATCTGCTCTTTCACAAGCTGCCCTATGGTTGTAAGGTACCTGATCTGCTCTTTCACAAGCTGTCCTATGGTTGTAAGGTACCTGATCTGTTCTTTCACAAGCTGCCCTATGGCTGTAAGGTACCTGATCCGTTCTTTCACAAGCTGCCCTATGGTTGTAAGGTACCTGACCTGTTCTTTAACAAGCTGCCCTATGGTTGTACGGTACCTGATCTGTTCTTTAACAAGCTGCCCTATGGTTGTCAGGTACTGGTCCCTGTACTGTTGGTCCAGGTTCCCCTGGAAGATGCTGGTAGACAACTCCTTCAACAATTCGACAGTCTTCTCCTAAACAAAGAGTATTTACATTATTTCTCTTGAGACAACTCATAAAATATAATCAAGAAAACAAAGGTTGCAAAATAAAAAGGCAGAACCAATAATACTTTGGACCGAATGGAAGTTTTGAACGACTAGCACGACTTCCAGCGTTTTTAAAGATTTATAAGTAAACTAGTATTATTTGTTGAAATGCACCGTCAGAGGAAAAAAAATGGATAGTCAACGTATTTTTCAATTTTTAAAATCCATCAATGATTCACAACAGAAGGACTGAAATAACTAGCTAAGAGTCTGACCTGAAGTTGTTTATGAACCGCTGATATAGTGTTAAACCCTTGCTCAGACTTCTGCTCCATGGAATCAAACTTAAACCTGTTTTCAGAGATAGTTTTCAGTCAATCAATCAATCAACCGATCAATTTGTAATACATAGAATACAATAAATTAATTTTAAAATAAAATAAGAAAAATGACAATTAATTAACAGTCAATAGAACAGTAATATTAAGAGGTAGCAAATCGATTAATAAATACATGTTCAATTATTTAACAATCCATGCTTATTGCTTACGTTAATTATAACCAAAAATTCAGAAATAAACCCTGATGTATGCTTACTGTTTAACTGTCTGTTAACAAATCAAGATGTTCGTTGTTAAAGTTTAAACTGTTTCTGATTCCTGATATTATTAAACTCTTGTTTCATTATAGTAATTGTATGGTTCAAACTCATGTTCTCAGAGGCAAAGTTCTCGTAATCCTGAAAACAGAAGAAAATATTTCCAAACTAATTATTATAAATCAACAAGTTCTGAGTGCGCGGCGGTAAGAAGTTGTTTTCAAGAAGTTTTGAATTTATTTTTGGTTAACATAGAAGCTTTACTTGTGACGTCATTTCCCGGAAATATTGATGGTTGCTTTATAGCAAGTTTAAATGATAAACTGTTCACTACGTTTTTGTTTTTTGAGGGGGGGGGAGCATATTTGACCATTAAATACAGAAAATAGGCATATTTTATTTTAGTGAAAAGAAATGAGAATTTGTCAACAAGGACAACCCTGGGTAAATTTAAATTTTTGGAAATCAACCATGTAGTTCTTATAAAAATGGAAACCACCCCCTTTCAAAAAAATTCAATTATTATCAACTTTCTCCCTTACAACTGATTCAACCTTGTTAAGATTTTCCAGCTTGTTCTTGTAGATGTTGAGCTCCCTCTCCTTGCTCTCCAACCTCTCCAACATCGTCTTCTTCAGTAACTCCTCCTCCCTCACCTAAACAAATTAACATGAGCAAATAATCTAGAACTATTGAATAGCGAGACTTGGTTCAAATAATTCTCTTCAGCTTGAACTGGCGCCCAAGTGGTTGAAGTACGTCTGCGCGGTTCAGCTACTTCTCGCTATTCATTAAATCCTGTCCTTAATCATAATTCCACAAATGAAAATACATTGTCTGCACCTATATTTGGGCATATTCAGGGGCGTATTCAGGAATTTGTCCAGGGGGGGGTTAGCACCCATCGGGGCCTGAAAACCCCCTGAAATCATTAGGAGGAGGAGGCTTAGCCCCCATAGCCCCCCCCCTCTGAATACGCCTCTGGGCATATTTATCAGCAATCTATGTTGCATATAACAATGACGCACTTATTTAGAATTAAGAAGAAAATAAAAGCTTAAATAGTGAGGGCGCACAATTAGGTTGCACTTATAGAACATACATTGGGTTAGCACATTGACTTTTATTAAGTACGCATTATTGACATCCTGTTGAGCAAGCGCTATCGAGAACGCACAAAAGTGTAACATATAAGAATAAGAATAATAACAAGATCTAAAAAGGAAGCCGACATGGAACTTCAATACCGCCCTCGGACTGCAGCGCTTACAAACATATATCCAGGCTTTATTTATCAAGCATATGTTGAGTGAGACATTTCAACACTTTCAATAAAGGCTCATACTTAATATTTCCCAAAAAACGAATTTTACACATGAGCAAAAATAAAAACAACTATTATTTGAAAGTGTTCTATACCGAATCCTATCCCGGAGATTTAAGTACCTGTAAAGCTTATGATCAGCATAACATGGCCACACACGTGGCTCTCTTTGCGCGACTACTCCAAGTTATATTTTAGTTTGGATTATTTTCAGGACTCCTGGCGGAGTTTATAATAACATCAACATTAAAAATAAAGAACATTTTTTTTATCAAGTAATTCAAGGCATTCAAGTAATCTACCTTCTGATCCAAAGAGAGGTTGAGAGCATCAATCTGTTTAACCGTCTCCTTGATTCTCTCTACCTCGATATTCCTGGTCCGTAGCTGAACCATCTCCTTCTCCTCATCAACCAACCTCTTCTTCAGCTCGGAGATATCAACGGTAGCAGCACTATAAATGTCCGGGTGTCATTAATATCGGAAACAAGCATATATACAGTTTTCACGTGCAAAGTGTGAAAAATAACAATAACACCTTTTTAACTCACTTTAAATTGTTAAAAATAAAGAAGAGCATTTTTTTCTATGCTAATCAATTATTTGATTTTTTTGAGTAATGAAGGCCTGCCTAAATCTGGACTGTAGTTTTGAATAGTTCTCTTCCAACCCCCTTCTCAATTCCTTCTCAGGTTCTAGGTGTCGGTAGATAATAAGTTCAGCAAATTCAAATATACTCATATCCGCAGACTGAAATTAAGTGAAAAATGTTAATTAAACAATAAACATTCTTCTCCTTTTTATGATACTTTTTGCTCCTACAAATTCATTGCTTTTCTTTAATTAAGTGTTAACACCCATTGAAGGAATTGTCACCTTCATTTCTCGTAGATTACTGTAACGGGTCCCATCGTACTGGAAGTTTTCAAGACGCTGCTTCGCTACGTCCGCTTTTTCTCGCAATTTCTGAACAAATAATGTTTAATTGAAAATAAAACATCGATCGTTATAGATAAAAATGACATTACTCAACAGTTCTACCTTATTAACCTCTTCCAGTTGCTGTTGTCTAAGGGTGACCTCCCTGAGCTGTTCAGAGATAGCGTTCTGTATCTTACTCATCTCTTTACTCTGCAGGTTCATCCTGAATTAATCAATGATCTAGTGAAAACTAATAAATGGCGAAGCATTTTTAATAAAATCAAAATCTCCTTACGAACTCCATGAAGAAGGGTCATAGTAAATAGTTAGTTCAAGGAATTTAGGGGAAGGAGTAAAATATGAAAATATTGACCTTTATTATGTATTTATTATAAATAGTAAATGTGAAATTCATCATTAATTATTAAGAGAGCAGGATTTTCTAAGTTAAAACCTAGCTTAAGTGACCCATAAATCCTTCACAGGTTACCCTTACGATCGAGCTGGTCAATTGGTTGTTATTCTAATGATAAAATGCTTATATTGCTGTGCAATAAGTATACTTAAGTTAGAATTACCTAAGTTTACAAGTCTCTTCTCCAGCTTTTCTAGCATTTTCAGCATCTATAGCTTGCTGCAATGCTTTTCTTAACTCTACCTCATACTCAGTTTTCTTCACCTAATAATATAATTTTAAAAAAGAGCTGATAAAGGCAATAGGCATTAGGCATATAGCCTCTTCATAAAACCCCAGCCTTGAAAATTAATTTTTAGTTCTAGTTTCGCAAATTATTGGTCATGAAGCCGGGTACAAATTGCACACAAAACTTTTCTTCAAATAAATATTTAACGACATATTTAGGAGTGTGTCAAGTTTTCTCCAAATTTTTTTGTTCTTTATTTACCTCCAGAAGAACATCTCGCTTTCTAAGTTCGACATTTAGCAGCTTAATTTCATCTTGAAGGGATCTGACTGACCGCCCAGCCTCTTGAAGAGTCTTATTTGACCTCCCAGCCTCATTAAGTGATGTCGTTGGCCTCCCAACATCCTTTAAAAAAGAGCAAGTGATAGTGCGGCCAGATATCTAGGCCAACACTAGGTATTTATAATTTAGTTATGCTAATTATTTTTAAACACAATTTCTTTATGATAAAACACTAACCTAAAAATAGATTTTTAGATGAGTCAATTGATTCACAGAGCTGATTTCTAATTGATAAGTTTTCAACACTGTAAAGATTGATCGAAATTAAATGATAAACTAAGTATGTATGTTTTCGTTAATTAAATATAAAATATAAATACGAAAATACTAACATATTTTCCATAATTAAAACTATAATTCTAAAACTCTAATTCATTCCATTTTTTATAATTTGCAAGCATTTAAAATTATCAATACGTATGTTCAGAATAAAAGTCTCTGTCCATTTTCCTAGAATACGTCACACCATGATTCTTTAAGAATACATGATACATCATTTTTACGAGTAGCAATTTGAAACTATAATAGGATGAATTAGACAAACAGTGCAATATTACAAAAATGTTAACTCTTAAGAGGTTAGAGGGGGGGGGGGGGCTAATTTTTAACTCTAGCACGCGTTTTTGATATTTCTTAATTAATAAGATTCTTTAAATCCCTTGAAAAAACATGTTTGACGTCTTAAAATACGTCAAAAACTAAATTTATTCCGAACCTTCTTTACAATTTTTTAAACCTCCCTGATGTCATTCTATCCCTTAAAGCGATCTCCTTATTTAAGAGCTGGACAAAAAATTGCATTTTTCTTGGTGGGGTGGGGGGGGGGGCTTTTTAACGTTTATTAATATTATTCACTTTCAGGAGAAATAAATATAAATCTAGTACTTTACTAACCTTCTGATTATCTGTGCTTGAAACTGTTAGATCTGTAGGTACAGAGCTTGTGTCTGAACTCTGTTTACCGGATGGGGTTGAGTTTGTGTCCGAACTATAGGATTCCACTGCTGTAAATTCGGAAATAAATTACAGACTTTTTTAAAAATTGTATGATATAAAGCAAATATATGAATATTTCTTTTATAAAGTCGAATTGATTTTTAGGTTTTATTTCCCTAAAAAGTAGCCTACAAACCCTTCATTTATTACCTTTTATCTTACATGGGGGGGGGGGTTGCANCCCCCCCCCCCCCCCCTTAGTTACTGCAAATGATTTTTTCAATGCCTACTTAAACTTTATAAACGTTACACTTCAATTCAAAATTCAAAGCAGTGAAGGAAACCTAATAAATTTATCAGCGGGTGTTGAGGGAAACATAATCTTGCTTTCTGAAGAAGACATTTTGTATTTCTATAGTTTTAATTCAGTCATAATTCTGAAACATCTGAAACATCATGTGATGGAATTAATATTGACATTATAATCAAGATAACAAATTAATTGCCAGACCGTTCAAGGTATGTAACTAATAAAAAAGACCATGGTGTTCAGACTAAGTAATTATGATAAATGCTCAAGCATAAAACAATTTTTGGGTCTGTCCTAGAGAACGATTTTTGGACCCCCCCCCCCCCCCCCATCATATCAATTTTGTACGTCACCACTATTTATTCAGCAAAATTATTATCATTTGTTTTTATTATTTTAAGTTTAGGATTGGTTAATTTCTGGGCCGAGCCCTGCGGGTAGGACAGGCAAGGGGGCTGAGCGGCGCGGCTAGGACAGGCTGGGGGCCACATGACCAATTATATCCATGTGGTACATATATTATCTATTTAGAAAAATTCTTCTTCTTCTTCTTAACAACTTTATTCAATACAAAACAAATCAACAATAGTATTTTCATTTATAGAATCATAGAGAGAAAAAAAAACGTCTCATACTTTCTTCGTACCTATTACTGTAATTAGAAAAAATGATAGGGAATCCACTCTTTTTCTTAATCTCGAGATTAAATAATGCTTGTTCTCCTCTTGTTATTAATCTCTAGATTAATTAACCGATCGGGATTAAGGATATTCAATTTTAAAGTTTCCAGCACAGGGGAAATAACCCAGACGTAAAACTCAGGGTGTCTAAAAAAAATTCGAATTTACCCAGAGTAATACCCGGTAACTCAACTGAGAAATTAGCCTACATTAATGCTTGGTTCTGTAGAAAAGCAGAGAAGTTTATAGAAATCAAAATATTTTGATATCAGCTGTTTTTAAACTGACTGCAGATAAAAGACGCGGCATTTTTTAATTTTCTTTTTTCATTTTTAGAATGAATTTCTTTCATTTTCTTATTTCTTTTATATATTGTAGTTAAAAAATTTAAATGTTTAAAATCATTATAATAGAAGAAAATATTTAAAAATGTATTTAGAAAAGTTCAGTTACATAAAAAGAAACTTATAAAGACGACTTTTATAATTATTTTTATGGACCCTTACGCACACTTGCCGCGTTGGAACTTTAAATGCAGAAATTTTTTAATTGCAATTTGCAGTGTTTTCTGTTTTGATGCGCACATGGAAATAATAAAATTGATAGGAGGGGGGGGNATTACCCGATTAAGTTGAACATTTGGCATCTATTTATTTACAAAGTATTATAATAAATTTACTGTCAATTGTCATGTTTGTTTTCAGAAGTGATAAGTGCGAAGTGCCATAATGGGGTTTAATCAAACAGATAACCCTTTTCTAGTCTCTACACTGACACCTCTACTCATGGGGGTTTCATATGTTGCAAGTTTATATGTAAGTATTAAAATTAGGAATACTTTAAATTAAATAAATGTTGTTCATTATATTGACGATGTACTTTTGGGTGACATGGAAACGCATCAACACGGAAATGGATCTAAAGTTACTTCAGAAGAATTTCCGTTTTTTTTTAGAAATCCGAGGAAATCCCTCGAAAGTTCAGAATTGTTGAGGGGTTTCCGAATATATTTATCCGTTTCCCAATATTTATATACTCCACAAAAGTTTAAAGAATCGTATAGTCTACAAAGTTGATATATTAATTTATTCAATTGATCTTAACTTGTTTAGAAGATATAAATAGCAGTCTTGGGTCTGTCCTTGTATACGATTTTTGGACCCCCCCCCCTCCTAAGGGGGGGGGGTCCAAAAATCGTATACTAGGAAATTACCGCAGTCTTAATCTCAATTTAAATAATTTGAAAAACAATTTTTTTATGGAAAGTTAATAACTATGTTAATGTAGAGTTTAATAAAAATAGTTTTTTTGTAATTATAAAATTCGAGACCAAAAAGCAGGGCATGGAGACAGAATGCAAAAGGCTTGGAGACAATTTCGCGGGGTTCGTGAGGTATTTCGGGCATCAGGAGGCTCCCTCCGGTGGTTATTGTGGCTCTATACACCCCCTCTCTCTTTTCACAAGTTTTTTTAATTAAGTTTGATTTAAACTTAAGAATGAATCAAATCCAACCGCAATGAGAGTAAATGGATAAATAGTAATAGTGGATTTTTAAAGTTTTTATAAAAAGCATAAACGTATCTAAAATATGAGGAAACGGACCTAAAATTTGAGGAAACCGAACAACAAGTTGAGATTTTTAAAGGATTTAAATAATAAAAGAAGCGGATCTCAAATTTGAGTAAACCGAACAACAAATTGAGATGATTAGAGTTTTTGAAAAAAGCGGAAACAAATCCAAAATATGAGGAAACGGACCTAAAATTTGAGGAAACCGATCTAAAATAGGAGGAAACAGATCGATTAAAAGTTTTAGAAAAAAGCGGAAACGGATCAAAATATGAGGAAATGGATCTAAAATATTGGGAATCCCCTCAAAACTATTAGGATAGCCCTCGAAAATATTTCATTGAAATCAAGTGGAAATGTATCTAAAATTTGGTTAATTGATCTAAAAAAAGAGGAAACTCCGTAAAATCTGACTTTGAGGAATTTCTGAGAAATTCGAAGAAATCGCGGAAATGCATCAAGAAATGAGTAATTTGATTTCAGCTAATTTTAGATCAGTTTCCGTCACTGCACTTTTGACGACGAAATTTTGTACCAGTCCCTTAAAAGTAAATTGTAATGTAATCTATCAACTCACATTTATTATGGATTTCTTTGAATTTGAGTAGTTTTATTTTCAAAATAATATTGTAGGTGTGGCCCACAAAACATGAACGAGACCATCCTGACACGATAAAACGAAGATTTGTTAGGGAAAAAACTATTTATGATTATTTATTTTTAAAGTTGATGGAAATTTCCCAGAGAACGGTTTTTAGACCCCCCCGCCCCCCCCATCATATCAATTTTGTACATGGATGTCATATGTAACAAATGGATATAATTGATCATGTGGCCGCAGTGCCCGGGCCCCTAGCCTAGCCGCGGCGCTCTGCCTCCTAGCCTGTCCTAGCCACAGAGATCGGCCCCTAGCCTCTCCTAGCCGCAGCGCTCGGTTCAGAAATTGTTTTAACCTAACCTAACCCTAAAATAATAAAAAATAAATAAGAATAATTTTGCTGAAAAATAAGTGGTCATATATTAAATTGATAAGCTGGGGGGGGGGGGCAAAAATCGTTCTCTAGGACAGACCCAAGTTGATTTTATATTGAAAATGGCTTCGTGAAGAACAGTTGCAATTATCAAATAATGATAAAAATATTATGATAATTTATCGACTTTTTTTCGTGGATTTTGAAGAATTAAAGTTTTAAAGGCAATTTTTGTTATTCTGACCAGCCATAAACCTCCCCATAGGTCATGTGAGGTCCCATAAAATATTGGGCCGGATCGCTTCAGTCGTTTTGGCGTCTGTTTTATACATACATACAAACAAATTAACAGACAAGCTACGTATTTACAATACATTTTAGTGGGTATTTTTAATTATCTAATCAAACTAATAAGTTTATTTGAAATACAGTGCTGCTTTTATGACAGTTATTTCGCCGTTGTTTGTTACTACATTCGGAGCACCACACTTACTACAACAAAATTCGTTATGTGAGATACTGGGACTAAGGTGATTAACCCCCTGCTAAAACAATATTTTCGTAATTAATTTAAATTAAGATATTATAAAGAGTTTAACAACATCTAGTTTGATATTTGCCACTTAAAGTTCTTCGATAAATATAGAAATTAGCAACAATTTGATTTTGTTTTAAACCTCTTCTATTGTTTAGATTACCAGGACTGATTCCTGCTTCTATCTTTCCTGTTCTGCTAACAGTTATTCTCTTCCTGGGACCTACAGTTATGCTGTTCACAGATGTAATTACATTGTAATTTTCTATTACCCATCACTAGATTCAGTTTTAACAAAATTAACTCTTTTATTTGAAGCAAGTCAAAAATTCTATTTTTTTTTATTCGAACCAAACAAGTTTAAAGATTTACTAATTTTTAAGAAAAAAAGATAAAAAAGAAAGACGGCATAAAATAATCAGCTGGACCATAATTTATATAATTTACACGAATATTGGCCAATTTCTTAGACGCTCTACCATAGGTAGAACCATAGTCACACTATGGTTACGCTTTACCAGAGCAGTGTAGATAGATAGATAAAACCTATAGTTGTACCTATGGTTAAATGAATAAGAAATTGGCCATATGTATTAAATCTGTCATGTTTCCAATACAGATTTATCAAGATAACTACACCCCTATAGGAATACTTGGAGTAATTTAAAACCTAAACCTAACTTAGACTAAAACTAAACAAAATTGTAAAACTAGACTAAATTATAACAATAGACTAAATTATAAAGCTAGACCAAAACTAAATTTAATTATGAAATTAATCTTAACTAAATTAAATCATAAAACTAGACTATAACTGAACTAACATAAAAAACGACTAAAACTAAACTAATTTCTTAAACCATACTTAAACTTTTAAAACTACAAAACTAAACTAATTAAAGTATTTTTTTTTTAAAGTTTGATTGATTCATTTGTATATTGTTTAGCCTCGTGTGAGGGTGTATTGGCTGCCTATGTACTGGAAACAGAGTCTTAAGGTTAGATTATAAATTGAGAATTTATTTTTGTAATTTACTGAACAAATACTTTTATTATAGGATTGGATTTGGTGGAGAAATCATGTTGTTGCTCCCTTCAGGGACCCAATCTAACATTTTTTTACTTATTGTTTACTTATTTCAAAGATAATACCGTTATTTTTTACTATAGGAACACTACTTGGCCCAAGGTTATAATGCGAGGAAAGTTAATTGCAGTTGCGTATACTCTGCGTACATATTGAAACCAGTTCTCCCTGGGCAGAAGTTTTTAAACAAGAATAGATGCATCAGTGTTCGTTTTGTATCCGAGGAGTTTAGAAGCATTAAATGTTGATAATTTTTATAATTGACATAATAGTTTCCTATGACCAGAATATTTCATTGATTTTTTATGTGAAAGATGGATCCCATGTCAGACTTCGACATCCGTCTTGTGTTTACATTACCGCCCAGAGACAGTACACTGCAGTACAAAAGATGCGTACACCTCTGAAATAACGTTCCTTGCATTATAACCTTGACTTGGCCTATCTTACCGCTTAGAAATGTTTAAGCAGTAAGCACCAGAATGTGAAAAAATGTCTGTCTAGTGTTCAATCAAAAAACCGCGCATTGATAGGGAATTAAGCGGATTTTTTAAAACAAATATTCCACCGAAATCTAATTTGTTTAAGGGTTAATTACCACGTTTAGAAATTTTTGTTATATGTGTTACGGTAGAAAAAGATCGAGTAAGATATTTTTTATTTTTAAATGTTTTAATTTTTGTTCTGCTATATTCCTTCAATTGTAATGATTCACCTTTAAGGTTGGAGGGTTTGTCAAATAGCGTAGAAACGTATATATAATATGATTTATTGATTGGTTGGTTGGTTGGTTTGTTGGTTGACTAATTGATTGATTGATGATTGATTGATGGATTGTTGGATTGATTGATTGATTGGTTGAAGTGAGGAGTTTACATTTCGCGCCTGTATGGTTCCTATCCTTCTTGGATACTACACCAAGAAGCAGGTAGAAAAATATTAAAAATCAATTAAATTTTTCAAGGATTCTCTTTTGCAGAATTGGGTCTTAAAAAATTAATATAAAACAAACAAAAATTTTTTTATCACAATGGAAATTGTGAGAACCGATAGAAACAACCGACAACTGAAGTCTAAGATTTCATAATATTGTCCTGTACATTTGTATAGACAATGTTGATCAGTCCACTATTCTTTGGTGTGGCACATTTTCATCATATGGTAGAGAGAATTAGAAAAGGTAAGATTGTTGTGTATATTTCAACTAGTTTTCATATTAGTTTTGATGATTTTTATAAAAAGAGTCTTGTCCATGCAATTTAAACTTGTTGAATCAACCGCAATGTGTTTTGCCAATCAATCTCTTAATAAAAAATTGAATCTTTTTTAAATTCAAATTTACTAAATTCTTTGCAACCTGATGGCACAAGCCTTTGATATTTCAAACTCAGATTATTGGATTTAACAAATTTCATTGTTTGAAAACTTTAAAGTCTACGACACTTGCTTTTTAAGATATAGGGATCAGAAAATCAGAGATTGTGACTACGACTAAATTCCTTTACCTTAAAACTTTACCTTATATAGTTGTTCTGCAGCAAAGTATCTATAATGTTAATATATAGTTTTGCTGCAGCAAAGTAAATATAATATTAATATTTCGATTTTGTTTAGCAAAATGATCTTTGTTGTACATTTAGAACCAAATATAGATCTTGACACATTAAATCATTTTTATTTTACTTTTTCATCTTCAACTCGGTTAATGAATCTTAAATATAATTTCATGTATCTTCAAATCTATTTTGTGCACGCTGTGGTGTATTCTCTATTAAGGACGACCAAGGGTTTATATTTTCTAGGAATAATCTAGCTCCCCATTTGTTCTAGGACAACCAATCCTCACCTCGTTCCTTTTCTCTATGTTCCAGTTTACCTACACAACAATATTTGGAACATATTCTGCGTTCCTGTTCCTTTCCACAGGACACTTTGCTACACCGTTTCTGGTACATGCGTACTGCAACTTCATGGGGTTCCCCGATATAGCAGAGGTATACAAATATTTTGGTTTAATTTATCCAGCTTTTAAACAATTCTATTGTTTAGGTCCTTAGTTTTGAACCAAAGAAACGATTGTTTGTCTCTCTGATGTTTATTCTCGGAGCAATTCTATTTTATTTCGTCCTCACTCCTGTAACCAGCGCAAACATCTACCTCAACTTCATCTACGCTGACTTGCCCTAAATCTGTCTTGGGCTGGACAAAGCGCTTATTAGTTCATTTTTTCACTAGTCCTTTCTACACTGTACCGGCACAATTATTTAATCAAGATTAACCCATGGGTAATTGTGAAATGCAAAAACTCAAATCACTTAAAAAAATTTCATTGTTTTCAAATATGATGAATCTCTGTAAGGAAAAGTTGATGACAAAGTTTGTAAATTTAAAACTGAAAAGGACTGTCAACATAATTTCAAGTGCTCCTTTATCTGAGTACTAAGGAGAAAGATATCGTACTTCACTTTATTAAAACTTGTAGAATTCCTTCAACTTTCCTCTTTTTTGCACATGCATAAATCCAGAAGTCACTTTGACCACGATTCACATTTTTCATTAAAAAAGAAACTAGGATATTTTTGGCATTTTTACTCAGACTACTGTTTTAAGGGTACAGTTGTGAATCTGACATGCACCTCATTTAATGGCGAGTCACCTTAAATTATTTCGACAGTCCCCTTAAATTATAACAAAGCGTGTGATGCAATATATATATATACCTGACCTACTTTAAAGAATATTGCTTTATTCAATTGGATTCAAGACTTCTAAGTTTATGCTTTATAACATGACCTTCATTTTCAAACATTTCATGACTACCATGTTTTTGGGCCACTTGAACGTAATGTTTTCATGTCTTTGTAAATTGTCTATGTATCGCGCAACATAAACCGATTCAAAAATGGTAAAATTAAAATTATTCAGAAATTATCATGTTTATTGGGATACGGTGTGTATATAAGACATTCAGAACGTGATAAAGAATTATTTATGTTTAAATGATTTATGAGATATTCTCTTAAACTTGAATCTAGTCGTACTGAATTTAAAATATAAAAATATCTTTTTTAACAATGTAACGCGATGATTAAATTTGTGGCATTGTTTGTGCACAAAATAAGATATATGTTTGAAGATTGGGATGTTACAAAAGAAAAAAATGGGACTGAATCTGAGTCAAATTTGGGATTCGATCGCTACTAAGTTTGCCTTTATCTATAGAGATTATAGGAGGAAAACGCTTACTGTTAAGAGCGGAAAGTCTATGTGAATTCACTTGTATCATAACCCTCACTTAGTTTGCCGCTTATTAATCATATTTTTTTATCCAAGAATTTCCTAAATATCTTTTTAAACAATCCCCCCCCCCTAAAAACGCTACAGATAGAAGTAAAATAATTAGCGCTCAATCCCGAATTTGACAAGGATTCGGCCTTTTCCCCCTTTTCATTTTTCGCAAACCTTCCCTTTAAATCATAATTCTGAAGTTATATAATCTTTCCTTGTCTGGGTCCCAGTGATATATTCTTATTCGCCATTTAAGTGAATTCACAGAGTAATTTTGTTATTTATGAACCCAGAAATTCATTCAAAAAGTAGATTGCAGATTGTCTTTGCATTGCAGAGTAGATCTCATCTTAGTGTTATTTTTATGTCCTGGGTCCATTCCAAGCACACTGCATATTGTGTTGCGGGGTTCTTTACAGATTCCTTTCTTAATATACAAAATACTACACAATACTAAAAAGTTAATGACAATTTTGTGTTTTAGAGACCTTTGAAATTAAATCTTAATATACAAAAGTTTACGCCAATACTGTATGGTGTGGTCTGATGTATTCTGATACACCTAGCAAATATGCAAGGTTAGATTTTTTAAGGATATTTTTTTAGACTATGCGACAAACAGTTAATTTTAGAATTAAGTTTGAACTTGAATCTTGCAATCTTAACAGTTCACATTCTGGAACTTAATACAAAATTATATCAAAAATCAAGACGACATTCAAGTCCTCTTGCATACTGTCATGTTTCGTGGGACACCCTGTATATCTAAATACATGTTATTGTAATCGTAAATAGCTACTTTAATTTCGGTCAAATTTTGGACTGCTGGAGTTTTTGGTGATTTTTGGGATTGTTTGTTTTGTAAAGTTTAAAACAAAAAAAATATTTTTTAAACATCATTTTTTTTGTTTTGGGCTCTTATTTTCATGTCAATATATTTTAATCAGTCTTTTCATTCAAATCTTGAAATTTTCTATATTTTACGATCAGAGAAAAGAACTTCACAAAAAATTATTGACTCAACAAAAGAGCACCTTAATTTTCTGCATGTGATAGAGATATTGTAAAGAAATATTGATTTGATCACTTACTTAAAAACTTTTAAAGCTTACATATTGTTTTTTTCTGATTTTCGAATATTGAAAGGTTTGATTTTTAAAATTTCTATTGTTTTACAAAAATATCCAATTTTTTAATAATAAGCTAATTAAAAGTTATCGAGATGTTTTCAATTCTGTAAATGGCAATTACTTCAGAATAACAGTACATATGTTCACATACTTATAAATAATTCATCTTAATTATAATGTTTGTCAAGGTGAAATGTATCTCTGTTTTGTGGATGGATGCTTTATACTTGTTTGCTTTAATCCAAACCCCATTAAACACAAGTTTAGGGAATAATATGCTTCTTATATAACACAGAGAACATCTTCATTATTTTTACTTAGAGTGAATAATGTGTATTTTTGTTAAGTTTGAATTATTTAAATATAACCAATTGTGTAAAACCGCTTAGTATTGTAAAATATGCATTATGCATAGTTCGTATCTTTAAGGTTGTCCATGTTTATATACACATTGTTAAAATTATTAGTGATCTTTATTTAAAATATGAAAATGTTTGAAATTTACCAAATTTATAGACTTCACTCTACTTTTCTAGAAACCATTTCAGCTTTTTATTGTTGATTTTCAAGCCGATATTTTAAATAAGCGTCCTCATTAAACAAATATTTTCGAGGATTTTTCTGTTTCTATTCAAGGATTTTCCAAAATCATAAAGGCGACATTTTTTTTATGTCCAGTCATAAACCTTCCCTGGGATCGTGTGATTGCCATAACAAATTTATACCCTATCAATTTAGCCTTTTTGACTTTTATTGGACACAAAAAAAAGATAGCAGTGAAACTAGGTTTTTTAGTTATATGGTGTGAATATTTAATATAACTAAAGAGTTTTTTTTAAATTCTTCTTGCAATCTCTTATTGTGTTTGAAAGTGTACTGATATATCTTGTGTTGTAGAAACGTTGTTAAATATAAATTTAAACCTTAGAATTGAATTTTCAGAACAAAAAAAAACAAGAAATAAAATGTGCACTGTTAAAAATCAGGAATGTTACTAAGCTATATTTTAAACTAATGTAGTGATGTATTCGACGCCTATATTATTCAATTCATATAGTACTTGCAGATATTTTGTCCACTTCATGATGGATTTCATCAAATAAAAAAACGTTTTCGCATGAAAGGTCATTTTTAAAATAATGAAAGAAAGAATTACAGATCATAAGAATAAGGTATCAAACCGGCAAGCAAAAATAAGTTTGAAATACCGAATTTAACCTCCAATTTCAGAGTAATATCCCACTTTTTTTTAAACTGAATATATGAATGGACTGAAGGTTTAGTGTATTGTAAATGCATGTAAACATAAACCGAAGTTTTTTTGATGCAAACTGAAGGTTTATAGGGTTTGCACCTAAAATGCATTCTTTTTAACTGGATTAAGGCCAGAACTAGATAATTTTATTGAACTTTGATATCATGGGGTGCAGTATATATAACAGGCCGGGTCGGGGCGGTAATCTTCACTGTGGGTGTGGTGAGGACAAAAGGGGTAAGAATATTACACAAATGTTGTATAGTTGATAACAATGGGGAGGGGGGAGGGGAGAATTTCAAAGTGTTATAACTTACTGAGACAGGGAAAGGAAAGTGTGTGTTTTTTCCCGTTGGTTATGCAGATATAGGTTGCGGGAGTTGCGGGGAGTGTTTTTATTCAAAAAAGGATGAACGAGGGAAGAAAAAAGATAAGGGGAAGCTTAGAACGAACAATGTAGATCTTTAGAGGGAATAGAGCGGAAGAAGGGGAGAAGAATGCAGAAATAAGTTCAAGGAGGTTTTTAGATAATGAAGCAGGATAAAAGGAAATTGATGATTGGTCACTGGTGTATTAGTATGTTGCAAGTTCGAGCTTGTAGTTAAGTATTTATGTTTGGATAGGATAAAGAATTAATTATTATGAAGGATGAAGGATTAGGAAAGAAAGGGGTATGGCACATTAACGATAGAATAAGAAAATACAATTTTCTCACTTGGCTAATTTTATGGCCTATGTTCAATTGTCTCTGAGCGCCTAAACCGCAACTGTTGGTTAATGCATGAAGTTATCTAACCATCAAATTTACATAAGTAAAAATTTATGCCATCACAAAAACATGTTTACTCATCTGTAGATTTTTAAGTTCAAGATTTCTTTGGGCGGCGGAAGGGGGGGGGGGGTACAGCTAATCGGGCACCATTGCTCATCATTAGTAAAAATTAACTGAAAATAAAGATATACTGAAAGTAAAAATGCACGGAAAGATATACTAGAAATAAAGATATACCGAAAAGAAAGAGACACTGAAAGTAAAGAATAAATGTATATTGAAAGTAAAAATACACTGAATGTGAAGATACACTGAAAGTGAAGATACACTGAAAGTGAAGATACACTGGAAGTAAAGATACACTGGATGTAAAGATACACTGAAAGTGAGGATACACTGGAAGTAAAGATACACTGGAAGTAAAGATATACTGAAAGTGAAGATGCACTAAAAGTGAAGATACACTGGAAGTAAAGATACACTGGAAGTAAAGATATTCTGAAAGTAAAGATACACTGAAAGTGAAGATACACTGAAAGTGAAGATACACTGGAAGTAAAGATACACTGAAAGTTAAGATACACTGAAAGTGAAGACACACTGAAAGTGAAGATACACTGAAAGTGAAGATACACTGAAAGTGAAGATACACTGGAAGTAAAGATAAGCTGAAAGAAAAAATGCAAGGAAAGTTAAGTTATGCTGAAACTAAAGTTATACTGAAAGTAATGATAAACTGAAAATAAAGATATACTGAAAATAAAGATATACTGAAAGTAAAGATGTACTGAAACTAAAGATATATTGAAAATAAAGATAAACTTAAAGTAAAGATAAACTGAAAGTAAAGATACACTGAAAGTGAAGTTGTACTGAAACTAAAGATATACTGAAAATAAAGATACTTTAAAATTCAAATGAAAAGTTGCAGCAGCAGGCACGCAAATTACTGAAAGTAAAGATACACTAAAAATAAATATAAACTGAAAGTAAAGATATACGGAAAATAAAGATAAACTGAAAGTAAAGATAAACTGAAAGTAAAGATACACTGAAAGTGAAGTTGTACTGAAACTAAAGATATACTGAAAATAAAGATATACTGAAACTAAAGATATACTGAAAGTAAAGATACACTAAAAATAAATATAAACTGAAAGTAAAGATATACGGAAAATAAAGATAAACTGAAAGTAAAGATAATCTGAAAGTAAAGATAAACTGAGAGTTTTAAGATACACTGAAAATAAAGATATACTGAAACTAAAGATATACTGAAAATAAAGATTTACTTAAAATAAAGATATACTGAAAATAAAGATAAACTGAAAGTAAAGATATACTGAAATAAAGATATACTGAAAATAAAGATACACTGAACGTAAAGATAAACTGAAAAAACAAATGCAAGGAAAGTAAAGATATACTGAAAATATGAATATACTGAAAGTAAAGATATACTAAAAGTAAAATTGCACTGAAAGTAAAATAGCACTGAAATTTAAGATCCACTCTGAAAGTAAAATAGCACTGAAAGTGAAGATGCACTGAAAAGGTGAAAAACAGTGCTAGTTAATATAATACACTGGAAGTTAATATTTAGGTCCTAAATTCTCGTATTTATGGACTAATATTTTTTTCAGATTAATATGTTTCCCTTTGCAAAAAGACTTGCCATCTTTTGCTGCTAAAAAAAAAGGTTAGGTTATGTATTTTAACATTAACTGAATCTATATTTTTTTCTGAAAACAATAATTATGCTTCGTTAATTTTAGGCCCTTTTCGTTTAAACTTTTTTAACGGCTGACGAAAGAATTTGCCTTTCCATTAATTTAACTAAATCTTCCTTTAAAAAAAACTTTTTGAAGCACAGACGTTTTGTTTCTTTTATTACGTAATTTAGATTGTTTTACCTATTTTTTGTATACCTGGTCAAATTTAAATTATGTCAATAATCTATTTTAGTTCTTTGGTCCTTGATGAAGAATGCAGTTCTCAATTTTTTTGGGAAAATTAAAGGTTAACGTTTTTTTCATTAACTTTTTATATCTTGGAATGGGTAAGGGGTGCTATTTTTGATTAAATAATAAAATTAAGTAAGGTTATGCATACTCATCAATTCCGTTGTAAATAAACCTCGCGAAGTAACCGCTACGTAGAGTTCTAGGTTAGGGTGTTTTCATGTGTGATGTGTGGTGTGTGTGAAGGGGGGAGACCGTAGATTCTGCGTAGTGTTTCATGTCACTATCAAGTATCAGTCAGTCTTCAGACAGTCAATTTTGTGCCTCCGCAGAGTGAAGATATAAATGGTTACTCCCTCTGCCCTTTAAACCCCTCTTTACAGATACTCCCTGGATCCTATCCAACCTGTTTAATGTCATACTGTACTGCTTTATAAAACTTTTCTTAGGCCCCTCCTTCCCCTCCCTGTTTATAATCTGATAATGACAAGCTTATGTATTAGTTCACTATGATGTAACGTGAAATCTAGATCTTTTTAAATATCTTGACAAAAATTAAACACTACATTTCATTTAATAATTTCAAATTTGATTAGTTTCCAATGATTTAATCTCCCTAATTTTATCAAATGAATTTGCTTTATGTAAACACTGAAACAGTGAAGCTGCAAATTGATTAACTAACAGTGGTTTCTCATTTCTCAGTTACCATGCAACATCTAGCAAGTTAGCAACATGAGCCCTAGCTCCATTCGTTCCATTGTTAATCATTCAATTGAACTTGCAGTGAGAACCTGAAATCAATTGAAAGAATGACTTTACTATCAAAAATCGCTGTTGTAAATTTTAATTAATGTTGCTACCATTAAATCTGAATGTTTAGGGCACTGCACTGTTTACTATTCAGCACTAGTTAACAAAATACGAATTTCATAACTGAATGAATTCCACTCTTTTCTGGGTCTCATTCAGTTAGTGTTTTGTTTAAAGATACAAGTACACATTGATTACAGAATATTTATATATTTATAAAGTTGTAATCCCTGTTTGGATGTCCGATCATAACTTATGGACCTCTTGACCGAGTGGGTCGACTTTTATTGGGAAAACTCCAAGCAAAGCTGGGTTCCCAAGCTAGTTCATTATAGAGTTAAAAGTACACTATGAATGCAAATCTATATAAAAGTAGTAATCTCTGTTTGTTCGTCTGTTTGAATGTCCGATCATATCGCATAAACCGCTTGACCAATTTGCCTCAAATTTTGATGGGAAATTCGGACGAATCACGGAAATGTTCTTAGCGTGGGGTTAAACTTTTAGAACTAAAATTTAGAAAGGTTGACTTTTATGGGGAAAACTTAGTTTCCAGGTATTTTTTTAAAAGTTAAGTTAATTCAATAAATCTAAAATTATGTTAAGGTTACTTATACACCTGGACCACAAGATAGTTTTTATTATATATATGTACGTACTAGTTATGGAACCCAGCTTTACCTGGAGTTTTTCCTATAAATGTCAAACAACTTTTCAAAATTTTTAAAAATCGAATTTTGTCAAGCTTAGAGGCAAATTTTTGAAAATCCAAAAACATTCCCTGGGGTCACGCGAGGTCCCACAAAAATTTGGGCCTGATCGGTTTTGGTTTATTGGATTAAAAAAAACAGACAAACAAGCAAAGTATATTTATAGAAGATAGACAGATAGATATACGATAAATATATAGTTTAGAAAAGTTTATCTGTTGATCGGAAAAATAGAACGTTTGATAAATGTTTAACATTTGAAGATGTTGAAGTTTAAACTGCATAGTTTCTTCTCTCTTTCACGATAATGTCAAGTTTTCTGTATTTTCTTCATGAATAAAACAAGTATTCAAGGAACTTGCCTCCCAGCTGCTTAATCTACATATTCATCATTTTTCTTATAAAAACTAATTTTTATCAATTCTATAGATTGACAAATAATCACAAATATATCGTTGATTGTGTAGAAAAGTTTTGATGGGAATTAATATGAAAAGAAAGATCTGAATTAAAGTATAGTTGTGGAATAACTAATGATCAATTTAACGACATCGATAGTTTTCTCCCACGCATTTACTCAACATTTTACAACTATAAAATATGAAATTTTTCCGGGAGGGGGGACATCTAAATATATAAAGTAGTGATCTCTGTTTGTTTGTTTGTATTTCCGATCATAACTCAGAAACCCCTTAACCAATTTGCCTCAAATTTTGATTGGGACACTCGGTACAACTAGGAAATGTTCTTAGCTTGGTTTAAACGATCTTTGACTCTGTTTCCAGTCAATACTGGGTTCTCAAGCTAGTTTTCAAAATAATTCTTTAAAAAATATTGTCAAATGTCAACCCTTAAATATGCGGAGGCGCTCCCTTGAGTTTATGGAAGACTGGCTCAGGAAAATTGTCTTTGTTTAAAAGAATCCATGAAAGTCACATCAATTAAAATCAGATTAAAACTCTGCAAATCTAGCTGATAAATGAGAACCCAGCGAAGCACGAGTGCTTCAAGAAAATGCGGATAAATGCCAAAAATATGAAAAACACTAAATGTTAAACTCTCTTCTCCTTTTAGATGGAACAAACTTGTATGGCATTAGGTTTCATCTTTCTGGATTACTCGTTGACTTTTAAATCTTTTAACGTTTTTTACTTTTTTTACTGACTTTGCACAATTTTCCAATTAAAAACTAATTAATTAAGTAAAAACTGGGCCACGGTGGTTAATTTTTTGTTTCTTGAGCCAGAAACAAACTAGACAAACATTTTATAAGCACTAGCTGGGGAATCCAGCTTTGTCTGGAAACTAAGTTTTCCTTATAAAGTCACCCTACTTCAGTTAGACATTTTAAACCAAGCTCAAAAGAAAATTTCTTTGGTCCTAACGAGTTCTCCGATAAAAATTTGAGGCAAATCAGTCAAGGGGTTCATGAGTTATGATCGGTTATACAGAGATTACTACTCTATATGTAGATTTAGCGTTGCCCGTGGTATTTTGAAATCGTCCAATATACACAACGTGAAAAGAATATATAGATCGTGTATTCGTCAATAATATATAATATAGGAAGATATTAAAGCTAAAATGTGTCTTCCTTACAATAAATATTTAAATATTCATGCGTGAGGTTTGGTTAGGTCGAGATATGTAAATAGTGTTAATTTATTCAGTTCTTTTATGTACTAGGGTGTACTGTATCACCATTATCATTAGGCAGACCATCATTAATCTTATATTCTTGTCCTTCGGGGGATAGGGGCGCTCTTCAGTGTATTTTTATTGGTAGAAACTTATTTAACTAGATATAGGATGCACTTCTAAAAAATGTTTTTTCTTTGGAAAATAAAATGTGGGAAGTAATTAATTTTAAGATTGTCAAAAAAATAATAACTTACTTATTTTAGACCTGTTCAAACCCTTTCACTTATTTTTACCGGATTCAAGAGTATGTAGAGTGTAGACATAATTTCATGCGCCACTCCATTTGTAGAGTGTAGACATAATTTCAAGCGCCCCTCCATTTGTATAGTGTAGACATAATTTCATGCGCCCCTCCATTTGTCGAGTGTAGACATAATTTCAAGCGCCCTTCCATTTGTAGAGTGTAGACATAATTTCAAGCGCCCCTCCATTTGTAGAGTGTAGACATAATTTCATGCGCCCCTCCATTTGTAGAGTGTAGACATAATTACAAGCGCCCCTCCATTTGAAGAGTGTAGACTTAATTACAAGCGCCCCTCCATTTGAAGAGTGTAGACATACTTTTAAGCGCTCCTCCATTTATAGAGTGTAGACATAATTTCAAGCACCCCTCCGTTTGTGTAGTGTAGACATAATTTCAAGTGCCCCTCCATTTATATATAGTGTAGACATAATTTCAAGCACCCCTCCGTTTGTGTAGTGTAGACATAATTTCAAGTGCCCCTCCATTTATATAGAGTGTAGACATAATTTCTAGCGCCCCTCCGTTTGTGTAGTGTAGACATAATTTCAAGTGCCCCTCCATTTATATAGAGTGTAGACATAATTTCTACCGCCCCTCCGTTTGTGTAGTGTAGACATAATTTCAAGCGCCCCTCCATTTGTAGAGTGTAGACATAATTTCATGCGCCCCTCCATTTGAAGAGTGGCGTGTCCGATTCATAACAGTACATTTTAAACATCTATTAAGAATTTATCATAGATAAATAAATAAACATAGATAGCTTACGTACGCAAAATCACCAAGAATTGTACAGTCCGTGAACTCATACTTCTAGGGGTCAAAGTGTACTTCATTGATAAGCGGGGTGGTTTGGCGTTTTAATGGATTTGATAATTATTAAACCACTCAGGAGTGAATTTTATTTTGAGAACTGAAGAAGGACATGAGAAGGACTAAACTAACTTAAATTTCTCTCTACAGAACTAATGTACACCACAAGTACTCAATGACTTATGAACAGCCAATGTTCAAAACCGACCTAGTTAATCTATAAAATAGGAATATCTTTAAAACATCTCTGTACATATATATCTTTCAAGATGAAAAATGTCGTCTTATGCGCAATCTATCTTTATCTATGGAATTTATCCATGATCTGACAAAGGTTTAAAGGGTACCGCTGTGAATTTAACATGCCACGGAGTTCTTTAAAAAATCAGAATGAATTGGAAAAAAATGTTTGATAATAAAACTCCAATGGTTATGATCTTTGTTGACTTTTCTTCTGGTTCATATAATTATTCAATCAAACGGTCAAGATACTCGTGGCCGCTGGGAACATTTTTTATGTTACAATTGTGTCAATTCTAAAGGATTTTTTTAATTACAAGGACTAAGATTTTAGTGACGAGAGTTTGCATTATCTCACAAAAATATTGGAGGAGGCATATTTTTCAATAAAAAAGCATGATTAGTTTGTTTATTATAATTTTTACATCATATACAAGGTGTTGTTAAATTTATTCAAACAATTTTCATCAGCCTTAAGGAAGCTTTTAAAGATATATTTTACAGCTGGTCTATTTTGGTTTAAGAAAAAAGTCATGATAA